CAAAACCACGGACGTTCCGTTAGCTAGCAGGATAGCTTCCGCACATGAAATAATTCAAAGTACTTGTCGGGATTCGAACCCAAAGCGGCGAGGGCCAGATGGTTTGAAGTCGGCGACCTTAAATCACAGAGCCACGGACGTCCCTTAAGTTTTGCAATTTTTATGACAATTTATTTTACATTTATCGCTACTTTTTAGGTTTCAAACATCTATCATTTCTCAAAAACTATTATTTAAACATTATTAAATTCATGTATTCCCTTTCAAAAGAAGTAACAATTTATTTGATTTTAGGCATGATGTGCCTTTAAAGCAATTTATGTCTGTGCGGTCTTAAGAATAATGTGTCACCATCCTTGTTCATTTAAGCAAAGTATTTTATCCACGCTTTCGCCCAATTCCGCTGGGGTGTGTTTCAAGAATACCCCGAAGAAGGTGAAAGCGAGTTTTATATATCAGTGACAAATGGGCGACCAGAGGCAATCAGATGTACCATACAGCTTAGAGGACTGGTACAGAAAAATGATTCCGCCCACACTATATGTTACTTACGTAAGTATTTCCAGTTCATCATGGTCATCATATTCATCATTACCATCATCATATTTATCATATACACTGTACAATATAAATGATGATCATAATCATCATCATCACCACCACCACCATCACCATCATCATCATCGTCGTCGTCGTCAATAATATTCATCATATAAATCATGCTCATTATGATCATAACCATCATCATCTTCATAAAAAATCATGTCTTCATCATCATCATCATATTCATCATCATATTTATCATATTCAGCATAATCACCATGACTATCATCATAGTATGTGGTTGTTCATAGTCAGCCTCCAATTTATAATCATCATCTTGTTGCTGTGGTCATAATGTAATCACAGCAACACAAATATTAGTAAACAGTTATTTAATGAACTCATTAAATTTTAGAAGATAACAACAGAGTAAAATGATTCTCAGGAATTTACAAAAGTGTTTCCAGTCACATATTGTCAAAAGTTTTATAGACCTAGTTGCAGGTTTATATACACAACTGTGTTTAGCTATCATCGTCTTTGGAATTTAATAAAGAATTGAGAATAAAACTATTTACTTGAAAGCAATAAAAGAAAAAATACGATTAAGTTACCGGTAGAGCGAGTTGACATTTTTTTAATTCTATGTTTAAAACAATTTTATTTAAGCATCTCAGGCACAGAGCGCTCACGTGGTGGCATCCGTCGACAATGTGACAGGCTTGTATGAACGCGAGTGTCTTTGGAGACCGTATCCTACCAGACAGAGAACAAAGGCATCTATAATGGATCACCAATATATCACTAATGTAACATATCTATATTTAATAATTGTGTTGATTATATTAAATAAGAAAAGAAATTAGATCAAAATAGTGATTTGGATTTTTAAATGGAAAAAAAAATTAAAAAATGAAAAACCAAATTGCAACCGGTAATTAATGTTATGATTGAATAAATGAAATACTCATGAAGCCCTAACATGCGATTTTTACTCGTAAAAATAATTCAATTCTAATTATAAATAGGAATATTCAATAGGCTGACTGTATCATTTGAGGACACTTATGTTTTAATTTCTCTTCCTTCAACTTCAGCTTTAACTTTAATGAATTACTTTTCAGCGTCACTGTTGTCATTTAGCTACTCTCTATCGTCCGTAACGACAAAGTTCCAATAACTACAACCGTACTCCGCAGACGATGTTAACATTTTTTTTTAATTTTCAAGTACCACACTGAAGTAAGATACATAGTAAGATACATAAACAATAGGTTTTCTAAAATACATGTGCCATGATTAATAAATATGATACTGAACATTTTCTGTCTTTGATATCTTTTAAGATCGAAACATTTTGCGACGACAACCATACGGACTATATGACAGAGCACAATTATGAAGCTCCGAGTAAACACAACAGACTGTGTGGACACAGAAGCACGTGGAATATAATTACACAAACAGACGATTTTAGAAATGGAAGAAATCCTCCTCATGGTCGTCTAGACGCTCAACTAGAACCGACTTTTATTGTAATGAGAGCGCCTGGAAGAAAACGCAGGGCAGCCATATTGATAGACCCGTCTTTGACGAAGCAGGTGATATTTTATATATTCATGTTAACAAAATAAGCACCAAGAACTTTAAAAGTTTTTGCATTTTAAAGGGTATAAAGCTATATTTTATGAAATATTTTTATAAAATTTATCAACAGTAAAATTATTTTGTTCCCATAATCTTATAGTCGATTCTCAAAAAAGTTGTAACATAGAATGTCTCTCTTATTCAACTATGCAGATATTATGCTTCTATCCTAAGTAGGGTTTTGCCCGTTAAGCAAGCAGTTTAGGCAAGATACTACCATTTTTCTTACATACAAGCATTTTTTAAGTATTTCTCTTCAAAATTCAAACAATATTTTTACCGCAGAAATATAGTTTTATACTCTTTAATATTGCTTATCTAAAAATTGTCCATTAGTACCTGGTATAAACATTTAACCAAAACATGAACGGTATTTTGTATTGTTTAAGACAAAAGATAAAAATCTAAAGATAGTATATATGATTTATTTCTATTAGCAAATGACATCAGTCAACTGATTTCTTAAAGTGAATGTAAACTAGTTTAAGGAATATAAAAAGTAAACGTATTTGCCTAATTGTAATCAGTTATATTTAAGACTGACATTCATCTGTTTATATTTTAGACTGACATTCATCTAACCATCGGCCATCTTAAGCAGGAATCATCCATCCATGATATAGAGATAGTTCTAGTAAAACATGTGGACGGCAGGATATCTCACCAGCAACTTCAATCTGTTGAAAATATTGAATCATATCTGAAACACCATTCACCTACATACAAAGTCAGTTTGACTGACCAAATTACACAGACAGTACAGGTAACTTGGTACAGGAAGAAAGGTTAAAGTAGCATGACTTTAGATTATGCTAAAGTTTCCCGAATTTTTTTGAAAATGTATTTCAAAGTTAAAAAAATATCAAGTAACGAAAAAGAAGCAATTTACACAATACAAAAAGCAATCACCACCCACGTAGATTATTAAGATAACTTCAAAATGATCGAAAATAACATTTACTGCGTTAGTAACGCAGTAGAAATATGGTTGTAAATACTGAAAAATTAATCATTTATCGCACATTACATTTAAGTTATTACTTCAGTCTTGAATTTTTTTACTTTTTCTAAAATCTTGGAACATTTTTATCAGGTTTGATTTTAATGAAATATTTTGGCTTATCTGGAGGTATGCATCTTTAAAATAACTAACCTTAGACATGACGTATAGTTGAAATAATTGCTGTGCACATATACATTTGTATTCATTCTGTACAACTGCCTATTTCGGAAAATTTTAAATACAACGGAAAAGAATTTGGAAATCTTACAAAACCTACAAATCCAACCGTCCCGGAACAACTATAATTATTTTTTTTTTCCAGTCTAATGAATGAGACGTTCTGTATTTTTTTCATAAGAATATAAGAAGTGAATTTTGCGTGTTGAGTGCACACACAAATTGACTATCTTAGCTTTTTTAAATCTTAATTCTTGTTCATATGTTTTCTTTATTAAAGATGATGGAAGAAGAGGCAAAAGAAAATGATACACACTTAATACTTGTCACAGACAAAGAATCATCTGAACTCAAGAAAATGCTGACCGAGTCAAAACAGAAGGGTTTAAAATTCTCAGCAATATTAAACAAATATAACCCCATTGCTGGTAACCTAGGTAAATACATTTTTAACTTTCAAAACTGGTAAAAGTGATATTATACGAACATTTTTAATAATGCTATATATTGTAAATTAATACATATTTTTTAGCTTCAAACGAAAACGATTTTAATGAAATGAAACAAACGTAAATGCATCGTTGAATCATTTCTCTGAGAACAGCATCTGTGTTCAGCATCTGTGTTCGAGCGTCCGTTCGTCCGTCCGATAGTCCGTCCGTCCATCCGTCCGTTTTGGTTTAAACAATATGTATTTCTTCCTTGTTTACAATACAATATTACAAATTTATAAAACGTATAAATGTATAAATTGCACTTATGATTGAGTACTAGTATCCATTTGTTTTGATTGGACTCTACAGCCTTCTTTTCAAGCACAAAGTGTTATAAACGATCGATTATTCAGCCTTCTTTACAAAGATTTGATTAAATAATAATAAAAACAATGATAATTATGATAATTATAATAATAATATAGAGGATATTTGTTTGTTTCAGTGTAAGATCGAAAAATATTTCACCGAGTGAACACCAGATGCAATATTTTCCACGAGTGGCGTAGCCACGAGTGAAAATATAATAGCTGGGGTTCACGAGTGAAATATTATTGATCTTACATGTAAAACAAACAAATTTTCTGTTTATTTCATGATTCTTTAACGATTTTAACACCATTTTACTGATTTTTGCCGCGTAACGTCATGCTGTTATCTTCATGACGTCATCAAATAATGACGTCACAATGTTGAAGCAAAATATAATTCCATGATTATTTTTAGATTTTAGATGTTTTTCAGCACAACGTTCGTAAATATTTACGAACTACAGTTATCACGTACATTTTTTTTATGATTGACTACATTTCCGCTGAAAAAAACATTCATTAATGATAAATATTTTATTTTTACGCCAAATATAGTTCGGCTACTGTGAAATTATATTTGGTAATCATTACTGTGAAATTATCAGAATATAATTAATCGTTATAATTCAGTAATCTACTGCAAAACATGTAATAAAATGATGTAAACAACAACTGCGATTTTGTATTTCAGACAATCTTCATACTGTAGGAAAGAAAGTTGGACATACTCTTTTAGACAGGTTAAGGAATATCATCCTAGAAGAAACACCAAGAAAAATAGTTGTAAGTATACTTAATACATTTTATTTTTAAACTACAGTAAAAGTAATGAAAACATCAAAAAATGGCCGCTGAATGAGAAAAAGCAAATTTTTAACTGATTAGTGTTCATTTTTGAATTTCAAACAATGATGTTTTAAATTATAGTCAGCAGATACTTTTCAAATAGCTTTATACACATACATAGCAAATACTATACTTTTACATTTCAGATTACCACGGATTCAATACATCTGTCAAACATGGTACCGGTTTCAAACTCTGTATTGATTGATCAAACATTGGTGAATCACGTGACATTCATATTTCACTATGACACTGACCAGCCGAACATAGATCTCAGATCACCGTCGGATGTTATTTACGGTGTGGAGGACGATGTATGTACTATAGATTATGATCTAAGAGTGATTAGATTTCATCTGGAATTCACAGAGGTAAGGGTGATATGTATTTTTTTCTAAGCTTTGCAATCTTTCGTAGAAATTATCATTGTAACTGAAGAGTAATGGTTTTGGAAGTAATAAGAATTTAATATATATAAACTTTGGATTTGAAACTAGTAGCATGTCGATAATTTTCCTGGTATAGTTTATTTTTTAAGGCCAATTCTTTCTTTCTAATGTTTAAACCAGACTTTTTTTCAAAAGTAGAGTATAACGAATAATATGTGCAAATAAACATGTGCTTACGGAATTGGCATATTTGCATTCTTATAGACAATATGTTTTATTAAAGGTAGGTACATGGACATATACGGTGATGCAAACATCCCGGAGTTCTCAGAATGTGCGTGTTACAGTAATATCAGAAGAAGAACAAACCGAAATAGACCCAATTGTGTTGAAACATTCAGTAAAAACTGGCAAAGAATACGAAAACGTCATTTTACTACATGTTGATGCAATGCAAGGTTCGAGTCCATTAACAGGTTTAACAGTTGTGGCCAAGATAGAGACACCGGAAATGAAAGTAGAACATGTCACTTTACTGGACAACGGAGCAGGTAAATAAATCCCTTTAACATTCAAATAAACCAAATCCCTAACAGAGTTGCTTTAATCTTACCGCTTAACCTGCTAGAACCAAAAATAATTAAACTAAACATTCCATGGTAACTTAAACAATTTTCATATCTTTTGACACTGCAAAACAGCGACATTTACCGAATTACACCTAGACTTTGAAAAATATGATGTTATATAAATATTTTTACATTTTATATTGTTGAAAAATTATGAAATATTATAAATATACAACAAGTTTTCATCATCTTCCAAGTTACTTATTTGCACCAATCTGATTCAGGACTCGACATTTCTAAGAATGATGGAATATATTCACGTACATTTATTGCTCCAAGAATCAATGGATCATATCACGTGACTTACATGGTTACAAGTAACTCTAGAGGAGACACACAGAAAGGTAAAGCATCCACCAAAGACAAAAAGGTTGAGGTTTTTGATTTGTTTGATTTGTTTCCCTCTATATTTTTTCATAGTATATCTTTACACAAACATACAGTGTACAAAAAAGTTTCAATCATTTAATATTTTACCAAATGCAAGAAGAAAAAACAAACTAATTCTGTGTGTTGAAAAATCAAAGTAAGTGTACACCACGGCTTTGTGTAGAAAGTAATAAGCTGAAAATAAAGAAAAACGTTCCATTGTTATTGAAGGAATGTTAGAAATGGCAGAAATGGAAACAGAACCCATAGATCCCTATTCTGACCTTTCATTTGAAAACCACAAACATTGACATGTGTTCTTTTGTAAAGCTACAGTCTCACTTACATCCCGGCAGAGCCCCGGTAGACGTCCGGGGTGATCCGGGAACGAACGGGGTACGACCGGGAACAACCGGGGTACGTCCGTAACTCTGCCGGCAACGTCCTGGATGATCCGGGATGATCCGGGAACATCCGGCATTCAAACCCGGATGGAATAAAATATTTAATATCCCCGGGGTGGTCCGGGATGATCCGGGAAGGTATAGCTTTGCCGGCTTCATCCTTAGCTCTGCCGGGAACGACCGGGGTTATACCGGGAAAGCACCGTAGCTCTGCCGGCACAAACCGGGGATGATCCGGGGTATGATATAGCCGGTAGAGCTACGGTCGAGCTACGGTAGAGCTACGGTAGAGCGCCGGTATATGCCGGCAGAGCCCCGGTAACTACAGGCAGAGCCCCGGAGGATAAAGGTAGAGCTACGGTTGATCCCGGTAGAGCCCCGGCAAAGCCCGGATCATTTCAAAAGAATAACGACAATTTGCGATGATTGCACTTGTTTGCATTAAAAGCCTTCCCATTTCCCTTCTATCCAGTATAGCATAAGAATTTTTCAGAAAATCATCATGAATTACTATTCTGAAATAATAAATATTATATTAGATAAAAATTATGTTTCAATGTTATCATTTTCGGGCGTTTTCAATCCACCGGGGTTCTATCGGGGCTCTGCCTGGATCGTCCTGGGCTCTGCCAGGGTTCTGCCTGGATCGACCGGGGCTCTGCCTGGGTCAACCGGGGCTCTTCCGGCGTCATCCGGGAACGACCGGGGAAGCACCGGCATGAACCGTAGCTTCACCTGGGCTCTGCCTGGATAATCCGGAGCGCATCCTGGGTGGTTAGTAGGGAACTACGGAAGTGCTGCCGGGGTAAGTGTGACCGCAACAATAGTTTCATCCCGGATCGTCCCGGATCATCCCGGTTACTTACCGGGATGGTCCTGGGCACTGCCGGGAGTAAGTGAGACTGAGGCTTAAACAAATACTTTGTGATGAAATTCTTATTGAAATGCACTAATAATTTGACTTAGAAAGGTAAGGGTCATATAAAGATCTATCCATTAACATCAAATTCAGTTAAATAATTTTGATATTTTACTTATATGTGATGTTCTTTATCAACAGAAAAAGGTTACACAAAGAAGGATAACACTCATAGTCTAATTGAGAGCAATTTTCAGCGCCAAATACCAGCTGGTACAGTACACATCAGTTGTATAGGGATAAACGATATGCATGCCAAAGATCGTGACGTCATACCTCCATCCAGGATGACCGACTTGGAAGCAGTAACGTTTATTCCATATAGGAACAGTATTGTACTAAAATGGACAACACCTGGTGATGACTTTGATCATGGAAAACGTGAGTACTTCCCCTTTATATCAAGATCCCTCTTATTATACGATTTAATGTGTTTTAAGATATATTTCAAGTGAGTGTAAAGAAACCACTCACGCGTTTTTAAAAACGGAATGGTTAACTTGTTAAGGACTTGTACTACGATAAAAGTAACTGCACTCATTAACATAATAACCACATATTTCTGATAGATATACAAGTGTTTATATGGTATTATATCTTTTTGACTAAAGGAAAAGGAAAGAAATCAAATTATGTTAAACGGATATATATTAATCTTTAACTTCATTATATCTATATTTATGCTTCAGTCATCATAGATATCTTTTTAGATATTCGAACAAGTACTTTAGTTGTATTATTTCAGCTTTCGGCTACCACCTTTATATAGGATATGACATCAATAACGTACGCTCGTTCCTAAAATATATTTCTACCGGAAGTTATGATGGCACCGGACATGTTGCAAATGAGACGATTGCTGGGAAATCAAGCGCCACAGAGACTGAGATCTTTTTGTGGGACGTCAAGGTGTTTGCTCGGACATATGTGTTCGCTGTGCGTGCGTTCGATGACAGTGGTAACATCGGGGATATTTCAAATGTTGTTACCACGACAACTACTTTAAGACCATAGCGGTTTTCTGACTTCCTGTAAAAAAGTTATTTTTAAATTTGTATATCTCTATCACTTTAAGTATGACCTCATTGTTTTGAATATTATGTCTCAGGTTGGCGGTTCTATGCTGTTATTTTGATTGATATTAATTTCTCAGGTACATGAAGTTGTTACGTTAATTTGTTGAATAATTGCTCAGGTACATGAAGTTGTTACGTTAATTTGTTGAATAATTGCTCAGGTACATGAAATTGTTACGTTAATTTGTTAAATAAACTAAATAAATTTGTAAACAAGTAAAGTTTGTCATTTATATATGCTGAAAATGACAATTTCTTCATACATACTACCTTAATTAAATGAAAAGTGATTTTGGCTGTTGGTGAGAGCGCTTTACATTAAGATATTCTCAACGCAATAGCAGAAATATTGTGCACATGCGTGCTCCGTGTAGAACAAAAAAGTGAGACCGTTGTAGAAAGTGTAAGACTCAATTTTATGTTCCTGTTAATATTTCAGGGGAAGGCAATAATTTAAAAATGTATAAGCAAATAAATGATAATGCATACGTTATTGAAATTTAAATGATTGTGATTATATGCAAAAATGCTATCAATCATTTTGACCCCATTACAAATCAAAGTGCTGAATGCACTAAATGCGACGGACATGCAACCGGGGAGACATTAAGGCTTTTTCAGAAAAAAAACCCACAAAAGATATAACAGGGACAATTTGTTCCATACAAGTTCAAGATTTGTAGAGCAATCTATTTTAGGTGTCCCAATCTGATATCATTCAGATTTTCTACTTTCAAACAGAACACGTCCACAATTTTAAATACAGAATAAAATTCATGCCTCAAAACTCTAGTCAAACTTGTAAATCAGTGTCTCCGATTCATTTGTAAATAAAAAAATTGTCAACAAAATATTTCTAAAAAAAAACCATGCAAATAAACTTCAAGCATAATACATAATTATGCGAGAATGTTAATTAGAATAGCTTCGTTTTATATCATAGTTGGCATATAGATAATAAAATATGTCATTAGTATTTTTATTTCTCTTTAAAAATATTTTTGTTTAAAACCATCAGCAATCAATGGTGTATTTTTTAGATTTTTTTTTCATTTACAAGGTAAAGATGTAGAGGCCAGAGCACATTGTTTTAATTTTAATTTAAATGTCACTTAAGCACTACGTACAGTGTTTAGTTGTCCCTTTCAATTTCACACTTATTTATTATTCAACTTGTTTGCTTCTTACAATTGTATGAAATTTAAGTATTGCATGTAAACAAAGTAAGTATCCGCTGATTTATTTCATGTATAATGCGTACTACATAATTGTTTGTCCGAAAGTCAGCACAGGTGATGTAGCGGTGATTGGGAAAAATCTATTTTTAGAATAGTGTTATCCCAGATCGAAGGCTATTATAATCTCTCACAAATCATATTAGCAGGTTAACTCATATCGTGACCTAGAAAATAATGCAATTAATATGCGAGATATTCTAGAATTGCTGAGTCACGAAAAACTTTTGATCTGTTAATAAAAATGTTTTGTTTGATTGAGAAATACTTATAATTTCAAGGAATTATTGAGCTTACTCCTTAATTATAGCATAATTTGCTATCCTACTTTTTCGACAGCGGTAAATCGTTCAGCAGTTATTTGCATATTGCGCAATAATACTACGAGGCTACAGCGTTTTTATCAATCAAATACGTTCATATTTTAACTTGGATAACTTAATTTGAAAATGAAAAGGCAAAATATGGAAGTTTTTAAGATATTCCGACAAAGTATGGGAGTTTCATAGGATAAAATTCATGTACTATTTCTTTGGCTGTTATTCGGTTGGGGACACTTGCTCGATTGTAGCCGACGAAATTTTATGTGTAGATGACATAGCTCTGAACGCGCCTGAGGGCGCGTCCGTCGCAAAAACTTGAATTGTACGCAAACGCAGCTTTGTGGTAAATGAGTAACGGTTTAGAATATGTTAAATGATAACAGAAATAAAAAAGGTCTTGAAAAATAAAATTTGCACTTTTGAGACTTAATGGGTCTTGAACAAAGTATGTTTCCTATATTACTTACTGATCATGAAAACATAAAAGTTGTCCATACGTAATTTAAAGGTGTCAAAGTTAAAAAATATTGACATTATCATTTTATATCATCAAACATATTGAATAAGAGTAAATAAAATATCGTTCAAATTCAAAACAAAATATAATTTATTTACAATAACAAGACAACGAAGGCTCGTGCAGTTTGCTCGTGGTGATAACGGCACGCGGACGAGATAACCTGTTGATTTACCCCCTTAATGCAGGCGGATATACATATTGTATGCACTAAAAAGAGGGTTACTTATCAACACGACAGGACTATCTTTATCGCTTTAAACGTTTCATAATAAATTGGTAAGGTTTTGGAAAGAAAAATTGAATGAACTCAGTTTATTTGATTTGATTTATCTGACTGAAAACTTTGATAACAGAAGCGAGTTAGAGATCATGTCAAAGTTTTTGAGAATGGTTGTTTTTATTGTCGGAATATGCATGCTCGCGCTATTTAAGCCAGCGTTTGGCCTAAGCCGACCATCAACTATTGTTTTAAAAAACAATGGTTTTACAAACGTCGTTGTTGCAATCCATGAAAGTGTTCCGGAGGATAAGACGCTCATTGATACATTAAAGGTATTAAAGTTTTTATTCTCCTCTCCTCATATTTAAACTCACTGTTCACATGGTAAAATCTATGATTTTGATTTTGCATGAAATTGAATAATTTTCTTTTATACCGGTATGATATATATCATGTATACATATGATAAATTTATATGACGCTTATCTGAGGATTGGAATAGTGATGGAATACATAAATTAAAGGGGTAACTTAATTTATTTTGATAACATTCTTAGACTAAATTGTAAAACTGTTTTGTTGCTATTATTTTCGGTGGACCTAATAGTATATTGTCAGGATTAGAAATTTTATACGGGTGAGAAGAATTTATAGCCATCATACAAAAATATGACATTTACTTTTTAATAGGATGAAATGATAAAAGCATCAAAAATTCTTTATGTTGCTACAAAACAACGAGCATTTTTAAAAGAAATAAAAATCCTACTTCCTTCTACCTGGTCAAACGACGGCTCTTACCAGACGCCCACGAGCGAAAACTTAAGGTTTGCTGACGTCATTATAACAGATCCAATCCGAGGCAAGAGGAGCATACCACAAACAAGATCATATGATGGTTGCGGTAAACAAGGAGTCCATGTTCTTTTGACTAAAGAATTTCTAACTACACCAAGAGCGGACCCGTATTTAAATAACCCTGGTGAGAAAAACAAATCATTTGTTGACGCGGTTACATTATAGCGAAATTAAAGTGTTTTGTTAAAATTCTTATATGATCATTCAGAGCAGATCAGAACAGAACTTTTATTTCTTTTGATTTGTACATAGTACATCATCATATACGTCATAACTTCTGAGTAACAAAATCATTTTATGGCAATTATTAAGCCTTATTTAAATGAAAATGAACAAATATAAAAAACCCTCCAAGATGAAAAATAAAAAAAAAAAAATTTTTTTTTATCGTTGAACATTATTTGAAATTTAAGTTCTTACAGCAATAGCTTTTTGTAATTGCTAGTTTACATAGCTGTGCAACAGTGCAATGATTTTATACATAATTAGACTTACAAAATAATACCGATATCTTTTTAAGGCTAAGAATACTTGTATAAGAATAAAAATGAAATTCTTCTTCTAAGTCTCTTATATTACAACATTGACAGTAGCGTATATTTCTCTGTATTCTAATTCAAGAACATCTTCAAGTTTGCATCCTTAATAAGTTGTTTGAAATGGTTCTTAATTTAGTAATTAGTCGTCTCAATTGTTCAGGCAGCATATCCAGCTAATCTTCGTTTTAAGAATTTATCATATGCACACATTTATATCATTTGATTCATTAGAAACATATCATTCTTGTATGAAACATTCAATAATTCGCTGTCTAATTACAGGAATAAATTAAAGATTTTAAAATTAATTATATATTCCAAACATATGTAAAACCATAGTCATGCAAAGGTTTTTTTTTAAACATACGCTACAAGGTTATATAATCTTTCATGTCAATCATTCAATGCTAGCTGATAAACTGAGTGTAAAATAATATTGTAAGTGTGCAACTTAAATCAACAATCTAGATCTCAATGCACACTAGTAAGCAGTATTCCTTACTGACAAAAAAAAACAAATATTAAATGTATCATTTCAATTTCATTTTCAAACAAATGAATCAAACAGCTGACATAATAACTCGGGATTTTGTAAAAAATATTCTTTTTTTACAATTAAAAAGCAAAAACATTTAGCCCCGTTAACGCTTTACATGTTAAAGCTTTACATTTACCGTATTCCTCATTCAATATCATTATTCTCGTATAACCAAAACGTATTTCTTAATTAACCCCTCTTTTCCCAAATACAAATTTTTAGCTTTATATAAATTTACCTTCTAATCCCCGATTTTAACAATATTTATGCCATCTACCTGAATGCATTTGAAAATACTTGGGAGGTTTCACCTAATGTCACCATATCATCGGCAATTAAAACTATAAATGCTTAATTATCCGAACATTTTCAGCAAAGTTCTTTGTCCATGCTTTTGCACAATTTAGATGGGGAGTATTTCAAGAATACGCCGAAGAAGGGGAGAATGTTTTTTACATGTCGCCATCAGTTGGCCAACCAGAAGCCATAAGATGCACGATCATGATCCGAGGATTGGTACAAAAAAATGATGCTCGACACACAATATGCTACTCACGTAGGTTGAAAACATCCGCTAATTAGACACAATGTGCAATAGCTTATTAATATTATTAGGGATACAGTTTTATTTTTATTTAGCAATGTTGATAGACCAAAATAGCCTATATAAGAAAAAAACATAACAACTGATATCAAATGTATTCAGACAAAACGAAAGAAGTAACACTTTTTATTTGGCTTCTTTTGGTTTTTGTTATTGTTTAAAAAAAAGATATGTCACTTAACGTAGTGCTTTTGCTTTTCACAGACCTTCTAGCAGACAGACAACACGTAATTGCTTCGATAGATGATAAAACAGGTTTATATCACGCTGATTGTCAATGGAGACCATATCCAAACCATCAGCGAACAAAGGCATCGATAATGGACCATCAGTTTATTCAAGAGGTGTCGTAAAGTAATTTTAAATCATATAGTAATTAAGTAAAAGTATTAGATGTATGTTTTCTTTATAATATAGTGTTTATATGAGTGTCAAGGTTGTACCTCGAAAATCACACAGAATGAAATACCAATCCTTTTAAACGTTCAATCAAACAACCTTTGTTCAATAATATCATATTTATTATTATTCGTTTATTTCAGTCTCTTTCTCACATTTACAAATACTGTACATAAAAAATATACATTTAAAATACATGTAAGACCAATCAATTGAAGAGACATATGTAACTATTATCACAAACAATTTATTTACATTTAAAACATATAAGAACTAGTATATTATTGTTAATCTTATTTATTTTTAAAATCCTATAAAAGAGAAGAAAAAGAAAAGAGAATATACCCCACACTACAAATGGTTGTAAAATACGGATAATATGTTTGATTTAATGAAACATATTTAGAAATTAGATTAACAACTGTATTCTAGCAGTTGAGTAAAAACAGTTTAACCCAGGATAAAACCAGAATTGACTTATAGGATTAAGAAAAACAACAACAAAAAACTAATTTTACATCATAAGTACTCAATCCATATCCTGACACAAATGTGTAGCAGTATTAAAAAGTATTTTAAACTGCTTCAATATATATATTTATGTATATATATTTGTTCATTTTGTCGATACCGATTCGACTGAAAACTATATAAACATCCTTAAATTCATGCGTAGCTTTTGTATAAAACATTTTCACATGCCAAACCTTTGTAAGTCTTAAAACTCTTTAAACGGCCATTGTCTAACACAGCTTGTTACATTCTGTGGAGACGATCCAAAAGACTACGCCACATTTCATAACAGCGAGGCTCCCAGTAAACATAACCGACTGTGTGGACATAAGAGTACTTGGGGAATCATCACTGAAACCGATGATTTTAGGGGTGGTATTAACGCTCCAACGACTTTATCAGATGATCAAATTAAACCAACTTTTATCGTTATGAGAGCCACTTCACGGAAACGCCGCGCTGCCGTTTTAATCAACCCATCTTTATTGACAGAGGTATATTTTATTATCATGACCTTGAATATATATTTTATGAAATATGGATGAAAGATGAATGAATATAAATACTGGTATATCTGTGATTTTTTTTTTATGTTTCTTAATTCGACATTAAGTTAAGCATTAAGGCGGTGCTGTTTTACTATTTTATGATACATTTATACATTTTTAAAAACTATTAAAGATATACTCTTACTTAAAATGACTAAGCCACGTATGTATTCATTAATCTAAGTTTTTGTCCTTGTGAGAAAATTTTCGGTTAAATCCTTTTTACTAACCATGCTTTACTTTAATATTAAGTATCTCTTGCTAATAGATGTTACCTTCTGGGTGTTACAAAAACAACTATTGTAGTTAGATATGATGTATTTTCTGATATTTGTGACAGGGGCCACTTTCAAACAAAATTGAACAAACACTCCAACATTTAGAACACGAAGCTTCAAAGACAGATTTAGAGTTATCAGTTCTTAGAGAGGAAATGACCAGTATGCAGGGAATATTTGATGAAGGCAATGGTCACAAGTTGTACAAGAGCAATACGTTAAATGAACAGGACCGGTTTGAACAAAACTTTGATAGTGTTAATAAGGTATTTACAACAAAAATATTGATGTTGTTACAACTTGATTCAATTGGATAAAACTATTTTAAGAGACAGTTTATTTACTGATGTAGTCCAAAAATATGTATTTGACCAAGAAAGAAAATAAATGCATATTCAACTATGATGGTTTCGTATGTAAACAAGAATCAGATTAAAGTATTACCATCTTGCCGCAAACGATATTTAAACAGTATCTATTGTATAAATCAATTGTAAAATATGCCACTAGTAATTCCTTGGTAAGACGTTACACTTTATGACTTCAAAAAAAAATACAAATCATACCCGCAAATAAGCCCCCCCCCCCCCCCCCCCCATAAAAAAACAAAAAAACGACAACAAAAAACAAACAGAAAAAGAAAACTCTATAAGAAGACAATTAAGAAGATAATGATAATAATAGAAATTGATTTTAGAACTATTTCTATCATAAAACAGAGATATGTGTATTGAACCTTATTTGTCCCCTTGAAGACAATTTTCCTTTTTTATATTTTTATAAAGACTATCTTTGATTTGGTAAAGATAGTTTTACTGTCAGATCTTCAAGAAATCAAATCATTTCTTTTTATTTTTTAATGTATTTCGTTCTTTGATTCTTGTACATGTAATTATCTGATCTGATTGATCATTTTCATTTGATATAAAAAGACAGGAAATTGCACGAGATGGTTATAAAAATGAGAAATTTTGATAAAAGCAAATTGAACCTTTGATATGTAAAGATGAGCGTCACTCACAGTATGGAACAAAAGAATTGTATACGCGACACTTTGTTTAGCCATATCTTCTATTAAATTGCAAGATAACGCCCAGTGATACAGGTCAAAGTTATAGTGGCAAAAAGAACGGATTAGTTGTCTATTTTCAAAACAATCTCTACGTCTCTAAAATAAGATAAGATTCTGAAGTAGATTTTTTATTAAAGATTTATCATCTTTTCTATGCTGTTTGAAAAGATATTTTTGAAACAACTTTTGGTGGTCCGTTTTTATCGGTAAATTGTGAAAGAAGAGTCTATTGAAGAAAAGATGATAAACATAGAAGGTGACCTTTATGTCCTTATTATTAAATGATCGGCTTAACAAATTCAATAAAGTTAAATGTAAAAAGAAAGACATTTTATCTCTGAATATATCTTCAAAAAGAAACATAAGAGAAAAAAGCGAACAACTTGATGATTCAGTGACATTTCAAGTATTATATATTATCAATGTATTCAGCTTTTTAGACGCGAAAACACTTTGAATTTTGGTCAATATTTTAATGTGTTTTTCTTGTACTCACAAGGGGTACTATCAACAAAAAAAGTTATTTTACCTGCAACTGAAATACACATGAATCCTTAAATACTACAGACAAAACAGTTCATCTAGTTTAAAAAAACATCTTATTATTTAAACAGTATAAAAAGCCCATATTTTGATATGAAAGCACATGCATTTGCTAATTTTGATAATTGTAAAAATACTTAAATAAAACTAATTATTTAAATCATTTATTATGCTTGAGTAAGATTTTTAATACTTCATGCAGTTAATAACGTGACACTTTACTATAGGGCGTCAATAAAAGGTGATGTTTTTCACTTTAAACGGTTTTTTAATTTGGGTATATGATAAAGAGAATAATATATTTGTGTAGGGTCATTACTGAATTTATTGAATTCGTTCAATAAATTCAGTATTGAACTTACAGACGATCAATACCGTCTGAATATGAAAATTAAAATAAAAATGGAGACGTACTACACTAACTAAAGTTTTAAAATAAATTAGCTATACCTATATCATAACATACTTTGTATGATTACAGAATAAAACTCTAGACGAAATAAATGATGGCGATCTAGTTATTGTAACAGACACCTTGACTGAAAACATGAAGCAGATTCTGACTGACAAAAGTAAAAGTGGTTTGAAGGTTTCTGTGGTTTCTGGCGATCCGAACGAGATGACCAACGACCACCATGGTATATAGAAAAGTTACACAGAGATGCTTGTGACAATACCATACTACATGATACATTTGATAAATAATGATAAAAAGTCACATTCATTTAAATAATATGATTGTTTTGCCTCTAATCCTCTACAGATTTTTGCTTACGTTTTTTGAACTTCATATAAAAATTGACAGAAAGCAAGTTGAGGGCTTTAGCAGTTCAAAGCAAAATGTCAACTCCGTTCCTTCTGTTTGGGAAAAACAACAACAACAACAAAACATCTAGATCATTTTGGTATTATAGTATTTTATTTTATGCTTTTCAGTGGATTAATGATTTATCCGTAAAAATCATATTTGATAATTTCACAATGAAAATTATCAAAATATAATTTCACACTTTTCAATGACGAAACTACTTTTTTAAGATTTTCCCCATTTGGTACCTCAAATTTATTTTTGCTGACTATTCCGACAATGTCAGGCTGTTTAAAGAAAAGCAAAGCTGAAATTGATAACTTATATGTCAAAAGTAATAAAAAGAAGAAAACTTACAGTAAGTTACTTCTATTCATTCAAATTACCAATCACCAAATATCGTCTCTTTAATTTTTTGTTTCATTTTTACAGTCTGAAAAATACATTCCTTCCACATGCAAAACTGCTCTTGATGACATTTGGGAATATTTAAGTATCCTACGAGCAAAAACTGCCGTATGCTTTATGAAAACTTGAAAAGCAATGGCAGCTTTCAGTCGAAGAATATGTAAACATTTTTTACCCAGCGTTCGCAAGGCTTCCAAGTTTTCCAATTTCCTATCCACTTTTTTTGAATGTTTACACATCTGTCAACACTTATTTATTGTCTGTTACAATCCTCAAATAAGTTTTCTTTCTTTTAAAAAGGTGTATGACTAACAAATCCAAATGATATCCATCTGAATCAAACACAATTATTTTCCTCCAGTGAAATACACAACTTTAAAAATGGCGGCCGCTTACATTTAACGTAGCCAGGTCTAATATAAATTCGCAGTCAGTAACAGAAATATGGATGGATGGTTGGACTTTTTCTCCTACTAGAATTGTTTGTTTTTATTATATAAACATGCGATCAGACATGTTTTTTTTTAAATAAAATGAATACTATCAACACCATTTAACGTTGATTGTGGAACTTATTTTTCAGCCCATGACTTCTTGTATTTAATGAGAAATTCGACTTTTTTGAGGCTCTAAATGGGGAAACAGATTTTAATATTAACGTAAATATTAAGGAAATTTCGTTTTAACTTGTTTTTAAGCATAAAATAAAAAAAAAATGTTTGTTTGTTGTGTAAGAGGTAATTTTATTTCATCGAGTGAACTTTAAAAACAGTATTCTCACTCGTGGCTACGCCACTCGTGAGAATACTGTTTTTAAAGCCCACTCGATGAAATGAAATTTCATCTTACAAACAAACAAACAAATATCCTCTATGTAGTCGTGTATTCCCATTTCACATCATTTATTTCTTCTTTTAAAGTGTTTTTTCTTTTTTTATGTTTAATCTTAAAGATTTTCATTCCACAAATACTTTACTTTTCAGACTAGGAACGGAAGTGATTATCTTTTTTAAGTTACAGGTTAGGGAAGGTAAAATTATTTAATTAAAATGATAAGATTAGTTCATCTCATTACATGATCTGCGGAGCTTTTTAAATAATAGTTTTGTTTCAGAACATTTCAGCTTGCACCATACTGGAGGAGCTATAGGCCATACACTTTTAGATAGACTGAGAAATGTACTTTTGGTAGATAACGTAAAAACTGTATTGGTACGTTTTTCTTTTTACAACGTGATAAATACGTCATCTTGAAGAACAGATTCATCATTACTTTCCTAAATCCGATTTAAATGATAATCAGTAAACTATTGAATATTACACGAGTGGTCATTTTGTAAACTATTGCAGGATTGTAATTTCGCTTTTCATTGGATAAACATCAGGTTTGAATATAATCTTTATACACGACTGCTCTCAACTTGTTAATTGGTTTCCGTTTTTTCTACAAATAAAGTAATTTTGCTGCATTTGTAATTTGTTATTAATATGTATGACATGTTATATGGCATCGTATAAATTGATGTTTGCAATATAACCCTCACCTTGCGGGTTAAAAAACTAGTACGCATATAACCCTTTATCACGTGCCATGTAACATGGCACACAACATTTTAACTAACAATATACTAGTATATTATCATAAAACGAATTTAGGGACGTACAAGAAAGCAAGTATTTTGGGAGTGTTTTATACATCTTTGGGAGAATAAACCGTCGATGGTATAACTGGAAACATAAATTCTCTATCTCTCAAACCAAAAAAAAAACTACAACATATATTGACATATATTGAAAGTCACTCCTTTTCATATGATAGGATCGATATATATTAAATCAACTCATTTACTCCTGATTTTTTATTGAACAATCAATCTCGTTACATGACGCGTTTGGTCAATTTTAGCAATGACGTTATTTTCATTAATAACGTACGTTCCTCATTAACTGATTAGACTATTTTTTATCTAATTTATAGATAGGTCAAGAGGAAACTGAATTACGAGGCAATGAACCAGTTTCAAGAACAGTTGATATAGATAAAACTCTTGGAATGCAAATTTCATTCATCTTTCATTTTGAAGAAGAGCTGCCTTACATTCGTATAACATCACCTAATGGTACTCTCTACGGACCTGACTCAAACGTTTACTCTGTTGATGAAACTTCAAAAGCGATTCAGTTTTATTTCCCGCACATACAGGTAAAACTCGCGTCTTTTACGACTTCTTTAGAATCAGAGACAATTTATTAACAACATGTATATAGATGTATGCCTCCATATTAGCCAAAATAGTTTAAGAAAATATTAAACTTTAGAAAACTGTACTAAGAGTTGAAAGAAAAGTAAACTGATTCATGTTATAATTAACGTGATTGTTTTGTGCGATTGATGATTTTGCAGTATTTTTCACCATATTTCTACTGCGTGACTAACAAATAAAGGCTATTTTTTGCACATTTTGACCTCCTTTTGTTCATTGACGTGGATTGTAAAGTGCCGTTTGCAATGTGTTAATTACTTTTCTTAGTTCACTTCACAATGTTTTACTTTTGTATACATTTTTGAAAAATTTCATGAAAATTAGCTGGAATATGGAGGCATGCTGCTTAGAATAAAAAAAATTATCTTCCTTTCATGGTAAAGACCACGCCTAATTTGCCTAGAGTTTATTTACATAGATCTTGTTCATTTTTTATTTTGATTTATCAATGTTTTTATTTACATAACTTTATCTTAGATAGTTTAATCGTTACAGGTTGGAACATGGACGTACACCTTGTCACAATCATCGATGACGTCACAAAAAGTACGTGTTACAGTTATTTCTGAAAACATCGCTGAACACGAAGACCCGCTAGTCTTGCGGCAGTCTGTAAAATTTGCAGACGACACAAATACATCTGTGATTCTTCATGTTGACGCAACACAAGGGGCGAGTCCCTTGATAGGCTTTAATATCACAGCAAAGGTAGGGACGCCAGATGGAACAGTGGATTACTTGACACTTCTAGATAATGGAGCAGGTACAATAGCTAAAGAATCCCGTGAAGTTTGAATACAATCTAAATACTAGTAGTTGATAATCTTATTTATGCGATGACAATATTTTGTATGAAATTGAAGTTGCGTTCAAGATACTTTTATTATTGTCATAAAAGGTGAATAAAGAGGTTTGCATTTATAAAGAAGGTTTCATATTAAAACGTACAAATTGATACCTTCGCATAAATCTAATTTTGCCTTTTAAGGTTAACCTTTTGTACTGAATGTTTCAATATGCTCAAAACCGGTAAGAAGAAACTTTTGTTTTCCTTATTTATAGAGATAGATAAATGTAAGGTTTATGAAAGTAAACCTACATAATTTATGATATTTGAGATCTTAGATATTTTATTTTACCCAGTGATCAGTCACTAGCAGATATTGTGTGTTTTTTGTCGTAGGAGCTGATATAGCAAAGAACGATGGCATTTACTCGCGTATTTACATAGCGCCAAAACTAAGTGGATCGTATCACGTGACATTCATAGTGTCGTCTGGTGGTTCTGGGTCTGTTTTCAGGAAAGAAGAAACAGCGTCAGTCGTTAATGATGGTATAAATATAAGTATTTCAATTTTTAGGGGAAAATATACTAGATATGATGCATACATAAAATCTCAAAAATGTAAAAAAGGTTCTGCAATTATCTGCAGTTACACTCGACAAGGTCTGCTATTAAAGCCACTGCTGTTAGAAAGGTATCTAGAATAAAATATGAATGTCATCTACTCGCAAGAATTATTTTTAAAATCACGAAGTGCTCGATCTAAACATTCTATTTTCTTCTTCATTTTCTTAAGTGAACGCTACAGTTTAGACAAACAAAGCCAAAACACTAATTTCCAAGGCTGTCTCGTTTCACTGACTTCGCGCAGACTAGAAATACAAATCATAATATTTAGTCTAAGTTTGATACGTAAAGGATAATCTGTTGAGTATACTAGACCTAAATTTGGCTAAAGTACAGTTGTTTTCACGAATTGCCAAACATGAGCAAGAAGTGATTACCGGTATTCTGATTTGTTTGAAATGTTTCAGAGCTTAATCCAGTCAGAAAATCCGTTAGAAAGATACCATTAGACGGAAACATTCAAAGGCAAATTTCGGGTGGAACAATATTCTTGCGTTCCTCGAATCTTAATGACCTCATCTTTGACGTCATAGCACCATCAAGAATTATTGATCTCAGAGCGGTGACGTATGTTCCATACAGAAAAACAATGGTGTTAGAATGGACAGCTCCCGGCGACGACCATGATCACGGAAAACGTAAATACAAAGATGTGGTTTAATTTTGATAAAATCAAGATACAAATCCTGCAAATTTTGTTGTATCATGCACACAGTCTACTGTAATGATAAATCAAATACAATTTACACGTTATTCCATAATTCCAAAACTTTGCTTCAGGTTACATAATATATTTTTATAAGTTTTAGCTCACCTGTCACAAAGTGACAGGATGAGCTTTTATGATCGCTTTTCGTCCGGCGTCCGTCCGTAAACTTTTACTTTAAATGACATCTCCTAATAAACCACTGAGCCAATTTCATCAAAACTTCACAGGAATGTTTCTTTGGTGGTCACCTTTAAAAATTGTTCAAAGAATTTAATTTCATGCAGAACTCTGGTTGCCATGGCAACCGAAAGAAAAAACTTTAAATTTTTTCTTTTAAAAAATCCAAAGAGCTACAGCTTAGATATTTGGCATGAAACATCTTCTTGTGAGTGTCTACCAAGTTTGTTCAAATAAAAGCCCTGGGGTCAATATTGGCCCCGCCCCAGGGGGTCATTGATTTTTCCTATATGCATATATTAAAAACTTAAAAAATCTTCTTTTAGAGAACCTAAAGAGCTAGAGCTAAGATATTTAGCATGAAACATCTTCTAATGGGTGTCTACCAAGTTTGTTCAAATAAAAGCCCTGGGGTCAAAATTGGCCCCGCCCAGGGGGTCATTGATTTTCCTTATATGTGTATAGCAAAACTTAAAAATCTTCTTTGAAAAAACCCAAATAGCTAGAGTTTAGATATTAAGCATGAAACATCTTCTAGTAAGTGTCTACAAAGTTTGTTCAAATAAAAGCCCTGGGGTCAAAACTGGCCCGCCCCTGGGATGTCATTGTTTTTAACTATATGTGTATAGTAAAAACTTAAAAAATCTTCTTTTAAAGAACCCAATGAGCTAGAACTTAGATGTTTAGCATGAAACATCTTCTTATGGGTGTCTACCAAGTTTGTTCAAATAAAAGCCCTTGGGTTAAAATTGGCCCTGCAGGGTGGGGGGGGGGAGGTCATTGTTTTTTCATTATATGTGTGTAGTAAAAATTTAACATCATGAAACATTTTCTAAGGTGTGTCTTCAAAGTTTGTTCAAATACAATCCCTGGGGTTTAAACTGGCCCCGCTCCGGGGGCCTATATACAGGTGAGCGACCTCAGGGCCATCATGGCCCTCTTGTATATTATAATCTTGACATGTAAAAATGTCCCTGAGCTTCTTGGCGTTAGATCTTAGTAAAACATTTGGAGGCTCGATCAAATATGTATGGCACGTTTTATATATGAGCCGCGTCATGACAAAACCAACATAGTGGATTTGCGACCAGCATGGATCCGGACCAGCCTGCGCATCCGCGCAGTCTGATCAGGATCCATGCTGTTCGCCTACAAACCATATTAACAAGTAGATAAACTGAAAGTGAACAGCATGGATCCTGATCAGACTGCGCTGATGCGCAGGCTGGTCTGGATCCATGCTGGTCGCAAACGCACTATGTTGGTTTTGTCATGTCGCGGCTCAATTATAATTCATCACCAGATTTTACCATCGTCATTTAGATCTAGTGTTTTAGATCCTGTTTTACTTTACAGCTGATATCTACGAATTTGTTGTCGGTTGTGGGGTCAAGGACGTTCGTCTTTTTTTGAACTATCTCTCCTCTGGTGATTACAAAGGTCAAGGTAACGTGATACAAGAAACATTCAACGCACGTGCAAATGGAACTGAAATTGAAACGTTTCTATGGAGTACAGTTGGCAATGACAAACCGTATATATTTGCTATTCGTGCTGTTGATAGGTTTGGCAACAAAGGCCAATTTTCAAACCTTGTCACAGCCTAACTTTTACCATGCTGATTTCCTGAATACCTTGTTATTGAAACTACCGAGAGTAGACTAATTTTTTTAACTGTATGCGCTAAAGAGAAATATTTCTATTGCTTAGTATAATATGTTACACTTTTTACAAACATAATAGAAAAAAATCTCATAGTTTTAACAGAAATTTAATCGACACTTACGTCCATCATTCATTTGATGACACCATGAAAAAATTCGGACAACACACAGTGCAGGCGCCAATTTCGCTGACATTGGTTAGTACGAACGTTTTGCTGGAAAATTTGAAAATAACAAAACTCACTTCATAGAGAAACATGTTAGAGGTCGACCCATGAAAAAAGTATAATCGCTTCTTAATTTTTGTCAAATTATACTATTGTTAACTTTTTAAACACATTCATTAAAGATGTTCCTCAAACTGGACAATCAAAACCGTGTCTTGAGTTATATTTCCAACCAAGGCGTTTGTCAAACTAAAGAGCCAAACTTTAGAGGTTGTTCGTTAATTCGACACGTGTGACAGAATTAAACTAATTTAGAGCTCACTTTAATCAAACTGACCAAATATGACATTACCTACATTGTATTTGACTGTGAACGAATAAGCATCAAATCTTACTTTATTAACGATGTTCTAAATTGACGTTTCAGGTATCGCATATATATTTTCATTATTTGAAATATTTTTTAGTATTAACATTTGGTTAAAATGAACTTCAGCAATAGGTATATCAGTGATTTAAATTACATATATGTCTGATTGTGTATACATGTCGAGGCAAGTTGATGAAAAGAAATATTGCAGATATTCGCCATCAAAGTTGATTCTACGCACTTCTATAGTTCAAGTGGTGTTATATCAAAGGAGGTACTATTGGCAATGCTATTTAGCACTACCGAGAACAGCCCTGGCTGATAAGCTTATTGGGAATGCACCAACAGATTCGAATCCCGGTTACTGACGGCGATACATATTGTTCTGGTAGACTATATAAGATTTATATAGTCTACATGTTATCCGCTTATCTGTTGTGAAGAAAATTGACAGATCTAAGATCATAGTGGAAGGAAAACACTTTTAGAAGACAATTTTTCCGGAAAACATTAGCTGTGATCAGTTATTCAAATACCAGTACCTTTAATTAAGTGGGACACATGCTATAAGTTTGGGCCACTAGAGGTACCTAAATAACTATAAATAATGTTGACTATGAACTCTACCGATTATGTATCCAGATGATGATTTAAACTAAGACTGGGGCGTCCGTGGGCGAGTGGTTAATGTCGTTGACTTCAAACCACTTGTCCCTCACCGCTGTGGGTTCAAATCCCGATAGGGACTTTGGCTTCTTTCATGTGAGGAAGCAATCCAGCTAGCTTACGAAACGTCGGTAGTTCTACTCACGTGCCCGTTCGTGTATGAAATAATTCACAGAAGGGCACCTGAGGTCTCCCTCCACCAGTAAAGCTGGAACGTCGCCGTATGACCTATACTGTGTCTATGTGACGTAAAACCCAAACAAACAAACAGTGTCCAGCCTTTCCATAGCAAATAACATACAATGGTGACCCTATAATATTGGAATCTCGGCTTCAAAGATTGATAATTAAGTATTTCACTGTAAATTACGCGTGTAAGACATATTTAAACATACACATTTTTCACTGGTTAAAGAGCTGAGGTGATCAACATTTTTGGAATATTGTTCTTTCATAATTATGTTTGGGTCGTAAACGGGTCGTAAAGTGTTATGTATTCTGCATTAATTCATTTTGTGCTTTATTGTTTTATGTATTCTTAAACTTAAATAAGGGTGTCGAATCAAGGATCACCATGTTGAAAAACCGGACCCTCATTGGACAAATTTTACCATATATTACATTCAAAACTTTAGATGCTACCAAAGAAGTAGTACTTGGAAATGCATGAAACTGTTGGATACTGTACATTACGGTGTCGAAGTTAGGATATACATAAAAAATGTACATTTGTTACGAAAATTTATCTTAAGGTGTGGCAATTTTATTCTTACATATTCACAGTGACTTAAACTAGCATCAACAAATCTTAATATATGTATATAGTCTCACCATGTCTGTGAAGTCCTTTAAGTGACTTTGTTTTTCATTTCACATTTTATGTTTTGCACCTGATTAATTTAAGGTGATCTTTGCATTACTTAACTGATGAAATATCATAAACTACAATGTTGTAATCGATCAATCTGCTAATACATATCTTAGTCATTTGTTGATTACAACAAACTGACAGTATTCCTTTCTGTACAGGTGCAGAAATCTTTTCCATCAGCAATGATGAAATACCCCCTTTTCTACTATCATCTTTTATGACCTCTCCCATCAGCTTGCCATCAGGTGTAAACTGTAAAACATTATTGGAGCCACATCCAGATACCAGCACACCACCTGCTTCGGTGAGATAACAACATGTAGCCCCCTTTAATTGTCTATCATTAAATAATGAAATAACCTGACCATTGTTGTCCAGTACTATCAGTCCATTATTGTAGTCAGCAACATAAATCCTAGTAGCATCCTGACTTACAGCTAAACTGTGTATGTCAGAGAAAAGCTTACGTCCTGACTGATCCTTACTGAACTGATGAAGCTTCCTACCAGACAATGTATACATATATACATATGTCTGACTGTCTGAAATATATAAATTTTTGTTTGCATATGCAAGGCCATGACATACAAAATCAGTGTTAAACCAATTAACTGTTTTCATTTGTCTTCCTAGTAGAGAAATGAAGTGAATTTCCTTTTTTGATTGAACAGTAACTGCTATTTGTGTGTATTTGATCAAACACACTTGCCATGGCTTTCCAGGTAGATCATAGTAGTCTGTGCCAGTATAGTTTGACTGTGTAGCCGTTTAAGCTTCCTGTTGTGATGATCAGCAAGAATAATTGTACCATCTTCCATACAGCAAACACTTCTGATATTGCAAAATTCTTTATCAGACATAACTTTTACATTATATGATTGTTCTCCTTTAATATTCAATAGATTGTCAACAGTCTTTATAGATTTCTCTGATAGTGTACCTAGGGTTTTCTTTTGTTCCAGCTGTGTAAGAATTGCCCTATTAGGTTGAAAATCTACGTCTTCCACAATACTTTTTAATTTTATATCTGATATATATTTGTTGGCAACATTTGCCGTATTCTCTGCCATCTTAACATACACAAACATTTCAGATTGATTTGTGTTTGTAGATGCTAATTTATCATTAGCTGATGTGATCATGGACTTGTTTGCCTGTAGTTGTTTTATTACAACGTCTATCTTGTCCTCAATACATTTGACTTTACTTTCTATCTCATCGATAGAACTGTTCTCCAGCTTGTCAAGAAGTTCATTGATTTCTTGACGGAATTGTCTGATATCAGCCAATATTTCTACTTTCCTCTTTAGCAGCGTTTGTTTATCTTGTTTAAATCTATCAGCTTGTTTTGTTAGAACCTTGGCTATTTCCTTGAGTTTTGTTTGAACTTCTCTTTGTGAATCTAGGTAATTGTGTGTTTTGAGAAATTCTGGTATGTAGAATGTATCCTTGCATAATCTGAAAAGTAAGATCAGACAGTTTATACACATGAGGCTATGGGATGACTGAGGAGATATTATGTTATTTATTGTAACATTTTTAAATTGAACATTTCAGATATGTTTGTAAAAAAAATAATACGTATATATATTATTTTACCTATGATCAACTGCCATACATGTAGAACATCCAACATTATCATGGTTCTGACAGTACATATCAATATGTTTATGACTGTGTCTGTCACATCTCTCTGCCGGTGCCCTGCGCACACCTTCGCTTGTTCTTGACGTAACTTGAGATTTATCCAACACCTTGTGACAAGCTAATACAGGTACTTCATTGTGAACTTGAACACAACTTCTACAAAAGTAATCATGACAATCTACACTTCAGAGTTTTTGCCTTTATTTTTACACATTGAACATAGTACATCAAATATTTCATCTGATAGAGTATCCATATTTGTTTGTCCGCCAGTAGCCATATTATAGTAATTGCATTGAAACGTGTTATCTGAACTGGTCTGTTTACGGATAACAGTGTGCCAAATTCGTTTTACAGTCCTTTTAAACATAGCAAGTAAATAATAATTAGTAATTTGTTTCAAACTTCTTTCACACCTGTAATGACATTTAACTTATTCCTTTTTCTCTTTTAAATGATAAATATCATCTCATATTGCTAAGTTATGTGGAAAGGTTCGCCATACTAAGATTATCAATAAAACGCCCTTTTACTTTATACACAGTTGTATCTTTATCTGTTAAAATGTTGATACAAAGTCCACATTTATTTTATCTTCCAGATTGATAAACCTACCTAAGATACTAAGTTTTAATTGTTAACATAGGCTGTAGTTATATTATACTAGCTTATTAAGAGTTGAAGAATGAATACCGCTTAATCATGTCCCATGAAGCTTTTGGGATGGAGCACTGTTCCATTATGGCATTATCCCTATGAACAGACTCAATGAAACCAAGTCTGCAATTTTCATTTTTTGATCCAGGGATCCCGCCTTTTCAATATTTTAAAACATTAACGTGATGAAAGTAATAAAATATGATAAACAAGATCAACAAGGAAAGGCGGCGTTCAATGAACGCAACCCCCATATGACCCAGCAACAAGAACCAACGGCAAGGAGCCCAGGCGGACCCCGAACAAAAACAGGACAGGGCAAAGACAGAGCACGGACAGGTTAATCATTAAATGATAAATAATTTGGAACTGATTAGGAATTCAAAGAAAATAATAATAGGCCCACAAAGGGGACAGGAGACCGGGGGAAGGGGGGTGGGGGTAATTAAAGAAATAAAAACTAGAGGCAATGGGGAAGATACTTACCGTAGACGAGAAAACAACAAGGGACACAAGCAAAAGTGTCACCAAAACAGTATGAAACAACATAGACATACATCTGAGGAACACAGTGGGGCGCCGCCTTGGAACGGTCAGCAGCATAATAATGACTGCTGGGGAGTTTAAACCGGTTAATGGTGCACCAAACCTCGCTCTTAGCCCCACCATGTTCCTATAAACGAGACAGTGTAAATAAAATGAATCCCCGCCAAGTGAAATTCTAACAGTTGTCATGGTTACAAAAGGTTAAATAAGTAAAACACTAAAATGATCATGTAGAAACATATAAAAGTAAACCCAATGACCATAACAAAAGTACTCAATGTCCTAAAGGAAGACAGAGCAACAAGAAAATCACCTACAAGGGCCCGACGAAGCAAGGCAGAAGACGAACATTAAGACAATTCAGTCCCAAAGGGCTTTACGAACTATCCATCATAGAATAGATAAATACAGAATCCCTAAAGAAAGCCCAACACGGCAAAATTGAAAATGTTGCAGGCTCGGTTTGATTGAGCCTGTTCATGGACGGTACTGGAAAGTGCAAGTTACCGTCCACGCCCCCTAGCACCGGCTTAAGCAGAATTCAACATTTAAACATGAAATAGTAAAATTTTGAATTTAGAAACATCCGCAGATGTGTTCATACGGCGGTTATCATGGAACCTTCAATGTGACACTTCCGTGCCATTCCATGAAAAGCGGCGTATGGTCCCCAAGTAATAAAAAGCGTCTCATAGAGTCTCCCACTTGGTCCGTCAGATGCAATCAAAAGAGGAAAGCGTAGTGTCCAACTGTAAAAGGATTGAACACTAAACATGCAGTATGTCTTAAAATAGTAGGGTCACAACCTCTTTTAATAAAACGTTTAATGATGTTAGTAAAAACAGCAGAAAATTATTATGACCAAAAATCTTACAAAGTGGTTTGTAAATCACATCACCATAAAATTCAGATTACGAAGAATTGTTTAAAAGCGCTATTGAATTTTGAAATTAAATCAAAATTACGATTGTAAACTTTTGTAAAATATTTCCGTAATTTATGATAGCGGTTGCCCTGCTTAAAAAACTTGCTAGTAATGAAAATATTACGCTCGTTGTTATCCTTTACGTTGCTACAAGCTCTAGCGAATCTAATTAACTGAGAAACATAAACCCCGTAAGATGTTGCATGGGGTACGTCTCCATCTAAATGTGGATAATTAACTATACAAAAGTCAAAGTCATCTCTTTTATCATAGATTTTCGTGTGAATAGAATTGTTGTTGATAGTAATATGCAGATCCAAAAATGATGTATTAAATTTCAAGAGTTCGTTTTATTAAACACGCTTTTTATTGCTTGGGGACCATACGCCGCTTTTCATGGAATGGCACTTAAGTGTCACATTGAAGGTTCCATGATAACCGCCGTATGAACACATTTGCGGATGTTTCTAAATTCAAAATTTTACTATTTCACGTTTAAATGTTGAATTCTGCTTAAGCCGGTGCTAGGGGGCGTGGACGGTAATTTGCACTTTCCAGTACCGTCCATGAACAGGCTCAATCAAACCGAGCCTGCAACATTTTCAGTTTTGCCGTGTTGGGCTTTCTTTAGGGATTTTGTATTTATCTATTTTATTAAGTTGTAGTTCATGCGGATAAATGTCAGACACCATTTGATCAAAATAAGGATTATCTAAATTAAAAATATCATCAAGGTATCTGGAAGTATTATTAAATGCGACTATAACATCTTGTTGTTTATCTTCAGAGAGACTCAACATAAAGTCTCTTTCATAGAAGTACAAAAACAAATCGGCGACCAGGGGTGCACAATTAGTACCCATAGGAATTCCTATGATCTGTTTAAATAGGGTATTACCAAACCTGACATAAATGTTGTCTAAAAGAAAAGAGAGTGCTCTACAAACTTCGTCACAGGTCCACATAGTATAATGTTTAACAATACCGTTAGTAAAAAAAGCTTTGTTAGAATTACATGCTAGAAAGGTAACTTTTTCCCAAACGAAACCCAAAACGAAAATAACCCGATCAGCTAGAAGAAAATGTTTTTCATTGACATAATCATATAACAAGAAATGTAAACCACCAATAAGATATTTTGAAAAATCCCTATACTGACTGCTTAGTTTAATTTTTATTTTGACGTGTCTATTACTAATAATGGGCTAATAAATCAAAACAGATGCAAGTCCTGCATACACAGTCTGCAATGTAATACATGTAATGAAAACGTGTATGCAACTTCTTAATTAAAACTGTGGTTGCAATATTGTACTGTGAGACAAAATGATGATATACAACAAATTAGTGTTGTAATATTTCTGGTCCTTCGTGATCATTGATTCGTTGAAATTTGAGTACCGCTTAAGCCGGTGCTAGGGGTGTGAGAAATGTTGCACTTTTTCATTACGTACAGACTCAATCAAACCGAGTCTGTCAATTTTCATGTAATTGTGTTGTGATTAATTTTTCCGAGGGATATCCAGATTTTTAATTTATTTTTATGCGACAGTTTCAAAATAATAAACGAAATAAATATAGAATCGAGGTAAAACAATCAGATTTATTGGTAAGCATTCAACTAGACTAATTATTAAGACCCAGTTTTCTAGAAAATAGTCTATTGGTGTAGTAGTCCAAAGCGTAAAAAAACCTGTTAGCAACATAACTTATAAAAGCATTCAACAAAGAATAATTATCAAATGTAATCAATGACAGAATACTTTGACCTAAAGTAAAAAGTTTCTTTTTTTCTGCAGAAAAAGTTGACTTTCCATCTAACCAAGGCAGCTACTATTGCGGGGGTCTAGCTTATGGAACATCTTGAGATGTTAGAGTGAATTTAACCGAGTCTGCAACATTTTCGATTTTGACTTGTTGGACACTTTTTAGGGATGCTGTTTTCCTCTATTTTACAGTCGCATTAGTGATATTTTTGCCGTGTGGTGGCTGTAAGAATTTGTCATTCACCAAAACATTAATATAATCTAAGATTAAATTCTTAATTTTATAAGTAATATATATGTCTCAGATTTATGGCAGAGAAAGTGATGTCAAAATCCTAAACCACAAAGCCAAAAATTGTATTTTTATTGTAATGTGCATTGTCACTTTTGCACGTTGCGTTTTCGCTAGCGACAACATAACAAATCTCATTTTCGTCTTGCGTCTTGTCGCTACCCGACATTGCTTTATGAATAGTAGCATATATGCATAATGCTATGTAGTTTTAAATTGTGTTATTTTGTTCAGCCACTTGGCAACCTCGATTCTAATTGATACTAATTGAAAATGTCGCGTAACTGAATTCTCCTCGCTGATTTTCTATCATTAGGTTTGTTGTTGGTTTAATTTGGAGTCATTAGCTTCTACAAGCTTGTTAAAGAAAAAAGGCTTTTAATCAACACAAGTTAACGATAATATTTTTTATTTAAAAATTCTCTGTATTAAACGAAGCAATCAAAATAACTCCATTGATTGAAGTTATTACGAATGGATGCTTGCTTTTTTTTCGAGCATCATAAGCAGCTTTAGATTATTTTCTCTTTTCGGAACATTAATGAACCAGATGTATATTAACCATTTTCCGGCTTAACAACCTTGTCAAAAGCATTCACCATTTAAGAAAAATAAAAATAAGAACTGATTGAATAGCTAACAATGCAGACCACGATCACACATGTTACTGCTAGATTAGTTTGCGCTGGTTGCATAGTTATATTCAATTGCCAAGATCAACAGGTGGTGTTATTTACACCCCAGTAAATTGATGAAGGAATGGCGTAATTTACTCCCAAGTAAATTGATACCGTAAATTTTACAAGGTGTGATTGAACAAAAACAATGACGTCACGATTATATTATTAGTTATAAATATTTTGATAGTTTTGTTTTGCCCTATATAAACGATTGTTTGCATATATAACCTGAGCGAGGTAATATTGTAAACAACTGTTTATATGCGCCCATATTACCAGCCAGATGCCTTAAAATCGAATTTATAATACAGCAACATCCATTTTTAGAGAAAAGTAAGATGTTTTGGTAAATTGACAGCTGCCGAGTATACAAAATATATAAACGTCACGAAATGCATAAATGTAAAAGAAACAGTGAATTTGAGAGAAGAAGCCGTACGTTATCACGATCAACACGGGAGAGGAAGTGTTACACGAGCGATCGAGTTCTTATGATAACTTGTCAAGGAGTTCTTGTGATAACTGTCACGGAGTTCGTCAGAAAACTATTGTATATACTGCAAAAACACTCGTCAAAATGGTAATTTTCATCTTTAAACAGTGACTTTTAGGTGCTAAATTAATCTTTCAGTTATCATAAGAACTCCATCCATCGTGTAACAATTCCTCCTCCGTGGATCAAACCGGTGGAAAATTCTCTCGCTTCGAATCTGGTAACGCGCATTTCAGATGAAGTACGGGACGAAACATCATGACAAAAAGTCCCGTGTGTCCGGAAAATTGTGGAGAAGGTTATCGTATGTACCTTTACACCAGGACATCATGAATTATGGGAAAAAAAAGAGGAAAACACTACTTTTCGGCGGCATCTGCCATCTTGTTTGTTTGGGAAACGAACGGCGTGATTTCCCCCGTCCTTATGAAACGTCTGGTTCCCTTTCGTATCAGAAATAATGGAATGTCAGACGTTTCACTCCCAAGACGTTTCACTATTGAGACGTTTCACTCCCAAGACGGTTCACACCTAGACGTTTCACTCCCATTTTGTCAATTGTATGGACGTTTCACTCCCAATTTTTAGACATGTTTACTTAGAAAGTTAACAAATTTTAATTTTATTAATATCAAACAGTGTAAAAAGGAAATTTAATTTAATGTTTCATTTTGTTGATTTCAGTGGTATTGTTAATACGAATTATTAGAAGATTACTCTTTAATTATGGGTTGTGATAAGAGGTGTAAATGAAAGACACATTTCTGAAATATCACTTTTATTATAAGTGTAACAACATAAGAAAATTCTATTTATAGTAAAATATAAAAAAAAGAATAACATAGAAAGGACAATGTCAAATACATATTATAAGTATCAGTTTAAATATTAAAATCACTACCAGTAAGTAATTAATATTATTCAAATAATAAAAAATTTCAGTATATTAAAAATATTGACTATAATTTATAATGATTTTTTGTAAGTCTAAAACATTTTTTGTAGGTCTAAAACAATGAAATGCGAAACATGTGTATAAAATACATTATTTTTTAAAATTACTTTCTTCATCAATTTATTAAACAGTAGCCATTAAACAAACTTAAGTGAATGTGGTGTTATCTCATCGCCTAATTAGTTGTATAAACACTGAGACAATCAACTAACAGTTTGACACCACTATTAAATCAGTTGTATAAACACTGCACTTAAGCATCAGTGTTCAAATTTAAACAGAAAGTTCTCCATAAGTTTTGATTACATAATAATGAATTTTAGTCACAAAAAAATGATTATACATGACAAATATTAAAAAAGTCCCGGTGTTTCTAACTTAATTTAAAGATATTTCTGATTTCAATGGCCATTAAAATTTTTGACATATATCGCAAAAGCTCTATGCTAGCATTAAATAATTTTAGGTCTATTTTAGTATATCATAAGTATCCAAATGATTTTGGTATAATAAAGGGAGTGAAACGTCTTCAAGACGTTTCACTCCCATTTGGGAGTGAAACGTCTTGGTGTGAATCGTCTTGGTGTGAACCGTCTCAATAGTGAAACGTCTGTCTACCGAAATAATGCACTGAGGGAAACCTGAAGTCTTCCTCCACCAGTAAAACTAGAAAATCACCATATGATCTTTACAGTGTTGGTGCGACAAAAAGATTAGTATAACAGAAATATTTTTTTGCGAATAAATAGCTTTGATATACAATGCATTGCAATGCAAACAATACCATGCAATGTAGAACAATACAATGAATTACAATTCAAAATGCAATACAATCAAGAACAGCACAACACAGCACAACACAACACAGCAAAAAAATTAAAATTGAATACAACACAGCACAATGCAACATTATACTACACAATAAAATACAATAAAAATACAAAACACCACAACTCAATACAGTACAAAAAAGTAAAAAACAAAACATCACAACGCAACACAATGCACAAATAGATGCAATGTAAATACAAAATCAATTAATGACATAACTTCGGTTGTATACAATAACAATGAACAACTATGTAATGTTATTGCGGGACATTTTAACAATATTTATTGCAGAATTAAACGTGTCAGTTTATTAAACATGTTTTAAAAACATGAAGTTTGTTCAGAACATGCTAAAAACTGTTATGCAGATCTAAATGAAGAAAATAAATCAAAATTAGTCTGATTTAGTAAAAGATTATTTGCTCTATGTTTTGCATTAACACCAGAGTCATTATCCGCCTAGTTGATATCTGATATCATCTACTTTAAAAAACAAAAGAAAAAACAATGTGATAAACAAAATTATTTCTACAACATGCTAAGACATATAATTGGTTTTTTATAAAGAATGTTCATTTATATTTCAGATATAATTTTCATTGGCGTCTTAAGCATGAATAACGCCGCGTGTTGAAGCCGATATAATTTAAAATAAATCTAACGAGTTATTCTGATAGGTAAAGGACAAAACATTGGTTTTACGCTATACTTTTACCATACTTTTCTTTTGATATATATATATTGTTTCTCAGACGGTTTGATCATACAAGTTGAGGATTTCAAGATGGAGAATAACACATCATCAATTTATAATGCATCAGATTTTAATGCGAATAGAACTTACGCGGATATTCCGGACTGGGCAAATATATCTGGAATTATTTTTATGACCCTAGTGACGATAGCTGGAATTGCCGGGAATAGCCTAATCATAGTAGTGCAGTTGAAAACCCGCGACAAAACAAGTACGGACTTTCTAGTTTTAGCGATGGCGGCTTTTGAGCTTTATTGCTCTGGAATCAACAACAGTCTAAGTGTGCTTCGTAGTTTCAGAATTATTTGGACATCGATTGTTTCCTCGTCGGTGTGCTGTTTTGAAACATTTTCTATTTATCTAACAAGTATATCAACAACATTTCTGCTCACGGCAACAGCTTTGGACCGATATATTCAAACTTGTAAACCACTAAACAGTTATTATTCCAAATCAAACGCTAAATGGATCTGTTTGACCTTGGTTGTATCAAGTGTTATTCTTTCAGCACCGAGCATTGGAATCATTACAGCAGACATGGAAAGCCTTGACTGTGTAAGGAATATGGAAAATATTGTACTAGCAACTATTTTCGATCTATTTCTGTCAGCTGCATTCCTTGCAATGTTTGTCATTGTCGTCGTTTGTTATTCGAAAGTCACGATAATGTTACGTAGACGTCGCCGTCAGAAAGAGATGGTAACAAACACGTGCACAAGTGGGACGTATCCTTTAGCTGTACGCCAGCAATTGAAAATTCCTAGAAACAAAGTATGCCCAACATCGACACAAGAGACTCTCGAGAACTGCCCGAGTACAGACGTGATGGAAGATGACACAAACAACGCGCATGAATTACATTCTCAAGAGGTGAGTCAGGTATCGGCTGCAAGCCAAACAACTGGTCAAGCGGCTATCCGAAAGAACCGGTCTGAACGGAAGATTCTGAACCGAACAACCCTGATCATGTTCCTAATAACAACGATCTATATTTTAACCTGGCTGATTCACTTCATTGTCGTCTGGATTGTGCCACCTATGACCTCTAGTGGCAGAGCAGTTCTTCACCTTGTAGCGGGCCTGTACAGAATAAATTGTATGACGAATGCGATATTCTATATAACAATGAGTTCGAGATTTAGACAGAATGCCAAAAAGCTTTTTCGTCGGCATTAGTAATATCATAAAAACAAATCAAAAGTAAAATCAAGGAATGGCAATCTTTATTCCCGCTGTATGTTAGATAAACAAAGATCAAAACAGTGTAGCCGGAATGTGATATGCATTATGTATGTGTCATGCACATGCATTTCTGTATGGTAAATATAGAATTTATCCAGAAGAAAAAGAAAAAGAGAAGAAAATACTATATAAGAGATAACACAAGGGATAGTCACAGACGCCGCTTTAGATAATGGTACAAATGAGAAAGTACAATTTATGTTAAATTATTTTGTTTTTTATACATGGGGTAAAAAGATATCGTTCCTTCGTTCGTGGTGAAGTAAAATTTAAAGCAGTTATTGCAACTAGCATCAATATTGCCTTAATTGAATTGAATTATCAAGAGAAATTTTAAAGTGACACTATGCCCATCAAATTGTAAATAATGAGTTTACAGTTAAAAGTAAAAATGAAATTTACATTTTGCCATAACTGTTTTCTGTTCTATTCTCCACCTTAAAAATGATTACATCTCTCACGTGACACACGCACGTTTCTACAATATCCTACGATAAATATAGGTAACAAGAACGTGATATTCTTTTTTGCATATTGGGCATTTTTTTTCTATTTTATCCTTGAAAAATGAGCATGTCACTTTAATATGTTCGTTTACGTGTATACGCGTATGTAAGTAAATTAACACTCTTTGTTGTAGATATTATACATTTATATTGGAGAATTACAATACTTTTGAAGAGTAAACAAGATGTTTCATTTGTAACCATTTTCCTTTCTTCGTGTCAATTGGTCTATTTGATATTAAAGTAGAGCCGCACGTGATAATTTATGCGTCACGTGGTATTATATATGACACGAATCAATATAACCCGCAAGTGATACTCTTCCTAAGTTCAATAGTTAGTCGTGAAACGTTACATCAAATAGAAAATTCCATAGTAGTCAATTGTGAAATCATTGGCCTTCGGATATGTTTAATTATAAATTTCAACTAACGAATTAATGTAATTAATTAATGTATGTCTATTTGTTGCAAGAATTTGGGTCAATTTGCTCACCATACAACTTAAGTTCAACCAAAACAAGGACGGTATTTTCATTTCTATCATATTAGGCAAACATATATGTTCAATTCTGTAAACATGGTTTAAATAGTATAAAGCTATATCAAATGAAATATCTTGTGTTTTTTTTCTAAAATTTATGAATGGCCAAATTACGTTTTTCCATTTCTCAGCTGTAACATAGAATGTCTCGTAGTTTAACGCACATGAAAAATATATTTAAGCAGAATAATATTTTCGGGACAAAATATAATGCTACAACTTTATATATAAAGATTTATAACTGTTCTGATGTGAATTTGTGCATGCGTCATTCGCTCAAAAAAAATGTTCTAAGTATTTTAGAGATGTTCTCTTTTCAAAATATAATTCAAACAAGAGCTTTATACACTTTAAAGCGCTACGTATATTAAATGATCAACATTATGTTTTGTCTAATCACATTGAAGTATTTTTCAAAATTCTGCTAAGTCTAAGTTTGGTAAATGTGTACTAACTAAATAATATTTACTTAATCAGTCGTCTAACCAGTCTAACAAATTTCAATAATGCATTATGGAGTTTGAGGTATGGTTTGCACTCTGAATTGTAAAATATCTAGGTTAGCAAAACAATGCCAGCGTAAAAAAATAGGCGAGGTCAGGTGTTTCTAAATGTAAGAATACAATCAATTAATTTATTACATAGATAATTCATCTGGGGCCCGCAGAGACAAATGATTACATAGTAACTTTTTAATATCATTTTAACTCTAAGAAAAATGTATGTTGTAAATTGCTGACTGTTTTAAACTTTATAATTTCTAGAAAAGAATAACCAAAACATTATATTCTTTCACTTGATAGGAATGAACTGCATTAACAATCCTTGATATGAAGAATACAATGATTACATTTTTTGGTTGGAAGACACATTGAAAATGGACCCCCTTCACCTGTAAACCTAAATCGACACACAGAAACTTAAAAAAGTGAACTGTTTTTCAAATGAGCAAAACAATAGGGATTTTAAATGTTAATGAATAACTTGAAGCTAATAAAGAAATTTTTATCAACAAATAATCTCTAATGTATTTTTCTCACATTTTCATTTGTTGAATTACTTAGATTAAGTTTGTTTGTTAACAGGCACCACCTGAGCTTCTTTAAACAATGACTATACTATTACATTATTAAAACATATGTAATATTGTTTCGTACTGTCATGTTAACATGTGTTACATAAAACATTAATAAATATTTCTAGTGGATTTGTGTCTTATTTCAAGAAAATGCCAGATAAAACCTAATTTATATGTTACTATATTTAGATTTGATACTTGATGCTTGTGTGTTTCCAAGACAGACATTCTAAAATGTTTAACAAGGATAAAAAAATAAAGAGATAGCTTCTCAGTTCTCTAGCAGGATATAGATTTTGTTCAACATTGAATTTATCTTAACGTCAGCTTTTACAAATATCTTAAGATATTAGCTTTGACTTCTTTGAGGATAAAATATATTTCTATCATTGTTTTTTTAACCCTTTACTGCATGAGCATATTGTGAGAAATGGCCGTTTTTATTGAAAAGCCTTCTATTACAAGTTCAAACTACTATGCAACTATGAAAAATGCTTCAATACTGATGAAACTTGGCACAAATGTTGACTAGACCATAGCCTCTGTAGCAGCATGCTCAATCGTAAATTTCCTGTTACCATGGCAACGGGGGGAAGTCTCAAAATTGCCAAAAATCACTATTTTGCATTGTTTTTTACCATCAAAACTGATTTTAAAGTGCTGCAACTTCTCAATGGATTGAGATAGAGTAAAAGGATTTTCAGCGTTGGTTAGTCGTTACCTAAAATCACTCTGAAGCCATTTTTAGCCTGTCACATGTCTAAAATTTTCTTGGCGATGAGGGGGGCTGCCGCTCCCTTCAAACCCTCGAAACAGAATGGGGCACATCCCCCTTCTGGTAACCCCTTTGATGATCCTTTTTGATATGGTGTGGCACCGAAAAAGGGATCACTTTTTTATCAACATTTCTCAAACGAATAAAGCATTCTTTTACTGTTTGAAGATAATACGTCAAACTCTCACTAATACACTTTAAATAAAAGTTCTAACGTTTAAATACACAAACAAGGAATAGAAACAGCATCGAAACAAGAGGCGAGAAGGCGCATTTCGCTTCAGAAGTAATAAGAAGAACTTTCATTTTTTTCTTCTTTTCATACATGTATTCTAAATATTTTTTAAATCTTATTTTAATTGATTTTTAATCAGTGCTAGAGAGTTTAATATAACAATGAGTGTGTCGATAGATTTATTTTATTTTTATCAAGAAAATAAAATTCTGATATCATTTTATCTCTGTTTTTATTGATGATTATGATTTGTGCGTTGACATTCCCCATAGAGTGACTTAAACATAATAAGGCTTTTAATGGAACGATAAATCTTTAAAAATATTGGCTGTACAAAAAAAACCAATCCAACTAGGTTTCTATACAAAAACGTTTCTCTCTATTCACAGGTATGTCTGCGAAAAAAGTACGAATGTAGTTATATGTGTAGTTTAAAGGTACTCAGCTTAATTATCTTTCGAAAGAATGAATAAGTAATTCTAATGGTTAAATGGAGAGTATTTCTGTTACAAAAGAAAATGTGAATAAGTAATTCTATTGGTTAAATCGTGAATATTTTTGTTAGTAACGAGAATGTGAATACTTTATACAAGAAATTAATTCTTGAGTATTTATGTCACTAAAAAATGAAAAAGTAGTTTTAGCGGTTGAATGATGATTATTTTTATTAAAAGTAATTTAAGGGGTTAATCGGTGAGTATTTCTTCTCTAAAGAGAATGAATAAGTAATTCTAAGGGTTAAATAATGAATATTACCGTCTCTTAATTAAGAGAATAACTAAGTAATCTTAGGTTTGTGTGATGTTTTTTTGATAATAACAAAAGAGTGAGTAATTGTTAAGTGATTATTATTTCTTTCACTTAAGAGAATGAATAAGTAATTCTAAGAATTGAATAGTGAATATTTATTTCTGTCTTTTAAGAGAATGAATACGTAATGATAATAATAATAATAATAAAATGTACTAAGATTTTAGGAAAGGTATAAAGATTCAATATTCTAGTAAAATGTTACATGTAATGTGCGATTTAATACCGAATTTTTCAGTATTTATAACTATGATTCTACTGCGTAACTAACACACTATGGGCTATTTTTGCATGTTTTGACCACTTTATAGTAATTTACATATGTTGTAAGTGTCATTGATAATGTGTAAATTGCATTCATTTGGTACCTTTAAAATATTATACTGTTAAATACATTTTAAATTTTCATGAAAATTAGCATACATCTGGAGGCGTGCTTCTTTAATACTCCCGTTATTGCCGTCAGTCATTTCATAAAGGAAATTGTTTCAAATTAAACGAATTTTCCATTAATGTTAATATTCATGTTAATGTCTGTCTATAGCTTTCACATTAAATAAGTCACGCAAAGCATTAGCATCTGACAGGTGAAAGAAAATTAATGATCAGACTTTGTTACTGCAATCACAGTACATCTCTAATTCACACCAAAGAGCAAATTAATAAAAAAGGGAAAAAAGGAGAGAAAAAACGTTAGCGCTGATTGAGAGTATTGTCCTAAAAACCACTGAGGTGCAGATGAGAGTTACTTTATACATTATATATTTCTTTTCATAAATCTATATTGTACTGTGTAACACACACCTATTCGCCACTATTTGTGATACGTTTTGAAAGTAATAAGCCAATCAAATATGCCGTCGGTTCAACGTCCAAGTCAATAGATAAAGGCGGTAACACGGTAAGCAACCGTGTGCATATAAATAGTAAACATCACAAAAATGACTTACATACATATTTTTATCATTTCGTGAATAACATAATTCAAAATATATAGGCTACCTCTTGGTATATTATATAACCTTTAAAGACATGAATGATGACATGTCCGGGGTCTGTACTCGGGGGAATGAACCGTCGTTTAGCCTAGAATCCATCCATCCATCAATCCATCCATCCACCAATCCATAAATACATACATACGACCTTGGGCGTGATGGGTGCAGTCCTGAAGCCTAAATTCGTCACTTGAATTTATAATATGTCCATTGCCTTACGGTCAAGACAGTCCTCAACTGTTCAATACAGTGGTATTAGAATAATAAATTCAGTTTCAAGTAAACTAAGGTAAGATGTGACTTTGTAACATAAGGAGGAGGCTACCTCGAGTTGCCTATATGACTGAAATACTGTTGGGAATAGGCGTAAAATAATGAAACAAAATAATTAAACCTCGAGTTGTTCTCAATAAGTTGAGCCGCGTCACGACAAAACCAACATAATGGGTTTGCGACCAGCATGGATCCAGACCAGCCTGCGCATCCGCGCAGTCTGATCAGGATCCATGCTGATCCCCTATTAACCCTATTACAAGTAGAGAAACTGATAGCGAACAGCACGGATCCTGATCAGACTGTGCAGATGCGCAGGCTGGTCTTGATCCGTGTTGGTCGCAAACCCATTATGTTGGTTTTGTCGTGGCGCGGCTCAAATTAAACTGTATACCACTTAGATCCAAGTATTGATTTTGAATTATTTTAGTCGAGTATACATTTATGCAGGCGTCACACTGTCCTGACTTTGGCATCAGATGGACACACGAATTCGGATCTGATCGTAATAACATCGTGCCATTCGAGAGGGTATCTTTTGCCTTCGTATGATCCCCGGCTTAATATTTCAAGCTCCGGCAGCAACCCCGCGAGCGGTTCCAAAATTTTTTGGCATGCCAAAAAATTGCCCGAAGACATTGCGAAGGTTCATTTTCGTGTTGAATTCGTCAATTTTGCCCTTCGTAAGATCGTCGTGAAGCCATCTTGTCAAATTGTGTAGTCTTCGTCTTTTCTACGTGTGATCATCGGTGCAATCTGGCAATTTTAGTAAACACGAAGATTCCCGATAGTCTTAAATGGGAACACGACTATGTGAAGGCCCCGCAATACCGCCATGTCACCATCGTATTTTAGTAAGATGTCATCGAGATGGGACCAATTTTTAATTGAAAGAAAGCAATTTTTAATGGCTCAAGCATTGCATGTTTAGCATCGTGGACATATAAACGGCTGGACCATCTTCCTCATCTGTCACTCTTGCACATCTTTACAGAGACATCAAAAGCTTCCATTATTTGCAATTAATTTACAATTATTTTCAGTTTATTTCATGCAGATTAACATGCTTTGGTGATGAGTCAACCAAGAAAAAGAAGGCAGTAGCAATGTAATTTTAAAGACACCTTAGAAAATATGATGAGGCCCACAGCCCCACTTGGGTGGTATGATAAAGTTTAATCAAATATGATAAACAAGATCAACAAGGAAAGGCAGCGTTCAATGATCGCAACATGTACTCACACGACCCAGCAACAAGAACCAAGTAAAACAACAGGACCCCCCCCCCCCCCCCCTAAAAAGGGCGCAAGGTTGAGCACGAATAGGCTTATCACTTAAATGATACATAAGACGAAATAATGGTAAACGACAAGGAAATCAAAGAAAACAAATAAATGATTGATTGATCAAATAAATAAAACTAGGGGCAAAAGGAAACATACTTACCGTAGACGAGAAAACAACAAGGGACACCGGCAAAAGTGTCACATAAACAGTATGAAATAACAAAGACGTGCATCTGAGGAATAAAGAGGGGCGCCGCCTCGGACCGGTCAGCAGCGTAAGTACTACTGGGGATTTTAAACTGATTAATGGTGCATCAAACCTCACTCTTAGCCCACCATGTTCCTATGAAATAAAATGAATCCACGCCAAGTGAATTTATAACAGTTGTTATGGTTTCAAAAGGTTAAAGAAGTAAAACACCTAAATGATCATGTAAATATAAAGGAATACCCATATGACCATAACAAATGTACTCAATATTTTAAAGGAAGCCAGAGTAAGAAAAAATCACCTACAAGGGCCCGGCGAAGCAAGGTAGAAGACGAACATTAAGGCAATTCAGTCCCAAATGGCATAAAGAACTGTCCATCATAGAGTATCCCACTTGGTCCGTCAGATGTACTACGGAGGAAAGGGCCATCTTTTAAAGTGTTGAACACTAAGCATGCGGTATAGTTGGTCCGTCAGATGTAATCAAAAGAGGAAAGGACGAACTGTTAAAGTGTTGAACACTAAGCATGCGGCATATCTAAAAAAGTAGGGTCAGAACCTCTTTTGGTTAAACGTTTAATAATTTTAGGAAAGGCCACACAAAAAATTACAATGACATCTCCATTAAAATAATTTTTGAATCACTATTTTTAAATCAAAGTTACCATTGTAAAATTTTGTAAAATATTAACGTAATTTATAATAGCGGCAGCCCTGTTTGAGTAGTTTGCTAGTAATGAAAATATTTAGCTTCTTAAAATCCTTCACGTTGCTAAAAGCTCTAGCGAATCAAATTTACTGAGATACATATACCCCGTCATATGTTGCATGCGGTACTTTTCCATCTAAATGTGGATAGTTACTATACCATATTCAAAGTCATCACTTTTATCATAGATTTTTGTGTGATTGGAATTGTTTTTGATAGTAATATCAAGAGCAAAAATAAAGTTTAAACGTAGTTGTATGCACATCTTGTGTCATTTTCGGGACAGTGTGACGCCTGAATTAAATGGATCAAATACGGGAATTGAAAGAATTTAAGGACATAAATGTTCTCCGGGATAGAGATTATCTCTTTGAATTTATGACTGAAGTTGCATTTTATCAGAAATTTCGATTAACGAAGGAGCGTTTTTAATATCTAATATGCGGAATGATACATGTTGATGAACTATAAAGGATGTATTATCAGTACTTATCCAAACTTACGGCTGCCAAAATGAAGTGAATTGATACAATTTCCAGTCGGAAATTTATTGACCAAAGATACTTCATCATTTCACAATTATGTTATTCTTAATCATCTCATAATATATCTTTTTAACAATACTGTTTTATTCAAATATTTGCCGTTTGTATTTGCCAATATCACTATTTAACTATTTTAATTGTCTAAACTTAACTATTTTAATTGTCTAAAGTAGAGTTCACTATTCATAAAACGTAAAAAAATGTTGTTGATGGTTTATCTATCAGCTCATATATACATTGTGCACACTCCCTCGTAAATAGAAATTTCTGTGAAAAAATACAACAACAAAACGTTTGATATAAATTCAATGGGATTATCCTTACTCCTAAGTATCTGTCTTTCATCATGTATTTATTCATTCTTTCTGTCAGTTCAAGTTTAAGATATATTTAAATGTATATGGGACCAAAATGATTCATAATCAATACTCAAATTTAAGTTGTATTCAGTATTTATCTATTAAGAACATTTTAAGGTAGCCCCCTCCTAATCTCACAAATTCTCAATTTGAATACTGTTGAATCACCCTTAAGAATGTGGTCTGCTTTTTAAATTTTTCTTTTGACGTCTTATCTGTGATATGCAGGCTTCATAACTTCTGTTCCCCTTTCAAAATTCCATTTTATTTAGTTCCACCAATTGTTTTCTCGTTAAGGGCACATGCATCTTTTTACTTGGGGACCATATGCAGCTTTTCATAGAATGGCACTTACATGTCACATTGAAGATTTTATGATAACCGCCATATGAACACATCTGCGGATGTTTCGAAATTCCAAATTGTACCAGTTCATGTTAAATGTTTAATTCTGCTTAAGCCGGTGCTAGGGGGCGTGGACGGTAGTTTGCACTTGACAGTACCGTCCATGAACAGACTCAATCAAACCGAGCCTGCAACATTTTCAGTTTTTCCGTGTTGGGCTTTCTTTAGGGGATTCTTATTTTTATCTATCATATCTTAGTGTACTCGAAACTTACTTTATAATCTGATAAAATGTTTTCTAAAATTTTAGGACCGCTAGGCAATCATATGAGATTTTCTCAATGAGGATGAGTGATAAGGGTCTAAATAATCGTCTCTTAAAAGCTGAAACATTTATTGACCTCTAAATCCCTTTTCTCGTTTAAAACGGTTGTTTCATAAGCTTTTAACGACAAATGAGATCGGAAATAGTAATTGCATCACACAATGCCTTAAAGTCTTGTTTAAAAGCATTCAATTATTTCGCCGGTGATTTAACGACGTGGGTTCTGTTTTGATTAACAGACAAATAGGAAAAGTAACTAGACTTAAAAAGGGTTTGAGTACACTCATACCTCTATAAATGTGTTTGATACAAAACTGTTGACATTAGAAAACGATGAACGAGACAGACAAAGCAAGTTTTTCAAACAACTTTACCCTTTCTGGATGGGCGGAGGTATTAAATATAATAATTTTGTCGGCGGTAGTTATTTTCGGTGTATTAGGAAATGGAATTATTATCATTGTGCAACTAAAGAATCGGGAAAAATCAAGTACGGATTATTTTGTTGGGACGATGGCTGTGTTTGAGCTGTTTTGTGCAGGTTTTAATAGCCTCATTGTAGTTTTTAACAATATTTCCGGCTTATGGTATGTTATAGCGACCTTGACATTGTGTTCCGTTCGTGCATACGCTTCACTTGTCGCAACTATTTCGTCTACGCTCCTACTCACTGCTATCGCAATTGACCGTTATATTCTCACTTGTAAACCTTTCAATACATGTTACTCGAAGCAGAAAGCAAAATGGATTTGTATCGGTGTAATCGTTATTAGTATCGTCGCCTCAACACCATCGTTGGCACTAGCAACTTTTGACGATGAAAATATGAAATGTTTGCAAACTGTGAAGAATCCAGTTCTTCATAACATATTGCAGATGTCCCTTGGAGCAACTTATGTCGTTATGTTTGTTGTAGTTATATTTTGCTACAGTAAGGTGACTATTTTAATACGGAGAAGACACAAACAAAGGATCAATAATGTTCCCTTAACGTCAGCATCAACATCTAAACATTCGACTGTATCAATAAAGCTCTCTTCCAAAGCTCGTTTTGTAAAGAATAAAAATAAAATTGCACCAAAACATCAATGCAAAGGTATTGAAATAGCTACAGTTGAGAATAGCTTGAAACCTGCAAGTACTGGGCATGAAACTGATCTAGATCTGAAAAGTACCATTCGAGATAAAGAAGAGGTTGTACGTATCTCAGATACTGAAATACAGGCACTTGAAATGCAGAAGATAAATCGAACAACACTGATCATGTTTCTGATCACGACAATATACATATTAACATGGGTTATTCACTGGTTAAATAACGCTTTAGTGTCACGTGATACAGTTGCTGGGCGAAATGTCATTCATCTAACAACATATTTGTACATGATTAACTGTGTAACAAACCCTATTTTCTTTATAGCTATGAGCTCTAAATTTCGAAGAAATGCTAAAATACTTTTCACGAGAATTATAAACGTCTGCAGATCTTCCCGCCAATATTAGAGGCTCACTGTACGAAGTTTAACAAATATCGTGTCTAATGTTGCAGACAAATTAAAAACAAGTCAAAATATTTTCATTCAATATGTTTTTATTGCGCCATTAAACATCTATAATTTGATACAATGTATGTGTTTTCTTCTTACTTTTGGAAAAACAATCTTTTCTTTTAATCCTAATATTTTACCATTGTCTCTTGCTGTGTATACAAATATATATTTAATGCAGATTTGGTGACAATTGAAATGTTTCCATAATTCGGTGACAAGAAACTTGTTCTATATACATTGTACATTACATATGTTGTTTTATTATTCTTATGTAACTGATAAATTTGTCGAGACATTCCATGACCTATAAAGCACATTTTATTTTCTCTCAGCTTGATATTATATATAAACAGTCAATAATTATCTTTAAGGAAAAGTGGTTAATGAAAATAGTATAAAACATGAATATTGATCACAACAGCCTATGCTTGTGAACGTGATTCTGAAAATGTCACACATATTTTCATTGTTTCTATCATGACCATATCTCATTTAGACCTGGTTTTGCTCTCTTTCATTGACAGGAATGTAAGAAGCTACGAAGTTTTATGCTTAGTGGATATCTGTAAACTTGTGTTGCCATGAATTCGATATTTATCCAACGTAACCCTAACTGTACAACATACCATTATTGATTTGCATTTGTATAAAATATAAAAAATATAACTTTTTAACCTCTTTCATTTATTTTCATTAAATGAAGATATAAAAACAAGCATTTCAGAATCATTAGTTCAGCTATCTAGAATATGTGTATCCTTAATCTTAAATTAAGACAAACATTTTCATCTAAATTGATAATGAATTATAGTGCAATTTTATTTGTTGTCTCCCTTTAATCGGATAGATCACAAAAGATATGATTAAAACTACACACACACACGCACACACGCACAAACGTGCACACATTACCGGTATGTTATGATGAAACACAGTATACACAGTTAACTTAAAAAATGTTATAGAAATAAAAGTTTTAAAGCATTGTATTGATAACAAAACCTATTATGAAGAAATCTTTTAATTTGTCTATTAAACGACAAACCAATTAGATGCCTTGATTTCTGCTAAGGTTTGATTTCTAGATAACAAAATCAATGTCCAGATAATCGACTTGTAATTATGTAATTGACGAATACGTGCAACAAAAACCTTGTCTGACTGTCGCAGCAACAATTAAAATGCTGACTTAGCATTTCCACATTTAAACAGTAGTAAGTAATCAAAATACTCAATATTTATACAAAATAAAATAATATTTTAGTAAGGAACTCTGTGCATGTTATGTCAGTAATTATTTCCTTTTTACCATTGTTTTTATAAAACAATTAAGATATCTCAGTTATTGCCATCATCATCATCATCATCATCATCATCATCATCATTATTATTATTATTATTATCATTATTATTATTATAATTATTATTATTATTATTATTATTATCGAACTGGGATATCATTTTCTGAACAGTTTACTCTACACAGACACAATTTTATTTATATGTCTAAGCTTAAAGTGATGTAGAGAGTCGTCCAGGGTGCCTCTCCATACATGTGTGTATAAGCAATTGTATTAAACGAACAAGATAGCTTCAAAATTAGGAAAACCTTGACAACATGAGCAACCTTGTTCCTCAAGTGAAATTTCTTGACCACACTTCCAATAGTTATTGCTTTCCAAATATAAAAAACAAATGTTTTATCATTATTCAAATCCACGTGTTCCAAAACAGATCACGTCAAATTGCTAAATATTGAAGGAACACTCTATAAAGCAATTTTAATAAGAACATAGTTGGTCGATATTAGCTAATGTTTACTTACACATTTCCAATAAAGTGCTCGTTTAAAAGCCGATGCAATTAAATGAATTAAACACATGTTAATTGTTGACGTTAATATTGTTTTTAATGATAAGTTTAAGCATCTGTTTGATGTGCTTACACTGAAAACAATAAAGACACAAATGGAGAATCATATCTAAATATAAAATCACATCTTCTGTTTCAAATAGGAAATTTACATAATAAAAATGTTGCTACATTGATTGAATATCATATCATATTAATTTATATGCATTGTGACGTTCAAAGTCATCCTATGAAATACACAACGGTTTAATAAATGCTATATAAATCACGAGTATTAATCTGTATGTCTAAAATAATAAACAACAAAAAATAAAATAAAAAAATAACTAAAAAATGTCAATAATAATACAATGCGGTTTATTATTATCCATTCTACTTTTGCATATCACGCAATAATTCACTAAAGAACTTGCAAAGAAATTCAGCATCTGGTCTTTTTTCTGGTTCGTAACTCCATGACGCTTCTATAATGTGAGCTACAGCTGGTGGAGACTTACAATTAAGTTTGAGGGATGGTCGCAGTCCCTCCTTTATAGCTTTATCTAGTGGTCCGAACAATTGTTGTTGGATGTAGTCTGCCGCATCCTTTCCGTACCACATCTCCCATAGCATGATAGAAATACTGTATATATCAGCCTTGTGGTCATAGTTTTGTGACTGTAATTAAATAGACAATTTTTTGTGTAAAGAATTTGCGATTAAAATAGAAATCGATATTGAACTTAAGATTTTCAGAATCATCAATGACGTAAATTGTAATGGAGAATCAGGGATAAAAGTATCAATGTGAGGTGAAGTAAATGGGAAGGCAAAACGTACTTGTAAAAGAACTTCCGGTGCCATGTACACTGGACTTCCTACCATACTGAATGCTATGTCTTGCCCCTGTTTCGCCAGCCCGACGTCCGTCAATTTTACTTCATCATTTTCCGTGACCTATTTTAATGATAACCAATAATTTTAAAGAATTTTATAGACTGATGCAACATAAAAAAAAGCATTAGCTTAAATTTAAACTAATATACTTAACAACATTTATTTTAGTTACATAAGTTAATATATTATATAAAAGATCTGGAGAAAGGGTAATCCTTCACAAGTATTTATCACAATTAACCAAAGTTTTCTGTAATGGTTATTATAAATTAACCAATAGCTCTTACTTTACGTTGCAATGCAATGAGATACGTATTTTTATTAAAAGATCAACATGGAATACGATAGATGATTTATTACCAAAACATTCTCCAATTTCAGGTCTCTGTGAACGAATCCCTTTTCATGCAGGTATTTCAATCCAGAACAGATTTGCAGCGCAAAATCATACATCTTTATCGCTTCTTTCTGTTGAGCGAGTCCCGGTTGTAGTTTCCCAGGATTGTTGACGTCCACACCTATAAACTTCTGTTTAAGAGTGCACTTGCAAACTTCCATTATCATAATCCACTGCATATCTTTTTTGCGTTTGGCATCTCTAAATCTATAGCAGGCCCCATAATACTTGATGACATTTCGATGTTCTAGCTCTCTACAAATCAAAATTGAAATTAGTTATCAAATTTGTATGGAATATATTTTACAAACCTAATGCAAAATGTGTCATAGAATGATCATGAGAAAAATAAGTGTATATTAATACAAGAACTGTTAGGAAGCTGATGATTATATAAAACTTAAATATGGTATGCATTCAATTTTATATTCATCTTGAATATATTCAATTTTATTTTCAACTCAGCACGTAGTGATAGGAATAAAACTGAACAAAATAAAATTTTATTTGAAATTGAGTAACGATTTTATCTATAGAACATATTTTTCTGTCACTATACATGTACTTTTACTGTACATGTTTTAACCAAAGTCGCTCGACTGAAAAAATACCGACAAACCTCATCGTTCTGTCTTCAAGGAGTATATCTGATACAGTGTTCTCTTTCACTGGATCTCTGTTTACTTTCAAAGCAACAGGTAGATTACCGCGTCTCGTTGTTTTCATTTCTGCAATGTAAACATCTGCAAAACTCCCACTACCGATAGGCGGATCATTACCATCCCATTTTAAATCTTCCAATTGAAAATCGAACACCATCACGTAGTTGACATAGAACAAGTCAAGCTGGCCCAGAAGAGTATGGCTTGTATATAATAGTTTTGGAAATAGGTCTTTCAAATTAGCTTCAGTATCGTTCATTTCATCTCGCAGCATTTCCATTAATTCTAGATCTGCTTTTAAAAAGTCAGGTATCATTTTCGCCACTGTGTCAATGCCTTTAATAAATCTCTTGAAAAAGGCGTGGACTTTAGTAAACAGATGTTTGCTCTGAGTTATATTGTCCAGCACCGCTTTCGTTGCATCTTGCATTTTACAAACGGTTTTTTGTTGATCTTTTGACTTATAATCAGAAAATATTTTTTTGATAGGTTTGTCCCCCGATTTTAGAGAACATACAGAGGAAATTGCGCCTCCAAGACCTTTAAAACTTCCAGAATCCTCATCAATACTGGCTTCCTTTGCCTTTCTCCAAATTTTATTCGGAGGTGCCTGCTTTTTGATTGATTTGTGAAGATCTTGCACTGTTTTCATATCTCCATCCAGAAGTGCACCTACAATAAACCATAACAAAACATTCTGAAAAGAACAAATATATTTTGTCACGATATCTTTCAATACATTGTAGACAAAACTTGAAGAATATTGGCAGCAAAGCACTCGTTATTGTTTCCTATCTAATTTGAAACTATTAAATTCCCGGTTTGATATGCTCTTGATAATTAACCTTTGTAGACGGAAGCCGATGGAATCAGAGACATTATTTTCGTATAAGGGATCCTTGTAATTTGGACCCTCAGCATACATACTGAGGTATTTAATCACACCTAATGTATCCTCTCCTGAATCGATTGCAGTATCTCCATAGAATAGAGGAGTTAAAAGTTAAAATCACTATGTATGAGGAGAGTGATAAAATCTTAAAGCTAATTCAAACTTCATAATTATTAACCACATTAACATAATTATGATGTATTTAAGAAAGATCCTTTACCTTCTAACTTAGCTATCTGATTTTCCATGAGTTCAAAGTCCCGTTTACAAACCCTTATAATTTTATCCTTGATGCCACCAACTACTTTATTTTCTCTCTCCCAGAAGTTCATTTCTAATGCTATTTTGTTTGCAATAGCATCCAATGCGTCTGCTGCAACCTAAAACAAATTCATTTTGGATAAAAATGATTATTCATAATATGTTAAAATATAAAATTAAATGAAAACAGACATTTTAGGAATGAAAAAATTTCTTGTGTTGGAAAAAATAATAAAAAAATAGCTTAGGAACATTCATTAAGATTTCATTTGAAAAAGGAAATATTTTCTTTAACAATGGCAGTCTATGTTGTCAAACTCTTAAATATAAATGGTTAGAGAATTGTCAAGATCTTGGATAGAAAGTGTATACCCTCTTCCCATCCCTTGGGCATTCACTTGGTTTCCAGTTGAACAATCGCTCCGCCAACTCTCGTGATTGCAAGGCGTCAATTACTGTTTTTGATACCATTTCCGACTCGTGCGTAATAGTGCCCTTGAGGTAAGATATGCTTTCTTTTGATTTTGATTCTAACGCAGAGATTTGCTGCTTTATCTATGGAATAAGCACTTTTATTAGACATATATCTCTACATAAATATTATTACTTTTTACAAACAAACCACTTAATGTACCTCAGTTATATCTTAAGACAAACCAATACATAAATTGTTAAATAACTATCATCTAACGGAAAGGACAGAAAGGTTATAGTCTTATAAATTTTATAAGGAATTTTCAATTAACACACAACCAATACAACAAGTAATTAACCTGTTGAAGTTCTTCTTTGACCTTTTCCATTGATTTTGCAGCCATAACTTTTGAAACTTTCAGGGAGTAGATTGTTCGTTTAAGCACAGCTGTTAGCCACCTGAAAATATTTGTTCAATTATCAAATATGGGATGTAACAATTTTACTAGGTTTTAAATAAACGATGTTTCATTTTTTAGTTTTACACATACAAATGAACATAAAAACACTTCAGCACTAGCTAGGAATTGGGTAAAAAAACGTAAGAAGCGATCCATAATGTATTTTCTTTTTGCAATAGTTCTCGTACCAATTATGTTTCCGAATAAGGAATAAAACCGCAGAAACATACGAGTGTTTTGTCTCACAGAGCAACATAAATATTTGCAAACTAACTGGGACAGATGCAATCAAACCGAGTCTGCAATTCTCTTGTAATTTTGTTGGGATTGATGCTTCCGAGGGATCACTTTGTTTCCAGATTTTTAGATTTTCAATCCATGACCCTAAGGAATAAGTTTTTACAATAGTGAGCATTCCATTCTAAACCATGCTTCTAACAATAGTTAACTTGAACTATTGAAACTTGTCAAGTATTGTTTTGAACTACGTATGCCATTAATAAAAACTAATAGAATAATTTTCTCCCAATGACATGACGGTTAAATTTTAAAGCAAGATTTTACCTATAATGAGTATTTAATCTAGATCTTAGACTATCTGGCAATAATTGCTCCACAAGGTCCATAAGCTGTATATATTCCTTTGTCATAGTTCCATATCCCAACCCTCTCTTTGCCTAAAATAAATAGATTGATCAGTTATGATTCTTTCTACTTCTGACTTTAATCTTCAAACCGACACATTTAGGGTTTATACGATTTGCACAAGGTTAATCTCAAACATTTTTTTCCGTACAAATGCTTTCAAATTACACCACTCCTCCAATGAAAAGAAAATAATCACCAGAAGAAATGTCAAGATGAAATGATATTTTAGAACTATGAATAAATGAATTTATTAGAAATATACAAATGGATCGAGCTACCGATATTCAGTCTTTAACAGAATAACAGAATATTTACTCTTATCTCAGTAGATAAAGTGTTATAAAGCGATCAAATAAGCATTAATGGTGGTATAGCTTTTCAATTGTACGGACAAAGCAAGACTTTTTTCAATTTTGACAAATTTTCTTGATAATAATTGAATGAACTCCTGGAATGTACCTAACTGTACCGAGAATGTAAACAAAACCGGGTGGGTACATGAGTAAAACCATCAATGTCCGAATATTAGTTAGTTATAAGCAGCTTCCCCAGATAGAATATTTAACGTCCTTTGTGTATAAAGTCCCTTATGAGACAGAGATGGCTGGTAGGTATTCATTTTAAAAGAAATATATACTACCTCTAACATTGACATGTAATGAACTTGAGAACGTTTCAGATCAGTATAAAAACGTGACAATTTTTCACAAGTATCACGTTTGACAGCTTCTTTGTCTTTGTCAGGTACCATATCCCATCTGTTACACACAAACATTGTCGACTCAGCATTGTATCCCTCTTCACCTGCGCTGTTTGTTACCAATCGCATGAAATTTTGGAGCTGTGATGAAAGAGAGTTTCAAAGATGAGTTTATATTATTCGAACAAAATGTCTAAATTTACATGATCGAATTAGTCACGTGTACTCGGAGGAAACTACATCTAAGAAAAAGTCAAAATAATATCTATGATACTTTGAACGAATTACGTACATTTTTAACGTATATCTTTTATTAAGGTTTCTTCTTTCCTCATATCTTTAGCATCATAGGTTTAAAATAAACTTGAAACTCTAGAGGCTTTGGTACCACTTAAGTCGATAATATAGGTTTTGGATTGTGGGATAATAATCAATTCATTTTATGGTCATAATCGACAAAAACGTGTATGATTTTTTCTTGTATTAGACCAGCTATCCAATATCGAACACATTAATTTCTTTTGCATAATGATATTTTTTATAACATACCCTTCCTTTTTGGACCCCTCCAGCGTTGGCACTGTTAATGACATAGATAAAGCCGTACGACTTGGACAAGTATTTCTCGGCATATTTGGCCATGTTTCCGCCGCCACCTATTCCAGGGGTGTCCACAATTACTATCCCTTCCTTTATTGAAATAAATCATTACCAAGTTTAGGTATTCACATTATAAACAACTATTATACATGTATATACATATTCTCTCTCATATTTACTTAACAAAATAACTTTGTTATTTTTGTTATAGTTATATTTAATTAACCAAATAACAATGTTATTTTGATATGTTTCTTCAATCAGCAGAATCATAGTTCTATGTTAAACAGTAAAACTGATGAAATTGTAGTCTCATACTTTTGTCTGCTTTTGCTGTTTGTGCTGTTGCTTTGAGTGGTTCAAGTATAGAACTAATGAAGATGATGAATAGTATAAAACGTGGTTCGTCTAAATATGAAAGCTAGTACATTTCTAAATCGCTTTAGGTATTATTGTGTATTCAATTTTTTTATGCTAGTTTTTTTTTAATGTTTGATTAAGTTTGCTTTTCACTTGATTCTGTTTCTACGTCAAACCATCAGATAATATCGCTACATATAGCTTTAAAGCTTGAAATAAACAAACTTTAAATAAAAAAAACAGTGAAACATTTTCAATGAAAGTCTGTCTACATAATTTCTATCTGTCTCAGTTTTTTTTTGTTTTGTTTTTTTGTTTACACTGAAAATTAAAACATTCGTTATTTCCTGGAGGTATATATCGCTCTGTACATTACTTAAAGCTGAATTTCTCTTGGTTTATGCATAACAATATTAAAATGAACAATTAAAAATTGTACATTTTAGTAAAACATGTTTAGAGTATCTCAAAGTACTATAGCTTCTATTGATTTAATTCTATTTTTGTATTTTTGAAACATACCTCAAGCATTTGAAATGGCCAGGTTACTTCAAATCTCTCAAATGGTGAGTCGCCATCATCGTCACTCTGAGAAAGAGCGGTTTGGAACTTAAGTAGACCAGACTCTGATCTCAAGTCAAACATAACTGGAGATGGCTTCTTGCCTTTCCTATTGTCCTCTGATATTGCCGATCTGCAAATATTTTCAGTAAGAAAAACAACTATTTTATTTTCTTTAGGTGAGCATTAGACGTTAACAAGGAAAAAAAAACGATTTAGATATCTAACAATGGGAAACCATAGGATCCGACTTGTCACGAAGACGAGCGTCTGACTCTTAGTCATCAAGATGAACTATTCGATCGTGGAGGTCTGCAATGATTGTGTCGCAAAAATAAAGTTGTGATATATTGATGATTCGAACAAGTTTCCTCATATGGCAATAATACTGGTTAGTTCTAGGAAGCGGACTCGATTAGTATATGTTGCAAGTATTTGTTTCTGAATCGAGCAAAAAATAAAAAAAAGTTAAGCAGTCATATTATTGTAACAATAGTATTATTATAGTAATATTATACAGTCATATCACTTTTATACGGCATAGATGTCATTATTCTAACAGCCAAATATAGTCAATAGCTGCATCTGTGTAGTCCTACTACTATCGTATTGCATATGTATAGCTCAAGTCATAATGGATGGTGGCTTATATTTTAACAGTATGTTCGCCCACAAAGTAAAACTATCCGTAGTTTGTCATGAAATAACTAATTATGTCTACTTTTTCTCAAATTGTTTATCATTTAAGTGAAAGATTGTTACACCATACCTATAATAGCCTATTGCTTCTTTCCGTCCATCCTTATTTGTTCTTATTTCACATATTGTAGTTGTACAGCCGAGTTGACTGGTTGGCAACAGGTCGATGCCACCTAGCAACAGGTTGATAAGACTACTCTTCCCTGATGCTGTCTCCCCTATAGAAATAACAATGGGCTTAACTTTAGTTTGACTATACTGTCAAATTAGATAAGTAATAATAAATAAATCAAGTGCAGTGTTGCATATGTAAACAAATTGTATTTGCTTTCTTGCCATTCGAGATCATTGATTTTCGTGCATTTAGTATTCAATATTGAATACCGCTTAAGCCAGTGCTAGTTGGGCATGAGATGGTGCATCTTTTCATTATATCTCATCTTACAAACAGACTCAATGGACCAAATATTTGTTCCTGGTTTCATTGCTTCCGGTGTTGATCTTCCATTTTTGAAATTAAAAATATTTAGTCAGATTAATTTCAGACAAATTAATATATCATTGTTTGATATTTATATAACAAGTACAGATGCTTGACACAAGAACAATTATTATAACAATTTAACATATCTTATTGACAAACAGAAAGCAACAAGAAGAAACAGAAAAGAAATAAACGTTACCAACAACAAGAATGGTACACTCGCTTCTCTTAATCTCGTTTTTCCTTGCCTCAAATTCATTTTCTATTCCTGGATAATAGAAAAAGCACGTGCACGTTTATAAATGAATTGTTTAATAAGTACACGATTATACCTTATTTTTTATTCAAATTAATTTATTTAATCTACTTTCAATAAGTGTTATCTAGAACTCGGAAATGTGGGAAGCTTTTTCGGTACAAAGTTTACCGATATAGCTTCACACAGCACTACCGCGTACAATAAGTACAATAAGTAAGACAATTAAGTCATAGTGTTGCACTTATTTCCGAAACTGTAACTGTTGAAGTTTGTTTGTACCCTCGGATTAACTGGGGAAAGCCAAAAATATTCTTAATTCCGGAGTAAGTCTATTATAGCATTCGTCAATTCCTACACACTCAAAACATGTCAAAATAAGTATAACTTTAAAGGATTACTACATATCAACCAGGATACTTTCTTCAAATGGCTAAGTTATGGACCGGACGCGAAATTGTGACGAACGGTGGCCATTTCTATAATCCACCATTTTCTTCAAAAATAATTGGGGAAAAATAAAAGTATGAAAAAGATCAGAACTCAACCTGGAAAAACTTGGTTCAAATCCTTCTTGTATTTAGGCGGCAGTTCACCGAACAGCTTTTGTGCTGCATCATATTTGACGATCAGTTTCTGCTTGTTAACATTGTCATCTTCTATAGCCTTCTTTAATCCCTTTGCTGGCTCTTTCTGCAAGTCAAATAAAACCATTAAATAGATGAAATGGTAACCTTTGATAACGGGAAGGCAAACTAAGCCTTATGATGCTGAACGTCAAGGACGCCGTAAAATTGAAAAAAAAATATTTTTAAGGCACGTTTGTAACATCGCTTTTCATTGGATAATCACGACATTAATATGAACTCTATAGGCGGCTGCTATCTGCTTATGAAGTAATTTCATTTTATATATCAGTAGTATAAATTTGTTATAAAGATGCTTGACTGGCTATGTGGACGTATATAAACGGTTATTTGGAATATAATCCTCGCCTGAAGTAATATAAAAGCCCATATATTATAACTGACATTATACATATGGTTTGATAAAGACTGTTCATGGACTGTAAAGATAATGTAAGCTACCGCCCACCGGATTTAGCAATATTCATCATTTAAAAAAAATGGGGAAATTATGAACCTATTTACATCCATAGATGTGTTCATAATTCTTTTTTAAATTGTTATGATGGGAACAGTTATAGCTATAAAAGTTACAGTTAGTGTTTTATTCAGAAGATAAGGATCAATATATTCATTCAAGACAGTACTGACGTGCAAGTGTTCTATTATAAGTTCTTCCCTATGTATTCATATATTTGATTAAGTGATTTCTGTGTTATGAAAGGTTAAATGGGACAAGGCATATTTGATGGTGCTGGTAGATTTCATTCCAGATCATGGCAGTAAGCCACACTGAAATTACCAGAGCGCAGTTCAGTCACGGCATAATTCCTGGGCAGGCTGTTAAGCAGTTTATAAGTACTATTTTGCAAGGAACTGATAACCGTTGTACATGCCATAGCAAAAATTTACCGTCCGAATGACGGTAGAAGAGATTTCATTATCAATCACAACCAAAGTGACCAGCACCGTCCGGGAATCGAACCCGGGTCGCCAGATCCACAGTCGAACGCTCTAGCTATTGATCAAGACCAGGCATACCAGTAGTTTATGTTTTATATACAAATGTTTACAATAAGGTAGCTTTTCTCACTTTCTTACACGGTACAAGGCACTCGTATTTAATTGCAAAAAATGGAGAATACAAGATAGACACTTCATGAAGTACATTTAAAGAATTTCCATTAACTCATTATTTTCTGAATATTATATGAAACTGAAATATTTGGAAATTTCATTTAGAATACATATGCCTAAAATCCGGCTCATTAAGCCTAATTGCGTAAGCTCTTGGTTGCACAGTGACATTAAAGTGGGTTTGTTGAAAGATAAAAGACCCCCCCCCCTCCATATACCACTACCACCATCTCCCAACAAAAAAACAAACAAAAAAACAAAAACAAAAAACCACAAGAAACGCACAAATTGCATGATCACTTATAAAGTTATAGCATTCATATCTTTAAAGCAGTCTACCAAAAAAGAAACACGCCTTAAAGTATAATAATTACACATTTAATAGACGTTTTGGCAATTAAATGGCAAATCAGTGAGATAATTTGATTTACATAAAAGTCATGGTTTGAAGCCCAATAATACTTCCGACTTGTTTGAATTAAGCTTAAGTTATTTACTTCACAAGTTTTACCTTATGTCAATACATAACTCTATTTGCAAAATATGCATATTGTTATAAGCACTTTAGCAAAGTTATTATGTTTACCGCGTTTACCTCTAAAGATTTTATGGAAGTCTTAAAATACTGTAAAACACTTATTATTCGCGAGAAATTTATTTTCGCTAATATTCGCGAGTTTTCTAAGACGCGAATTCATATCTCTCGCGAATATTTCACTTTGTCTATACACTTGTCCGAAAATGAACACTATCCGAAAATACGTACACATGGATATACATCTACGGGAAAGTATCGAAACCAGTTCTAGTTACATCATGTAGCTATTCAAGTGTTGCAGCATATACATACCGTACAGATTACTAGTATGAAATATATACCTGTAACAATTTGGTATTATTGAGGAATTGGAAAAAAAACTTTTTCGCTACATATTACCTGTGTCAAGGAAGGTAACTGTGACTTGCACTAGAATTAAGTATAAACAAATTAATGCGTCTCACAAAATTTAATGGTATTTCTACAAATTGTTCTAATTGGTACAAATACTTTAGCACCTGCGAGTTGTTTGTATCATTTCTATTTATTGTATCCTATTGTATTGTACTACAGTTTTTAACACAGTGAACACATATCAAATAATTATCAAACTTTATTGACATATTTTTAGACAGACGGTTTCACTTAACAAGAAGATTAGCAAGCTATCAGAAAAAATCGATACAGATATAAATGCATTCGTTGCACAATAAACGACGCAAAGTTAGTGAACGGAAAGGACAGAAAATATCTGAATGACATCGGGTTTCCGGTTTCACATTTTTCGGGAAGACGCGAATTCATGTTGACGCGAAATAATTATTTTGGACATTTTGCCTCAAATTCGCGAAATAAGGTTCTCGCGAAAAATAAGTGTTTTACAGTATGCGTAATGTCTTCTGATCATGTACTGAAGAAAATGGTTTTGTCAAGGGGAAATATGAAACTGAAACCAAAGACAGACAGAAAGATACAAACAAATGAGTTAACAGTGTTTATATCTCGATTTCGCAATATGTCGACTTATCTTAAAGTTAAAAGAATGCGTATAAATTTTATTTGCATAAATGATTATGAAATAATATCTATATGAATTTCAGAGTTTTAAAGTAAGGCACGGTTAAAGGCCGATAGGCCTAGAGTTTTTAACACAAAGCGTTTGCACAAAAAACATTGTCCGCCAAAAGATGACTAAAGAATCTACATATGTAATTAACAACAGAGCAAGTTACCACTGCATTTCCTGTTTCTTATAGTCTGAAATAGTTGTATATAGTCTAAGATGGTCCCAAATCATTATCCTTTAATCTGCTGGAACCAAAAGTAATTACCCTTTGTCACCTTATGGTTGTAGGCTATACAGCAATTTTTTAATCTTTAACTCATAACTAAGGCATTTGATGACAGAATTCACACTCACCAATGAAAATCCTAAGATCCGAGACAGAGCTCAGAACATCAAGCCCAACTTTCACATTCGTGAAGTTTGACCGGGCTCTGTTCTGTTGGGCCGTGTTGGTAGACTATATATGATGATAAATAAAACTTACATAGTGTATTTAGTGGCCGAGTGGTTAAGGTCGTTGACTTCGAACCACTTGCCCCTCACCGCTGTGGGTTCGAATCCCGACAGGGACTTTGGATTCTTTCATGTGAGGAAGCTATCCAGCTAGCTTACGGAACGTCGGTGGTTCTACTCAGGTGCCCGTTCGTGCCTGAAATAATGCACGGAAGGGCACCTGAGGTCTTCCTCCACCAGTAAAGCTGGAACGTCGCGATATGACCTATACTGTGTCGATGTGACGTAAAACCCCCCAAAAAAACAAAAAAAACATAGTGTATTTAAGATATTCAGCAGTCCAAGAGTTAAAATACCTACCTGTTTGATTTCTGATATAGACACGCCCTTGTCAAGCTCTTGTATGATGATCCTGATGGCGTCATCTTTATTTTTGATACCAAGCCCCTTGGCGTTAACTCCCAGAAGCTTAAACACTTCCATGGCCGTTTTAACATCCGGTATCTACAATATAATTTAATGAAACATCAAAAGATACAATTGCACATAGAAAATACTTGTATAATCTGTTTATGAGAAATGGTGAAACCTACACATATTACGTTATTTTTTTGTTTTTTCTTTCTTATTGTACTGAAAAAGCATTTCAAATATAAAGGCCATTGTTATCCGGATTGCAAGACCTGGATTTAATATTTATGTATAAAATGCTAATGGCTTAAGGCTAGTATTTCATTTTCATCGACAAATGTATTTATATGAATATTTTAAGGATTCAAGTTTCTGTAAATATTTGACCTGGATTTAAGAAATTTGTACACATACATTGTATTACAGTACTATAAAACTATGTGGTTGACTAGAAGCGAACTAAATGCATTAAAAATGGTAAGAAAACTTCAGTTTTTTTACTCTGTTTCTTTCAGCATCATGCATTTTAGAGTGTTGATGAATTCGGGAAATATGTTCAATTACTTTACTTTAAAATGGGACTGGCAATGCGTGAAAGGACTGTAAATTGCCGCATGAATAAAATACAATGTATATTTACTTTAAAACAACCTACTCAATTCATTTACAATAAACATTTTAACTTAAAGCATAAATGTTTACAAATGATCCATTTAACACATGTTGCGCGTTCCATCATTTATCAAAGCTTGAACTATTATGTTTAATGCACATCCCGACAAGGAAGATGGGTTTTATGTATCATATTACTGTTTTAATACGTGTACAAAATATAAATGTCCCCTTATGTGATTTTTTTTGTAGAAATATTTTTAAAATCACTCACCTGTAATGCATTCTGCTTACTCTGAACGTAAAATTTGGTGTCTTGTGGCGCCATTGTCTCTATCTTCACCACATTATGCGCATTAGACTAAACCTACAATCCTGCAAACACACATTCAATATTTACCTTGTATATCTATAATATAACGAAGTTAAGTCACTGTGTTATATATATTTACACTCGGGTAGAGAATTTACTAAAGCGAAACACCGCCTTGTTAACGCATCCGGGCAATCCAAAAAATACCCGTTAAATATTTTTGCTATATCATAATAATTGTTTAGAACAAATGCAACTGTGATAATCTCGCGGTGTAAATAGTAAGATTAAGTATGAAGAAAGGGTTAATAGAATGGGTTACCTGTCTCGCAGCTACTTTCGCTTTTGTATATTCTTATAATGATGACTGTGCCGATATTTCACAATCTACAACTTAAGACTTGTTTAATAAATAAACATTGAATTGAATACTTAAACATTAGTCCAATGCATTAAATGAAACATAAAAGAACGTAAAAAAGCGGTTTAAGATACGTTTTTATTGATTTTCAAAGTGTACGCTTCTCTATTTTGAATAAGACTGCAGTCTGGAACAATGGAGCACAATAATCATATGACACCCGAGTACATAGCGATTAAACCATTGTTGAAAGCAGAATAATAATATTTTAACGAATAAATGCTCACAAATTAATCACGTGTCTTCTGAGAAATTATTATTGTTATAAAAGTATAGAGTAGGAGGCATTTACATTAAATGTAAGGTTTTTCCTTATATCTACACGTGAAGACAATGTAATAACGATCGCTTTAAACTATTTGTAATGTTTTACATCTGGTACAGTACACTTTAAATAGTTTGTTATATAAGTACACCGGAACCGATAAAATTTACATAAAATATTAAAAATGACTTCCGTCATTCCTACAGTGGATGACATAGGCAGAATCAGGGACATAGAGGCTGCTAAGAGGGCATGTCACAACATTAATATACCGTATAGTAATACAGATACTTTTGATGAGCTGCTAGAGAAGTTGACAATTAGAAGTATGATTGAAGAAGGTGAAGAGGAGTTTCCATCTCTTGATGAGATTGATGAGCTGGATGACATTTGTGGCGTTCTAGAGATTTGTGAGGACCATAGCGTTAATATAGAAACATTGGAAGACTGTTCAGAAATAAAGGAGCGGTTGAAACTCGAGTTCTGGCGGAGGAAAGGAACATCTTTCAAAAAAGAGGTGGGTAATAAATTGTTTATATATATATACCTCTTAGAAATAGATAAAATGTTGATGTATTCCATATATTGCATGTTTTTCTTTAATGGATGATGTTTATGATGAAAGATTATGTTATATTGATTTTGATAAATGTATTTTTCCATTTAAATTGTAATTTATGTTTAAGTACTTAATTTGACAAATCGCACACACATATTTCGTATTGTACTCTACAATGTGTACTAACCTCAGACTATAAGACCAGAACACAACCGTAAAACCTATATAGTAGTATGAATAGGTTTTGAAACTGTGTATCTGTCTAATAAAATCAATATTGTACTAAAAATGTATAATGACCTTTTTATTTCCCACCTCATTACTTTGACCTAAGTACTTTGACTACAATAAGGGTAAAATATGGATTTCTTTAACTCTGAAAAAGAAAACGAGGCTAGACTGGGTAAACTAATGATTTGATATAGATATTGTTGAAAATGAGAAAAGGCTAAAAGGAGTACAATAGTGTTTTGATATATGATAAAAAATAATTTTGACTAGGGAATGAAAACGAAGCTAAATTGACCAGATTTGATCAAATTATGATAAATGTTGGTGTATCACATGGTGTAAAAGCTGGTGGTATGAAAAGAGTACACTACTTAATTCTATCGGACAAGTACACAGCTGTAAACACTATATTGGATGAGCCGCTAATCGAATTCGATATAAGTTTTGCAGCTGTGTACGAGTCCAGTAGTATCAGTATTGTTTTCATCAATGTTTAATGACCTCTTTATTTCATACTACCATTTCTTGACATTTTCACAGAACTTTATAATTTTCATTTAAATAAGACTTTGATAACGTTATTTTTAGTATCAAGAAATGACAGAGGGCTATTTTGGGAGCAATATGAATTTGATATGAGCTTTTTGGACATCGGAAATGAAAACGAGTCTATATGCGATACGGTATGGATTTTATATTGCTTAAATGGACTCTGTAAATGAAAAGAGGATAAATTGATATGTGATATTTTGGAACATGATGTGGTACAAACGCTGAAAGTGCATTGATTATATTTATAAGGTGTGAAATAAGAAAATGATATGACAATAAATGTTCATTATAAACTTTATCTTTATAATAAATGTACATAAGAAACATTGTACAAATAAAAGTACAAATAGCGCCTCGTAGTTTAAATAGTTAAAATAGTTTGGACAGCTGTGTACTCTTCCAATAGAATTCAGTTTTGTCTTCCAAGACATCTTTATTTCACACCACCATTTTTGACATTTTGATAGAACTTCGTTACTTCAATTGCAATAATGATTTTTGAACTCTCAAAAATTAAATTGAGCTTAGATAGAGTATTACACACATTTGATAAAGATATTTAGGTAATTACGTACAATATAATTTAGGATTTAACAACAAATATACAATTTAAAGTCTAATTATATAATAAATGTAAAATATAAAGACTAATTTGACAATCAATGTACAGTTTAAACTCTAATTTGCCAATACCTGTACATTATAAACTATAATTTGAGAGATAATGTATAAAATAGACAATAATTTGACAATCAATTTTCAATTATATGAGGTTATTATACTATAAATTGTTGAGTACAATACTAAATTATATTGGACGAGTCAACTATTTTGGACGAGTCGCTAGTTCAGTCTGAGCTGCGAACGAGTCCAACAGAACCATGTTTAATGACCTCTTTATTTCACACCACCATTTTCTTTATATTTTGACAAAACGTTGTTACTTCAGTTACAATAAGAATTTGATATGGATTTTGGACAGAAACAAATGTGCACGGGGATAGATTTGGTCCAATATGGATTTCATATCTACCTCTTGGACTCTGGAAATGAAAACATGGATATAAGGGTGTGATATGGATTTGATAAATTAACAATATTATGACTTTAAATATACAATAAAAACTGTAATTTGACAATAGATGTATAATAAAAGCTTTGATTTTACAATAAATGTACAGTTTAAATTGTAATTTGACAATAAATGTATATAAAACCTCTAGTATGTAGTTTGAATTTCAAAATCAAGTAAGTCATGAAACTAAAAGACAAGCTTTGACTCAAGAAATTAAACTCAAACTTAAAGAATTTTTTGAAGCAATAATTTTGCAAAATATTTACGTATATGAACTAAATAATCCGAGTACGGTAATAATATAAAAACATTTACATATAAGCACCCCCCCCCCCCCGCGCTAAAAAAATCAAATAAAAGTGAACATAAATTTGAATCTTGAAAAATTTAATATATGGTAATGTCTTAAAATTATATACGAGTATCAGATGTATGAATTTAAGGGAAGTAACCAATGTCTTTCACGAGAAATAGAAACCAAACTTCAGTAACATTATAGCATGTTATAACGTCAAAGTACGAAGTCACGAGGACACCACGAGTATCTTATTCAAAATACACTGTCTGTCAAGGTCAGGATGGTTTTTATATTATAATTACACGGTTTTTATTATGTATTTCCCTTCTTCATGTCTGAATGGTTGTCCTCGCTCAAATTTCTGTACACGCTAACGTTTTTTCTCTCCTTATTTAACATTTGAAAAGAACAAAAGCAATGACTTGTCAAACTTTTATGACAAGTCATTTTGTAATAAGATATGGAAATCATTGAAATAAAAGAATTTAACTCCATAGATAAGATCTAGGGGATAATATGTTTTCTTAAATCATAGGTTTATATTGTTTCCTTTGAGGAATTCAAAAAAAACTGAAATATAACACAAAACATGCACTAGAAAAATTGTACTGTGAATATTGATCATCATCATCATCATCATGCGTCGTTTCTAAGTGCCAACAAGTTACTACATTAATGAGAACAATTAAACATCAGCACTTTTTCGTCAAGCATTTATACAGTCTTCATTTATTGAATAAAACCTTTAGGTTTTGTTATATATTTCACGGGTAATTGAAATCCTATAGCATTTGAAAAGAATATCTTAGTATATCAATCAGGAAGTATGCGATATTTCAATCTTCTTGTCAACTTAACATAAAGGATTGTTTGCCGTCAGAGGACTTCCGTGTAAGAAAAATTGAAGGGTATTTTTTCCTTTTATTTTCTACATAAAAGAACTATACACCCGTAAAGAGGAAAATACCTAGGCGCAATATTTCCCGTAGATATCTACAAATATTGAAATCTATAACTTCTAAAAAATAACACATATTGCCAACAATGATTTAAAAAGATATATTTTTTATATATTGTGCGTTTTTATAAATGCCCTCAGTTCAAAATAAAGAAGAAAAATGGTTCTCTTATCTTAAGGGCGTAGCCACGAACGGAGAAACATATGATTGATGGTATTCTATAATGTGTTTCCAAAAATGTTGTTTCGTGTACCAAGTATGTTCTGGTGATGAAATAATGTTAATATTCCATACTTTAGATAACGCCTCTGACTTTCTTACAGTTCCCCCCACCCGCCGACTTTCTACACTTCTAACTATTCCGAACCTCCCGTAATAATCCGTACCCCAAGTAACCTCACCTGATTTGCGGTACCTTTAGTGTTTTCCAACCCCAAGACATTCCGTGCTTCTGGTTACCTTACTGGACGTTCCGTTCTTCTAGTAAGGTCCCTTTACTTTCCGTACCTCTAGTCAGCTATTATATCTCTGGTTATCTCACCAGACTTTCTGTTCTTGAAGTAACCTCCCCTGCCTTTCTTTTCCTAGTTACCTCCCCGAGATGTTTGTTCCTCTGCTTACCTCCCCTGACATTCATTACCTAGTTACCTCCCCGGAATGTTTGTGTCTCTGCTAACCTCCCCTGGGTTTCTTTACCTAGTTACCTCCCCGGAATGTTTGCTTCCCTGCTAACCTCCCCTGAGTTTCTTCACCTAGTTACCTTCCCTAAATGTTTGTTTCTCTGCTAATCTCCCCTGACTTTCTTCACCTAGTTAAAACCCCGGAATGTTTGTTTCTCTGCTAACCTCCCCTGACTTTTTCACATAGTTACCTCAATGGAATGTTTGTTTGTTTCTCTGCTTACCTCCCCTGACTTTCTTTACCTAATTACCTTCCCGGAAATGTATGTTTCTCTGCTAACCTCCCCTGACTTTCTTCACCTAGTTACCTCCCCGGAATGTTTGTTTCTCTGCTAACCTCCCCTGACTTTCTTCACATAGTTGCCTGCCCGGAATTTTTGTTTCTCTCCTAACCTCACCTGACATTCTTTATCTAGTTACTTCCCAGGAAAGTTTGTTTCTCTGCTATCCTCCCCTGATTTTCTTTACCTAATTACCTTGCCGGAATGTTTGTTTCTTTGCTAACCTCCCCTGAGTTTCTTAACCTAGTTACCTTCCCGGAATGTTTGTTTCTGTGGTAACCTACACTGAAGTCCGTGTAAACTGTGGGGATTGATAACGACGCTTATACATACTTGTTTATTTGATCTTATTGGATTGCTTTGCATTACTATAGATGTTTGTTTAATTTCTATATATTGCAAACTTCCTTTTTCCTGAACCAATCAGCGTTTAGCATTAAATTGTAAGAGGAATAATCAATAGATTGTATTAAATATTATGGACAAAGGCGTTTTGTCAACTTATTCAGATACCGATTCTATGTCGGTTCATTTGTTAGAAAAGATAAAAGTGTTTTTGGAAACTATGCAGCATATCAAATATTGTATTAATTGACGTTATGTACAATGTATATACAAGTATTTCTTAATCTCATGTTGTAAACATTCACCATGTATTTGATATTTACTTATGAAAAATATCCCTTTAAAATAATTGTTTGTACAAAAAAACAACAAGCCGATACGTAACTAAACAGAGAAAGATTAAAAATTATCGGAAGCTTTGTTATATTCCATAAAGACCTAGGGGAAAATTATAGTTCAATATTCGGGACAATATAGTCACTACGCGTCTGTTTATATAAAACTACATGAAATTATTTAATACTTCATACAAACTGACAATATGTAAAAAAAAATCACAAATGGCGGCGAGCCAAAAAGTTCAAAAGTTCAAGTTGATATTTTAAAATACATGATAACACTTAGTTTCGCACTAAATGTTATCAAATTCAAATATCAGTGTATTATTTTCACTTATTCGAGTGATAAAAAGAAACTGCCATACGCTGTCAGATCATATTACTTTTTACTAATGGATATATATCAGAAATACGATAACTTTCCCCTGACCGATGTGGGTTCGAATCTCGCCAGGGACTTTGATTTTTTATGTTATTAAGTTACACGCAATCTAACAGAATGCTGGTGGTTTAACTCTGAAGCAGTAAAATAATGCACGGAGAGGCAACTGAGGTCTTCCCCCACCCACCAGCCAAGCCGCGAAATTACTAATATATGATCATTACAGTGAATTTAAAAATCTAATAAAAGAACGTGGTAAGACATGTTTGATTAGAATAATAGTAATAGAAAGAGCATCGAGACACGAGGCTTTCTGATTTGTACGAGGAGGCATTGATAGCCCACGAGTAAAACTCAGATTGTCGAGTGGTGTTTTGATGTTCTTTCTCTTTTGTGTCTCATGCAAAAATAAAAAAATACACGTTCCCTGTCGTCACAATATCAAACCTCAGAAAAATGTGACTAATGTTTGAGCATCTGAATATGAACTTTTCTTTGTCACCCCAGCCCACCCCCCCCCCCCAAATGAGCCAATCAACGAGCAGCCTCTAGACAGACAGTGAGTTCAGGTTACTAATACCTGTACTCCATTTAACACACTGTGCATGTATTGGTATACGATTTAACTCAGACAGTAAAGTTTCCAAACTAAGATAAAACTGAGTTTTATATAAATGCGGATATATTTTATTATTATACGACTAATTATTAACATATACAAGTAATTATTAAGATATATACACTTCATTTCATTTAAGCATAATTACAGAACATGTGGGAACATGGTGTTGATGAATAGGACTCGTACCCATAATCCCATGTTTGATAGATATACGTCTTAATCACTAGACCTCCGTTCCTTCATTTGACAACTTTTTTAAGATAAGAATTAAAATTAAAAGTGACTTTATTCTCTAATAATAAAATAAACGCAATTACTTACATTTGCCTTTACGATTTCCAAAAAAGATAGCATGTTCAATGACAAATAAAAACCTCAATTCGTATATCAAATTTGCAAAGTGAGCGGTCGTGCCAGTCGCTTCATTTCAATAAAAGAATTCGTTAAATAATCAAGATTTTAACTGCATTCAGTAGAATATTTCTATTATTGACTTTAAATTTCCAAAGCAGGAAGTGTACTTGAGAAATCGCACTTGTATTAATTCTCCATAATAGAGCCTGAAACTTAAGCCTTTGGAATTTTTTTTCAATTGCAATGAATGTTTAATGATCAAACATAAAGATAATAATAGCAATAGTCGATGTAAATTGCACGTCGGGTATTCAAGCTACTTGTAATGTTTCTACATAATACACGAGGAGTCATTTCAAAAAAATGTGTAAATAGGCTGACATTGTGTAACAATCATTTCAGTTCGACGGATGTTACATTATGTTAAATTTACAGAAGAAAAAGGAAAGCCGTGACTAATTAAAAGAAAGCAGCGACAGTAAAATATGCAATATGCGAAATATTCAGTTATTTTACTTAAGAAATTTTACGAATAAATCAGACATTTTATGGTACCAATTTTTAATTAGTGAAGCGTGACAGATTGAAGGATTCTTTCGATAATAAATTTATAAGGGTAATAAAACAGAATATTAAAAAAAAATGTCACAAAGAAAAGGACTTAGATCAAAGGATATTGATGCTCTTGATGATATCCTGGACGCTCTGGATTTATGTGAGGAGTTTCAGGTTCCCTGTGATAATCTAGACACATTAGATGAAATCAAGCGCCGTCTATGGATGCACTATAATGTTCTGAAACAAGGAAACATTAAAAAACGGGTCGGTTTTTTACAGTCTCGAAATGTATTTAAAACTATAAATGCATATCTTCATAAAAATACATATACTGAACCAAAAAAGAAATTTTCGCAAAGTATGCGCCAGTTGTTCAAGGGTACCACTTTGATGTACACACTTATGTACATGTAGTAGTTTGTAAAACTCGTTTTGTTTGCAAAATCGGTCAGCTAATCCCCGTATAAAAGCCCGATATGTTTATTCAACGTAAAAATCGAGTTTCAAAGGGATTGAAAAACTGTACTAACATATCTACATTCAAACTTGGAGAAAGTTTCTTTTTTGTTTCAGTATATAACACTTTAGGTTTTTCTTATTATCATGTATCATTTCAGTTAAATTGGAGGTCCGACCTCTTGACTCAATATCGGATGACTGCTTGATGCTCGGGCAAGGTGTAGTTTGAATCAGAAATCATGCGGTATTTGTAGGCGGTCACTTGTTGAATAATTGATAATTACTGATTACTTATCCAGGAAAACCGATTAGGAAAATCAACTGTTCAAAAAACAAAATTCAAGAAATAAAAAAAGCAGAATCAGTGTTCAAAATATTTAATAATTTAGAAAGAAATTATTCATTTACATTATGAATTAACAATGCGAAACGTCACAACTATCTCTAAACATTTTCATTTATTCATTTATTTATTTCTTGACATTTAATTTATACTCGACAAAATCAATACGTGTCTTGCCCTATTCACGGTGCCATTACTCTTATATGTAACTTAAAAATGTCCTCGTTCACTTAACATGTATGTTAGTATTATATATCATGAATTAGAAGCAATTATGCCCAACTGTTGCCTCTAACGAATGTTGAGACTTTAGGCGATATAAATCTGTTAAATGGTTAATTATAACCGTATACTAACATAAAATACATTAAACTCAGATTTCGCGACCGCTTTCTATCTTTTTTCATTTCGGAGATACTTTGTCCGCACTTAAAAAAGAAATGTTCTTTATAAATTATACTGTAGAAGAAAGGAATGGTTCGAACATTTGCTTTTTGGTAACAAAATCACAAAATATCTGTTTAAGATAAATAAGTTATCTAGAGAAGTATTCTCTTGTGCATAAAGAGTGAATGAAACTTTTATTATTTGTTAAAATCTGTTCTTTTCATTTGTTTACATTTTATTTATGTTAAGATATACCGTATAATGTTAAAATAAATATATAATAAAAACTTAAGCAAAACTAATAAAATAAAAAATAACAGTTTTTCACGATTTTCACGTATTTTTAATATTTTATTTATATAGGTACAAGATGCCATGATCAGAACAAGTGAGGAAAATGACAAAAAGCGTCTCCGTCTTATCCAAATGTTCGAGGAACTCGTGCAGATCATTGGCTCAAAAGATGTATCAATGGCAGCTGATTTTGTCACAGATTTATTACAGAAAGAGCAAACTTCAGGTGACATTCTTGCAGACTGCGAGACAAACATTGAACGACTGAAAGAAAAGGAAAGCGTGATACTTGTAGCAGGTATGTGCTTGTTAAAACAAGATTATATAGAAGGCTTAAAATTAAGAAATCCGTGATAATACAGATTTTCTTAGCATTCGCATGATGTAAAAGTGAAAAATATGTTTAAAATTTATTTTCTGGTCTTTGACTTTTCATGAGGTATTAATTATATGTAACTGACCATATAAATGATGTGTGTTTATGAAACATAATATCTGTATAACATTATTATTACTTTTTTATTATTATTTTTGATAAACTTCTTTCTTTGGTTCGAATAAAGTTCACTTTGATTCAGCTTAATAATACATTACATATAGAAACTATAGTTGGTTTCTTACTATTTGTCATGGCGATGACTAAATATGAACTAAACCTCCCAATTTATCTTATTTATCCCGTTCAATAATAACTTACTGTATTTTCTCCCTATATTTTCAGGTGAAACCTCAGCCGGGAAATCAAGCTTTTTGAACCTGCTTCTAGGAAGTGAATTTCTACCTACACACACGTGCAGTTGTACGTCGTCCATAACAACACTAAGATATGGAACGCAGAAAGAAGCTAGAATCATTTACGGAGGCCCGAAATCAAAAGTAGATGTAATTAAAAATCTTGCCAAAGAAGGAATGGAAAGGTTATATGAAATAACATTCATGAAAGGAAAAGAGAGAGAAGAAGGTCATAACGTGAAAGAAGTACAAGTCTATTTGCCACTCGAATTTCTAAAGGTAAAAACAAAGTTTGCCTTGTTAAGAAAAAATCTCTTTTAAAGAAGTTCAATATTTATATCAAAATGATTAAGCAAATTTAAAATGAAATAAACCGACACACATGTAATGACACATTTTTTCTAAACGAAAAAAAAAATCAAATATGTATACATGTATAAAGATATTTTTATTTTATTAATCTATAAAGCTGTTGAATACATTTATTTATATTTTTGAGTTTATGTTCTTCAAACTGTACAGTGTGTACTTGTTTATTGCAGTGTGGAATTGTTCTTGCTGACACACCAGGTATAGGTGAAAATGAATTTCTTGAACAATATTTGATGGACTTCATATCAAACAATCAGATCCTTGGGTTTATTTACATCATCTTTTCAGATTCCGCAGGTGGAGTACAAGAAGACAGAGTAAGTCTACAAAGTTATTACGTCACGTGTAAAATGATTGGATAGTGTCATTATCTAAAGCACGAATGGTTGTCAACATGATTCTTTGATTCAGTTTACTTTCCATCAAAAATAAAACAAGTATTAAACAGTAGATAATACTGTATTGTCCTTTTACAACTTAGTTGATCGATAGTGATTGTGCCTACTTTCTAATAAATATATCATGATATTTTCAAGTTTAATTATGATAAAAGGTACGTTTGTGTTAAGAAAGAAGATATAGTACGTAAATTTACATATTCGTTTACAGCTACTACTTTTGCTGAAAATGATAATTGAGCAACAGAAGAATAACAGCAAAGCTTTGAAATTCAATCCGAAGGCTGCGTTATTTCTGGCAAACAGATTTGATGCGGTACAAGAAGAAGGTCGAGAGAAGGTCAAACGGCATATCCTCGATCAGCTCGGAAAATACTGGCCAGAGTTTGATGAATCTATGACAGTATTCTTTTCGACAAAGACAGCGTTAAGAGATGTTGCCGCGCACCCGGACTACGTAAATGATGACTACAAAACATTGCTTTCGTCTATTAGCAATCTGTTTTCACTAGCCATGGATAGGAGAATCAAGGCTTCTTACAAGTAGGGCTCAAATAAAGTATATGTATTTTGCTCACATCTTTTCAACAAAATATCTTAACATTTGATTAACAAAGTCAACAAGCAATTAAAAAGGAATGCTAACAAAACAACACAATATCTGGGTTTTTTTAAATTCTATCAGATTCTTTCAGCCTGTAAAGATTATACAAACACTTAATTTCATGTAATATCTCATGTCAATGTTGATAAGCTACTTACCGAACTGATACATATTTATCGAGTGAGTTGTACGAAAAAGCAAGTCAATACCATTGTACATCTTATTTCAGGTGGATCGAAACGGTTTTACAGAGGTTAAACCACTTCTTAAAGACAACCGTGACAAGACTAGACATGACACAAAGAGACCATCAAGAACGGGCAGTAAAGCAGCAAATGAGGCTTCAAAACCTAAAAGAACGGTCCAATACAGTTGTAAGTGAACTTCTGGCAGATATAGCAGAACGTAGTGAGCATATTGTTCGAGAAGTGCAAAAATATCTCTCCACCCCTCAGGCAAAATTTCTCCTATGTTCGGTTTGGAAACCAGACGAAATTCCAAAATTAGAAGAAAAAATTACGGACGTTAATCATTGGCTATGGGTAAAACAGCGTGTAGATGATGCTTTCTACGACAGATTATGTAACGCTATTGAAGACTGGGATGACGAAGAGAGCAAAGTTTCATGCATTGAAACTGAAATTGTTGAAAATATTAAATCAAAACTTGGAATTTTGCAAGATGAAATCGCAAAGGTTGAACATGACTTAAGATCGACGCAGTCATCTACTGGTTCAATGGATTTAAAAGCTCGCAGGCTGTCTGTTATTCTTCCTAGAGGGCAAATGATTGAAGAACCCTTGAAGCTCGCTTTGCATATGCAGCATCGGGTTACAAACAACCCTTTTGAGAAAATGAAATATCGAAGAGAAGCAGGTAAGTTTGAAAAAGACACCCAAGCTTGGGCCAGAAAGAGGGCGGAAAAATTGATGTCGAAACTTTTGGCAAACAGACCAAAAGACAAATCAGAAGTTGGCTTGTTGACAAAGCTTGTTGACCAGTTGATGCGACGTCCAAGAGACATTGTAGAGAGATTAGAGCAACGCATTCCATGCATCATTGACACCAATGTGGAACTTCTCAACTCTATTCAGAATTTGATGGTAACACAAAGAAGAGACGCAAATAAGTACGAAGAGATGATGGTCCTTATAGAGAGGCTTAAAGAATCACTGATGAACTATGGTGAAGGTTACATATTTGTCAACGACTTTAAATCAAACGAATTAAAAGTATTACAAGATACTCCTGCTGGACAGAGTCTTGCACAGACATTCCGATTCAGCGAGCTTGTAACAGGAGGCTCCTCAAATAAAGGTCAAGTAGTAACAACTGTTCCACTAGGTCTTTGGACAATTGTTCGTCAAGGCACTCTCCAAAGAGACGGAAAAGCAACACCAGTTTCAATTAAAATGTACATGCCCTCGTCCGGAATAAGCCACACTTTCCAAGAGGTTGCCAAGTTGAGGTAAGCATATATTTTCTATCTTTTCCAAATGATTTATGATATAAGAATCTTACACTGGCTGGTACAGACCGGAATATCTAGCACGCGGGTAACTGTTTACGGCGGTAACGAGGCTCTGTCGAGTTTCCGCCTAACAGTTACCCGAGTGCTAGATATTCTCATCTGTACCGACAGCCATTGTTTGATGTTTTTTTTCTTGCATATTAAATATCAATTATTTTCGGAACAGATATTTTCATTACGTATTTTTTTCTTATTGTAGCGTATGAACTTACAAACTTCATTTATGACGGTAAAATGACGTCATGCTTAGAACGCAATTCATTCATAAAAGGCGCGCGGCAATGACGTCATTTAAAGTATGTGACTTGTCTTACATGGGGGTGTAAGACAGGGTTTTCTAGCACCGGTGTTAACGGGAGATAATCCTGTCTGATATGCAAGAAAATAAATATTCCCCTCTTTCATTTCGCTATACGGCAAACGAGCATTTTCCTATGGGCTATGATAAAAATGTTTTTAATTTAATATCATATCCCATTGACAATGCTGCTCCATCAAAACAACATCCCCTTAAGCCAAAAAAAATTGCTTTTTTAATACGTTTGTGATATCTAAAACTAAATAGCAGTTATGTTATGATTTTTTTTTCAGATGTCTTCTTAACAAGGACGTGTACTTAGCAGAGTTTTTAGGTATTCATCATACCGAGGCTGTCACCCCTGCATATATATTTGATGGACATTTACTGCCATTGAACCGATATGCAGCTGAAGATGCAAATTTCAAAAATTGTCTTCCAAGATTGCTTAGAGAAATAGCAAATGGGATACATTATCTACACTCTAAAGGAATGGTTCACATGGAGTTGAAAAAGTCCACTGTCACGGTAAGTAAAGTTATTGATACTGATAGTTAATCATATATATTGCTTGCTTCAAGTCTGAAAAGGGGTATAGTCTCTCGGAGCAACACGATAAAAGTAAAAGGATGAAATTGCTAGCTCTGTTTATTTAGTTTGTTCACAAGAACAATTAAAGGTCAGTCATCTCTAACGCTCCCTTAAAAGTATGCTTTAACTTATTTACCGTAAACGAACATTTTTAAAACTTCAAATGTTTATCAACTGTATGAAAATGACCGAGAAAATAATATTTCGACTTCCATATATCATTTACCTTCACGGATAATAAATAATAAAATCTTCTGAATTGATTCAATTTAAAAACATAATTAATTTCCGAGTGAATTTACTTAAACTGTGGGAAGATTTGTATTAAATCTAATAGTCACATTCTAAATGTTCTTTTCGGAACATATGTGTCATAAAACAGCAATTTCATGACAATGATTATATGTCACAGGTAACAGAATCTGGTGAGGTTCGCTTGACTGGGGCTTGTGTTCCAAGGCATGCAACACTACCGCTTGAAAAAGAGAACCAGGTGTCTGACTTTGTCTACCTTGCACCCGAAGTTTTGAGAAAAGAGCTCTATATAACATCAGCTGATATATATGGATATGGCTTACTTATGTATGAATTGTTATGTGAGAGGAAAGCCTTTCAAGAACAGCGAAAGTCCACTTTTAAAGATTTTGCGGAACGAGTAAATCCTGAGAAAATGCTTCACCTGCTCACACATATTAGTGCATGTTTAACGGAAGGTACGATAAAATTGATATCACATTGTGTGCAGATATCAGAAGACGATAGACCAAACATGCACGTCGTGATAGAAATGCTGGATAGCCTTAAGGGAGACTTTGGAAAAGAGGTAACTGGACGAAGACCCGGAATGCACACACCGGGGGAAGTTTTCCGAAGGCCGAGAGAATGTGAAAAGAACACACATTAATATTTCTCAAGTAATACATTTAGATATGTAGGTAAATAAGAGTTCATGTATTTCCCATCATCATTGGGATAAGAAGGAAAAATCTTAAATATAGGATAAACACTATCAGACTTTTTAAGTAATTCGTTTTATATTACAAATGCACATAAAAACCAAGTAAATTGCATGCCTTCTGTAAATGTCAACTGACATTGCAATTGTGATTACAAGATAACATCGTAAATTCAAATAACATTACTTTGTTAGATTACACAACATCAAATTGTGAGTGAACATAGCATTGTAGTGAGTTAACACAAAATTGCATTGTGTGTTTTCACATCATAGCATTTTAAGTTTATACAACATTACATTTTGAGTTTACACACCATTATATTGTTAGTTCACTCAACATTACATTGCGAGTTAGGGAGTTTAAACAACATTACATTGCGAGTTAACATTACATTTTGGGTTGTGTTAGTACATTGACATGTTTTCCTCCTACGCATTCTATGTACAATGTATATATCAATATCTATTAGCATAAAACATTTACATTGCCTATCACAATATTTTTATGATTTGTCTTATAAGTGGTGATGTTATTTTATGTAATATGTGCAATCATTTCAGCTCAATCTGACCATAGATTGATATACATGTACATTGTTGAACCACTTCGAGGGAATATAAAAGTTTATAGCATACTTTCATTGGCATGTGTTTTATAAAATCTGTATTTCATATTTTTCATTTCTTTAAACATTTGTTTTATTTAAAGCACTGTACGCATTAGAATTTTACTGTAGAAAGATAAAACAGATGAATGTATGATTTTTGTTTGTTTGTTTGCGTATGTTTGTTTCGTGATTTTTTATATTATAAGCGGGATAAACAAGAAAAATAGATAGATGCGACTAATGAACAGACTTAATTATGTTATGAATTTCTCATTATTTACTCTCTCTGTATCAATGATTTTATCTTTCTGTGTTTCAAATTTGATAAATGTTACTTTGTAGATATTATTTTCAAATCTTCGACATACATGAGTCTTTCTTTTGTGAACACTATTGATTTCAATAAACATTACATTCGTTATACATTAGTTTTTATTCCTTGTGTACGTACCCATTTCTATGACATGAAATACTACTATATTTATTTCATTTACCGAGCTATGTTCCCTACCCTTGAAAAGTTAATGAACATTTTAAGAGAAAAATAATTTATAGAGGACACCAAAATCTTCTGACTTGATTTCGAGACATTAAAATAAAAGCTGACTTTTTCGCCTTATAGCCAGTTATGACATTGTTTAATTCAATACAGTTATCTCCTTTTGGTTCTGTCTACTGTTTCGATACAGTTGTCTCCCTTTGACGGCTTTTATTTCATTATCTAAATTTATTAAAGAATATTTTTATTATCTCTAAATGGAATGTCCGCTTAATAACTCATTTATGGGTTGATTTTGTAATAATTTTGTATAACTGTTTGGCACATTGGGGGTAATGTGTTATGTAAAAGAGAAAGCACTGTTGTACATGTCCGGTAACCTGGGATTTAGGCGTTGATAGTTTTTGCTTATTTAATATTTAAAACATTTGTTTTTGCTTTATTTAAAACATATGCACTATTCCATATTCGTTCGTCGTTTTGACAGTATCAATGTCGATTTGCCAAGCAGAACTATAGAAAATCGACAGACTGGAACCCAGGCTAGTGTCTGGTCAACAATTCTGTTATTGATGGATGGATTTAAAAATGATTATGCATAAATGTGTTGGACATAATGTCAATGTTTTTTCGCGCAAGAATCAGGTCACTACCTCAAAGGTCAAGGTCAGACTTGTAGATCAAAACTTATGATATCTTTTTTCTTAAACAATTTACTAGGATAAATTTGTTAGGCATAATGACTATGTGTCGCAAGCATGAATCAGATATCAAGGTAACACTTGTAGTTTTATATGAACTTCCTGGATGAATTTAAAAATTATTTGGCATAAATGTGTAGGACCTGATGATAATGTGTCGCCCATAGGGGTCAGGTATCAAGTTCAAAGTTCAAGGTCACATATGTATGTCAAATTTGACGAATGTGAATAGATTGTCTTCATTTGAGTATAGCTTTTCATTTATAATAACTATAGATAAATATGCTGCTTATTAAGATGATAAGTAATGAAAAAATAGCAGCTTAAACGTCAAGTTTATACTTGAATGTCAGAAGTAATGATACGACAGTGCATTGATAGCCATGTCTAGTCTAGGTCTTTTTGTCATTCAGTGAAAGATTTTGTAATAACAAATGTAAGTTCTTTTAAACAATATGTGATGAGTTTGTAGCTGAAAGATTCAAGGTCACACTAGGACTTTTAAGGTTAATAATTTTATAAAAGTATATCGATGGTTATGTCAAATCACCAATTCCGTCATCCATGTAAGAGACATTCAAATTCACATTCAAAAACAGATCTACAGTAAAAGTAAGAGTAATACAATGTCAAAATACCACGTCTAGGCATATTTTTGTCAGTTCTTGTTTAGTTGATATGACCTTAGACTTGACATCGCCTTCAAAATATTTTATTTCATTAATGCGAGATTAAAGAATAACGTTAAATGGAGAAAACATTATATGTAAAATGCGTTTAACATTTTACACTGTCAAGGAACTTACCACCGTATGAACACATCCGAGGATGTTTCCGAAGACTGAAATTTTTCCTGTTTAATTGTTGGATGGTGCTAGACGCCTGGGCGGGTACCTCCCACTTTCCATTACCGTCCATTAGCAGGCTCAGTCAAACGGAATCTGCACTTTTTTCAATTTTGCCGTTTTGACGTTTTTTAAGGATTCCCTTTCTTTATACTTCTCAATGTTGTTAACTTTTTATCATTTTTCGGATTTAAAAACATTTCAATTCATTCTGTGTATATGGACATTAAATTGTACTTACCAATAAATGTGTGCCGCTCTGTTGAGTATAATCTAAACGTCACTGATTTCAAAGGGGTAGAAGCGTGATAATGGTTTTACAAAAGTTTCAAGAGGTTCTTGTCCCTTGTTTATAAAGTCAACAAGAACATTAAATTAAATGGTGGAACGATATCATATTACTATAATAGGTATCCTGTAACAAGTATAAACGTTGATGTATAATGGATAATCAAGGGCTAATATCGTTGTAACTTTATCATGATATGTTACTATTAGTATCTTGTCGAGTAAAAGATGCACAGGTATGAGGAAAAGTTGAACATGTTTGAAAAAGGTCAATTATAACAGGTAAAGCTACAATTTCCGAAGAAGGAAGTAGGTTTTTGTGTGTAAATACAGAAAAATTGTAAGATAAATGTAAAGCGGATCAAGAAGTTGAATTTAATGTCCTATCCTGCTTATTGTTAGTTCTAAAGTATCTGATAGGTTATATGGTCAGGTTATATGGCTCGGCAGTATAAACGGTTGTAAGATCATATATTGATAAAACATATATACATATATACATGGTCATATAACCTGTCAACATTTTTAATAACGGATTTATTAAACAATATAATTACTTTATTTGAGGACAAACGGGAATTAATTCTTAAATTGCTAGTAGCTGTGTATAAGATTATATAAACGTCTCAATTATCCAATAAAAAGGGACGTTACAAACGTGCAGTATTATAATAATTGTAATAAAAAACATGATTTCAAATATGAAAATTCATCGTTAATATTATGTACACTTTTTGAAATAAATATGACTTTTTAAATCTCTTTTAATCAATTTAATTTCAAACTTTTGCTTCTTTGTATGTCTGTTTTCACTCCAATTTAAACTAATATTTTGGCCATATTGCGGTGATCGATTCACCTTGACGACTTGCCTGAATAAACCTATACCTCAGCATTTTTTTTCTCGCAAAGCAAAAAGTATTGCACCCGTTTAATCTCCGCAAATTTGTATTTTTTTTTCATACTACATGTAAATGGTTTATGTTAATGATAGGAAGACCAATAACAAGATAATAGGAAGATCGTAATTTTAGCCTGCCAATGACAAACCTTTGTTACGTGAAGATATAACTTAAAATAACTGCATTCATTACATTATATTACGGTTAACTTGTCTCAAATACAAAGAAGGATCGTTTACTGTCATGCAATGATGCATAATTATTCAGTGCAGTCTTTACATTTCAATTGATATTTTTGTCTCGTTTTCAAAGTACACGTGTTTAGAACATATTATGTTTATTTTAAATCTTTTCTGTCTTTTAAAGACACTTGATTATAAATGAAGTCAGATGATCGTAATTGACTGTTAATAGCTTTCACACTTAAGCGGCCACCTCCTATAAAGAAATAAAAAGAAATCATTACATTTAAAAGCCTGTTTCACAATGGTTATATAAGAAATATAAACGTGTTCAAGGTCTAAGGTCCAAACCGATTTTCTTTCGCATGACATGCTTTCAAGTTAGTTTATGTAAAATTCTTAAATATTATTTAAGCCGTGTCACGACAAAACCAACACAATGGGTTTGCGACCAGCATGGATCCAGACCAGGATCCATGCTGTTCGCTATCGGTTTCTCTACTTGTTATAGAGTGTGTAAGCGAACAGCATGGATCCTGATCAGACTGCGCGGATGCGCAGGCTGGTCTGGATCCATGCTGGTAGCAAACGCATTATGATGGTTTTGTCATGATTAGGCTCATTTATTTGTTAATGAATCATCTCCTGTTGGAGGATGTTATGGATGTAATGATAAAGATGCATACAATATAGAAAATACCGTGTCGGACAAATATTATTCAAAATGTAAAACAAATCTATATAAAGTGTTATCCTCACAACAAAATTACACGGAAATATCAGACTCGGTTTGATTTAGTCTGTACATGAAGAATGATGAAAAAGTGCAACATCTCTCATGCACCCTAGCACCGGCTTGGGTGGAACTCAATTTCCAATACTTTTGAAAAAAAATTGAATCAATGACCTCGAAAGACCAGAAAAGTATAATAACAGTGAAGTGAAGAACTCTCATTTCGAAATATCAAAATACGTTCCAAGCATAAAAAGTGATATATGTAATAGTACACTTTCCTTGTAAAGGAAATAAGTAATGTATCCCGCGCTTATTATTTCTCACTTGTATAACCTTAAAAACTGCGAAACTAATATAACACGTATAGTATGAATTGCTTAATTTTCTTTGTTGCTTAATTTACTTCTTTTGACGATTTAGGAAACGCAATATGTTTATCGCCTAACTTAAATTCACGGCATAATTGCATACTGGAATTTAGTTTTAATAGGGTAAGGGACTGGCTTTTATGGTATTTTGAAATACAATATGAACGCGCAAAGTTGTAAAGGATTAGAGATTATATCCATTTTAAAGTATTTTACCTGTGTCGGTTTTTGAAATTAGTCAACCGTGAAAAGCAATTTTAAATTACGGCTGAAAGGTAAGAATTTCATTTTTTTCGCGATTTACATGTAAACAACAACAAAAACAGCAGCAGCAGCAGCAGCAGCAGCAGCAAAGAAGTGGAAATACATTTCAGTATTGCTTGTAATTGAAATCTTGGACGCCTGATGTGTTATATGTAAATTTATAATATGTATGACTTTATGATGTTTCAACCGTGAAAAGTAATTATGTATGTCGTAATAGTCCTTTAAAGTGCGAATTTAAAACTGAGCATATGTTTAAGAAGTACTTGAAAACTTTATAGAATGATACAATATATGTAATTTGATGATGTGTGCGAAATTTTCACTTCAGTGTTGTTATATATTTTCTGGTCCTCCTGGATAATTGATTCAAGAATGTTAGCACGGTATACCGATTGTGCCGGTGCTGGGGTGTGAAAAAATTATCTCTCAAGTACAGACTTAATCAGACCAAGTCTGAAAAGTTTCATTTGATTTTGTTGTTATCTTTGCTTCTGAGGGATCACCACTTTTTCCAGATATCTTATAATTTGTTTCAGCGGCCTGTTTAGTAATTTTGCAATAAAAAACATTTTATAAACTAAATTGAAAATTGTTGACCCTAGACATAATAATACAAAATTTATATGAACCACAAAACACCTATACTCGTAGTTAATAGGATATACGACATTTATACTACGCACAAAACATGAATGCGGCGTACAGATATATCGATCCGGAAGTTTAAATATAATGGTAAAGTATTCTTTAGTGAACTGCAAATACAAAAAAAAAAGATCCTTCAATACTTAAATTACAATAGCTTGCTATGAAATGATTACGGCGAGATTATAATTCATATAACGAAGGACTATTGTTTAAGTATTGAGTTTTTGATGGCTTTGGATATAAAAATAGTTATGCCAACGCCAATTTAATTTTTCAAATGTTTCGTGTGAAGTTGTTGTAGTACATTTAACTGGATATTATACGTACAATCTGCTGTATTTTCAAGTTATTGTGATATTGAACAATTTAATTTTCTACGTAAATTGATCATACTCTTGCAAGTTTCATTATAACTTTGTTATCGCAGGACAGTTATGTAACCTGATATAATGACTCCACAACAGGAACTTATAAAAAGGTAAGTTTAATCTTGATCTTTAAAACATTAAATAACTAAACTCATTTTGAAATAGTAAAATGCTGGTTTATTAGTTTCCATATGTCATGCACTGCCTAAACTGTTTTTGAAATGGTAAATCGATAACCGAAAAGTCCATTATACAAATCATCAAAAATTTACAGGCATTCATGCGTGGATTAACAATTTGAATTTAAAATAAATAATCAGAGAAATGGTCGTAAATTCTTATGTTATTCTAATGCAACGCAATCTTTAAGTACGTTCTAATGGATTGTTATTTTTTTCACGTTTAGATTATTAAGTAGTCCTTTCATACCATCTATTTAAATGTTGTTTTTTTTTCCGAGAATTTGACAATTTTCTAATCTCTCTATATTTGAGTGGTTGTTTTCTGAAACCTTCATCGATTTCGTCTTACACATTTACTCGTTATTTCAGCCATTCTATGATTTATGTCTTTAAAAATGATTACCCTATAAAACTTAGATGAATCACTACTTGCAAATTTACATATTTTATGATGCATCCTAATATATATAAATACTTTGCTGATCATTCTCTTGGTACAGGATTAGCCTAGTTTAGATGGAACAAATGTGCTAAGTTAACAAACACCGGCAGAAATACGGAAAAAATGAATGAAGAAGAAATTGGTGGTAAAAAGATAGCTTTTTTCACCGATATTAATGAAGATGAAGATGAACAGACACAAGCTGAAGAAGTCGAAGCAGAAAATGTTCAAACTTTAACGCTGGAGGCTATAAATGATTTGAAAGATGCACTGGAAGCTATGGAATTGGCTGAAGATTATGGTATCGATATTGATGAACTTGAGTCGGTTGATGAAATACAAACACGACTTAAATGTCACCTGAAGCTTACAAATGAAGGCAATCTTAAAGAAAAGGTAATGCATAATTATGATGTTACAGACTTTATCCTCTAAGAAAATTTTATAATCCTAGTACACATATTTAGTTTAATATGACTGTATCTTACAAATGCAAAGGTAATAATTGCCTGGTACGAGTTTGTTACAAGGTAGTAAAAGTTTACGTTTACAACTGGATTTAGAACACTTTTGAAACAAGTATTTACTATCAATTTATTGTAACAACAATGATAGGTTTTTCTTATTATGATAACAGTTGTTGCCGTGTTCCTTAGCCTTGTTCCATGTCACATAAACTTTGTCTACGATTAACTTATGAAGAATGAAGAAGTAAGTATTTATGAATAAAATAGTCAAATTCATGATTCGGTTACACCCGCTGATATATTCATACAACAGTTTTAATGAAACCTGCGAAAAGTGTTCACGTGTTGATGAAATACATGAGCAATCTAACAAAGATGAAGTGTTTAATATACATTTAAGCACAGAGATCTTTTCACTTCTTCAAGCTTAAACAATTTACTGAATTTTATTTTATTTACGATACAAGATTGGACAGAACACACTTTTTAATTTATAGAATAATTGTAAATACTTTGGCAGAAAGTTGTTTGGACAGTTATTATTGTTATTATTATAGTAAGTTGAATAACATGTGTGGTTTGCGTATCATTTATCTATAATCATGTCATCAGTTGAAAGCGTTGCCGACTCACGAAAAAAAGGTTCAATGTCAGAAGTTAATTTTGTAGTTGAAACATTTATGCTTTCACAGATGGATGTTCAGATAAAAGAACTCGGGAAAAGAGATGCCCTTAAAAAGGAGAACTTATCTCGTATTATTAAAGATGTTAAGAACATATTTACACAAAGTGCAACTCGAACTACAAAACGCCAAGAGCTGGTGGAAGATTTACTAAACAAGGATGGAACAACCGATGATATAAGATTCGATTGTGATCTCCGCCTAACAAGTCTTAAAGAAAAAGAATGCGTTTTACTTGTTTCAGGTTTGGATTGATACTATTATATTTTGAAAAATAAAATATAAATCGTGAAAAGGAAAAAACCGCATCGGTTCATATATTTGGGTTTGAATGTCATGATAATTCTGGTCTTTCTTCAAACTACATATTGGAGAACGCTGTAAGAATCACGACATGGACTTTGAATTACTTCTAGTCAGTAAGCTGTATAGTTCACTTACAGAAGTTTGGTCGTTCCTCTCTTCGCTTGTTGACTTATACACCGTAAAACAAACAAACAAACAAACAAAAGTAAATCTGAATATGTTTTTTCATATACGAGTACACATTACATATCTAAAAGTGTGTTTGGTCTTATATGTGCGTGTTTATTGGTCCGAACATGCTGAAATTAATTTTACAAGCTTAAAGTTTAGCTACATGTTATGACATATCTATGTAATACGCGGCCAATCTGTGATCAGTCAGGGCTAGAATATGCGATATAAGAACTATTATCACTGATACACTGCATTTTGAAGCAATGCCTTTCTATTCAGCATCAAATTCCTTGGCCATTTGTATTACATTTGTATTTGTTATGAAACTCAAAACTTCGTATTATGTTTCTCCATTGTATTTTGAAAACTTCAGCATAATCAGGTCAATATAAATGCACATATGATACTTATTATATACAAACAAACATATTTAATTTAATTAAATGTATTCCAATCACTACAGGTAAACAGCTTGATTCTGCGTTAGTACAATTATATACATTTAAGCCTTAACGTCGTAACAAACCTGTCTATTAGTCGTATCTTCATCTGCCATACTTACTGTTCATATCTTTGTGCATTTACAGGTGAATCGTCGGCGGGAAAATCTAGTCTTCTGAACTTATTACTCGGTGAAGAAATCCTACCTTCACACATGCTTCCTTGTACGTCTTGTATAACAGTCATTAGATACAAGCCTTATAAATGCGCCAATGTAGTATACAAAAATGGAAAGATAGAATCCATTCCGAATCTAGATAAAGAAGGACTACAACAACTCCAACAGAGAGCATATTTTTCACATGCAACAAAAGGCAAAGACGAAGAAGATGTATATAAAGCAAGGAAAGAAGATCACGAAGTTGCTGAAATTCAAGTTTATCTACCCATTACATTGCTTTATGTGAGTAATAAATGAAACACAGCCACTGCGTAGTGAATCTGTAGTGCTGTTATTTGTCGACTTTTTCTTTGTCAAATTTATCCTTTCGTATGTCATAATTTATCTACACCTATAACTTGCTTAAACGAGTTATTTGCTTAAAATGACTCAAACTGATGTATTTTGACTTGACAGGACTGGACTTTATCTACATTTTATGTTCGTCTGGACTTATAACTTGTGTGCATGATTTACAACATTTGCAGACTTCGTCTTTCCAGAATCGCCATTTTTATTACGCAAAATGACCCAAACATGCAAAGCTTTTAAAATGAAATCCGACTAAAATCGCACATGAAATAAAGTTTTAATTCAATTCCGAGTAAACTTAATTTTTGATCGTGTGCAAATTTTTCTTCTGTTTTGAGTGAACATGAATTAAATAATGTGTGTTTTAACATGTATGGGTACTTACATACAGAAATGCATTTGCTTAGAGGTGGGCCGGGTGTTATAGTGGCCAGGCATTAAACATGCGAATTGTGATTCAAAACAACATATTATTGACATGGAATTGTTTCGATACATTTGAAATCACACTTGAAAAAATGGTTTTGTTATTAATCAGAATGATATCTACAGAATGTGTTTAATTTACAAACATCTGAAGTAATTTTTACACATTTCAGTCCGGTCTTGTGTTAGTTGATACCCCAGGAATTGGAGAAAATGAATTTCTAGAGAACTATTTGATGGAATATATAAGATCTCATCAGATACTTGGCTTTGTATACATCATAATGACTGACAATGCTCTAGGGATAGCGGAGGATAGGGTGAGTTTATACAAGCGATATACTATATTTATTTTCCTTATATACTTACTTTTATTTTTTACGCATAGCGGATACATGCTAGTTAAGTGTTCATAACATTAATGGAATAAAGCTCTCTTCAACAAGGTGATTTAAAAACGTCATTCTGAAGTCTCGCAAGCAGCTGTGTGATTAGGAAGCGATACGATACGAATATTTTGCGATTACATTTTGCAAATTGAAATAGATAAAGATAAAATTCTAAGACGTGCTGCATTTGCGTCTATGAGATATCTGAACATGAAATGAAAATGAAAACATTATAGTGGTTGAAAATACAAATGCTTATGCTTTATAATATACTTATTAATGTTGGCATATTAATCAAGTTAATCGGAGATGGCATATGTTTTTGTGTTTTTAAAACTTTCTAAAATATACATGAGCCTTTAATATAAGCGGTTCTCATTGGCAGGCATATATTTCTTTACATCACATGTAATGTGAAAATAGTCAATATACGCTTCAATATGTATCCTATGGAAAATGATTTTGCAATGTAACATGTAAATTTTGTATTTAATTCAAAGAAGAAAACGACAACTGGTGAACTATATTTTCTATTGCACAGATTGTCAATTTAATGAGCCTTATAATCAAGAGTCAAAGGAACAGCAATGACGTTGTGAAGTTTAATCCAAAGGCGGCATTGTTCGTCTGTAACAGATGGGACATGGTGCCACAAGAGTCAAAGAAAGCCGTGCGCGAAAATGCATTGAAACAGCTTGAGAAGGCATGGCCAGAATTTGATTCATCTAACGCAGTTTTCTTTTCAACATTCAACGCTAAGAGAGAGATTAGCGTTAATGAAGGATATATTACTGATGAATATGTCGCATTGATGTATGGATTGATGAAACTCGTTGAAATTTCATTGGACAAACGCATAAAAGCTTCCTACAGGTACTGTAATGCAAAGTTTTGATATTGTAATATCCTTCAATATTTGTGTATCAAACTACACACTGTGCAAAATATATCAATTGGTTAAGAACGGAAAAATAAATAAAAACACTTCCACTTTGGCTTAAAGATAATTCGTTGTCAGTAACAGTTCTTATAAAACGCCGAGTAGCCATTTTGGCTGTGTTTAAAGTTTGTTTTGACAACAAAACTTTGCCTTTGCTATTCTTTTGTTTATGAGCTGCAAACTAAAAGCCATCTTGCTCCATTTAGATGGTTTTTGTCTAATAACTTTCTAAGCCATTTTCAAAGACGTCTTTAAAGTACACGCTCTTCATCAACGTCACAACCTTCATTGTCATTTCTTTATGTTTAATGCCAGTAGCGGCTGCCATTGTATAAAGTCTCAACTTTCATGTCAAAGAAAGGTTAATCTGTAACGAGGTTTGTGTGTGTGAGTGTGTGTGTAAATAGTGAAAATGTAAGAAAAGCATTAATTTATGTACACGTGGTTGCCAATAAGTCCACAAAATAAAGCACATATGATATATTTTCAAAACAGTAGTCGACTAAAATAAGCTAAAATGAGTTTGCCTAAATTCTCATCATTTCAGGTAAACATGTTCATATGTGATATATTGACCGAATGTTTTGAATGAGATATTTCAAAAGTGGATGCTGGTTTGGTTGTACTCTTTTGCCGTTATGTAAAACAAATATTGTATTTCATTAACAACTTAAATTGAAATTCAACATTCTTCATTTTTTTCCAAAAGACAAATGACTCGATTTTAAGCTTTCACTCGTGTCCGATTTATTTCTTAAATTGAATATATTTGTAAGGCGAAAGAAAGAGATAATTTTCTTCCATACTGATCGTTTTCTGAAGATATGTCTTACACGTATGCTTTTAAGTTTTGCATTTATTTACAACCTTGAAATATCTTTGAACGTAAGGTGGATAGGGACTGTTCTTCAAAGAAGTGTGCACTACATGAAGACAATGGTTCACACTCTTGAGATGAGTGACAAGGAAAGACAGAAACAGACCCAGCAAGTGTCGGCGAAGTTGAAAATACTTAGCGAAAAGGCAGACTCTGTTATAATGTCACTCTACAACGAAATGGAGGTGGCTGTGGAAGACATTAGTCATCAGGTAGATTTCTTTGATAATTAGTTTCTGTTTTTTAAGCAAACTAAATTTACACTAGACGAATTTGCATACCGAAAGATATATTTTTGTATAATTTCAAAGAACATTTGTCTATATGACATATGACTATAAAAATAATGAAATACATAAATTGACATCGTGATTTTTTCATTTTCAAGTTGAACTGAATTGGCTGTAAATTTTAAAGATTTCTGTAATGGTTGTTGACCGATTGATGAAATTTGAATTTGTAAACATAAGATAAGATAAAATTCTGCCATGCATATAAAAAAGGCCGACTCACTATTTTTAAAATTTTAACGTAACATGTAAATTCCAATGACAATTTATAGAAATTTCCTTTGGTCACTTAAGTTATTAATCGTTTATGCAAAGTAAATTATAAAATTTAAATGGATCGTGTCAAAATGCAAACTTATTTTGACTTCACCTGTTTACTAACTGTATACACTTGGACCTAAAATTTAAACAGTGTCAATTAAACCGAACTATTTAGCCCTGTTTATCGGCATTAAGAGTTCCCTCGTTTTAATATTTCAATGTCAAGCCTTACGCTATTTGTGTTGAATGTTGGCGTTAAATGTGTCAACGATCAATCATCGTTCGGTATCACTTACATGTTGTATTCTTGAAACAATATACTCTCTTGGCTCCGAAAAATTCCATTATTCATTTATAAAATTCTGATCCTTTATAATCACCCTCATGCTAAGATGTCTGGTTTTATTTTTGACATGCGATAGGTGTCTGTAATAATCAAACTTTACAACATCCGATTGTGTAAGAACTTCAATCTAGGTTAAACAATTGTTTCTTGTTTAGGACAAATTTGCTCATAAATGTTTAGATAATTTATCATTATTTTTTTAATGAGAAAAAGTGTCTCACTGATGGTTCTATAATGAATACCGTATGGAAATATCTGCGAATAGTTTTTATTTCTAAATTTGACAATGTTAAAAAACAAATGTTGAATTGTGCCGAAGCTGCTGTCAAATTATGTGGACGGTTGCATGTATTAACCACTGCTGTAGGCAACACTCATCTTTGAGTGTGATCCTGATACACAACTTTCAGGATTCTGGGAAAAGGAGAAGCATACGTGTTAGAAGAAATTGTTCAGTAAAATCAAGTGAAATAATAGAGATGGCAACATCTCATGTTATTAATACTAGCAGGGGTTCTCTTCTTAACTAATGGTATTTGAATTAATGTTCTCTAAGGATGGACACTAAACAACACTAAGTACTGTATTCTTGAGCATTAACAACTTACAAAAGCTTCTAATGATTTTGTGTTTAGAATACCATTATGTAAATATCCGAAAAGTATTATTATGCTCGGACTATAGAACGGTGATACATTTCCTTAAGAGTTTGTCACAGAATGTTTTGATTTACATTTGATCTGTGCACTATAACTTACCTTAATTAAGCTGAAAATGACACTTATAAAAAGAAAAAAAACTTTACAATGACATTTACGACGGAACTTTCAAGACTTGTGAATTTATAACATTTTATATATATATATTTTTAGATAAGGAATTATTTAAAAACCACACAAGCCAAAACAAAGCTGACAACAAAATGGGGAGAAAAGGAAGGAGAGCTGCCTGATTTGACCTATGCTTCAGGGACATGGTCTTGGATAAAACGGCACATTGATTCCGCTTTTGATGATCGTCTTACGGACCTGCTCGAAGAATGGGACGAACAAGCACAAATAATTCCAACCCTTGAGAAAAAACTATTTCGGGAAGCTAAACTTAACCTGTGCGAACTAGAAAGCGATCTTGCTGAGGTTGAACACGATGTACAACAAAGTGAAGATACTAGATCTCTTTCTAGATCAACAAGTATGGCACTTCTTTCTAATTTATGTCGATCTATTGAGGATTTTGAAGAAGAGGATCTACTGGATAGCGAGGTACCAAAGAAAATAACGCATAGGCTGAAATCGTTCATGACAAAAGCTATAAGAAAAAAGCATGATGAAACCAAACTGAGAGATTATAAACATAATCCTGGTAGAGTTGCTCAAATTCGATCTGAAAAACTCCATGAGTCAATGATAAAAGACAAAGATGAACGCCTGGAATCTTTTGTAAAGGACTTCCTTCAAAGACCATATAATTACATTAAGAGGTTAGAATCCAAAATTCCAGGACTTATCAGTTCAAACATGACTCTTCTTGAAAGGTTCGAAAAGGAAATTTTGGCCGAACAAAAATGTAGAACTCAATATGAAGAAATGTTGGTAAGAATAGAAAAGATTCGAAGAGAGCTGATAGATTATGGAGAGGATAATTTCTTTGTTAGTGATTTTGAAGAAAAAGATGTCAAAATGCACGTCCAAGTTCCTCAGGATAAGCCAAGAAACAAAATGCTGTTAAAAAGACCTTCTATGGCAGACTTGATGAAAAGTGCATCTGTAAAGCGAAATACGGTTGATTCAGATTTGCCGCATGGATTGTGGCACTTAGGTAAACTATTCCGTTTTATTTAAAAGTAATAATTAACAATAGAATAACATTTAAAAGTTTTTCTGAGTCTTCGATCAATTGTTGTTTTTAAGTTCCTTGTCGGTTACAAACTATTTATCACTTTGGTGATTTTTTTTTGTGCTCTACCTTGTGCCCTGTCCTGTTTTTGTTGGGGTCCGCCTGGACTCCTTGCCGCTGGTTCTTGTTGCTGGGTCATGTGGGGTTGCGTCCATTGAGCGCCGCCTTTCTTTGTTGATATTTTTTATCATATTTTTTTAATTAACACTTAAAACTCTTATATTAACTTAAGTTAAAGCAGATCAAACCTTTAAAAGATATTTCTAAATCTTCGATAATTTCTGTGTTGTTACACTAAGACATAATAAAATGAGATTGATACAATAACATGTCATAAGAAGAAATGAGTGTAAATACATGCTTTGCAATTTAACATGTTTCAGTTCATTCGGGAGAAATAACCAAAGGCAGTGAAAGGCAGCACGTGGCTGTTAAAATGTATTCAACCCACACGAATGTAGAGAATATTCCAAATGAAATAGCAAAATTGAGGTATATCAGCTTTAATGTCATTTTGATATCTTGATTTAATTTTATATATTTAAAATATTTTAAACTATATTACTCTGTCTTTGGTAATTATTAATGAGTGGTAAAGTTATCATTTATATGCAGTTTTAATGTGACATTTTAATTGTGTGCAAAAGCAAATACAACATGTGAATATTTTCAGTATTTGCTAATGGGCATTCGGTAAAGAAACCTTAAGCTCTTCTTTTTGTATAATTTTTCTATGATTCATCTGACGATGATACAAAGAAATATGAAAATATAGATCAACAGAGACACAGTGATCAAAGTGTATACCGCTTTAAATATCAACTAACACTTTTCTATAAACTCATAAGCATTAACATAAACTATTAACAACTATTCATAGTTTTTAACCCATGGAGATGAGTTCCAATACATTGAGAAATCGCTCTAGTGTTAGGCAAATCCTCATCTGAAATGATATCAGGGAAAGGTAAAAAATGGGTTAACCTTTGTTCAAGTAACAATAGACACTGTACGAGAGAGGCAAAATAGAGAGGAATAGAATCACTTAAAAGTCCTAAAACGCCAACTTTAAAATTGTTGCAAGCTTGGTTTGATTAACGTTCATACTAGAAAATGCAAGAAACTTTCAAGCAGTTTTAACATTTAACGAGAAATAAAACCGTTAATGTTGTACTTAATGTAATTATATCTTACCTTGCTGACTGATTTATTTTATTGATAATTCCGTAACACTTGTAAACATGCCGATTGTAAACAATAAGCACAGCATCTTATTTTGTGATAAGTCCAGCGTTATTTCATTTTCTATTTTATTCTATAACTCAAATTTAAATGTTTCAGATGTCTCATGCACATTGATGTGTGCATTGCAGAGTTTCTGGGGGTGTTCCATCAAAAAGACACACCTACACCGGCACTACTATTCGCGGGAAAGTTATCGTCCCTTTCTACATACATGAAAATGTCGTCGGAAGTGAATACGACAAAAACTCTACAAGAGGTTCTTGCCGGTCTACAGTATCTTCATTCCAAAGGATTGGTCCATATGGATTTGACCAAGGACACTGTAACGGTAATTGTCTTTTAAAAGTATATGTATATTTTATATTATAACAATAACACCAAATGACAATCTGGTAAAAGTATTGTTATAGATGTTGATAAAATATGATAAGCATGTATTTAAAGAAATAATAATAACGGAACTAATTTTTATATTGCCTGAAATATCTGTATTCTGCCAGTGAAAATGAGAGTATATATTTCAGCCAAATTAATGACAAATCAATGTGCAGAAACAAATAAAACGGTCCAAAAATGATGGGGAGTAATAGGTCAACGAACGTAATATAGTTGTTTAAAGGAACTAAAGGAACTCCACTGAAGTCCAAACCCTAAAAAATATCTTCTTAAACAGATCAACTTTGACACTTTAACACAAAAACACAAAAAAATATATACGAAAGTAAGAAATGAAATTAATTGAAAATCATATTTAAGTGTAATTCTCAGCCCAATTTGAGTGATAAGCGTTGCAACGTTTTCAATTTTAGGTCATTTCTTCACAATCTAATTAAATAGTCTGAAAAATAAGTTTAAATAACGGTGAAAGCTAAATTAAATGATCTTAAATTTGCAAATAAGTTATTGATCTAGACCTACATCAAATAAAACATTAATATTGAGAAATTATTTCCAGTTCCGAAATGTCAAAAAAACCTCAGTGGAGTCCCTTTAAGCAAACGAACCCTACACAAATCAGTAAATTACTAGTTTGAACAAATTAAACTGTTTCATAGGTTGAAATATATAATGTTTGGAAAAATTTCAGGTATCTGAAAAAGGGGACGTAAAGATGACTGGTGGTTGCTTGCCAAGAAAACCAGAACTTCCAATGGAGAACTGTGAAAAAGTTACTCCTGGATGGGAATATCTTGCACCTGAAGTTCTACGCGGTCAAACGTATGTTGCATGTGCAGACATGTACTCATTTGCCCTTCTTACCCTGGAAGTAGCGAATAGTCGATTCGAACTTTTTTCTGATGTACCAAAACAGTCTATTAAACAGTTTTTGGAGAATTCTGCAACAACACATCTGGAACCAACCGTCAAAAATTTAAAAATGGCTCCGTTAGTGATCGAGAAATTATTGCTTTGTCTAGAAGTGGACATGGCAAAAAGACCGGATGCATCGAAACTGGGAGCAGAGTTCAAAGGAAAATCAATGAAACCAATTCAGTCCAAAAGAAGTACAGCTACACCGAAACATATATTTTCGAGACGTTTCTCAGCAAAGAAGAAATGAGTATTCATACTAGTTTAATGAACATTATAGAAGATATTGTTACAATTTCATGAAGTTTAAGAAATAGCAAACATTGCTGTGTTATCTTTAAGGTGGAGATAGTTAATTTACAATGCCAGCAAGACATTTACACATAAATCGACATTGAAGAAACATAAAAAAAATCCTTATTTCTATGTAATTATTATATTATTATCTTTTTTATTCAGGGTGTGAAATATCTGGTACAGAAATCAACATATCGCCGACATCAAAACAATATATTTATGAAAATAACATACACCAGTTTTCAAAGCACCAAATAAACTAGTAAAATAATTCTAATACTTTAAGAACTGGCTGGATATTTGAACATATTTTATCATAATATAGATTCATTTTTGCCTTGTATTTTCCTTTTGTTCTCACACTGGTTTCATTTGTAACTACAGTCAAAGCAGACAAGGCTACACATATTGCCTAAGAGATATCAATAGTTTTGAGCTAAAAATGATAGTTTTCTCAAGGAGCGTCATGACGAATAAAACAAATTATACTCTGACAGAAGTTATAAAAAAGCAGGAGACATGCAATTGCATCGTGTCCCGTTTTATTTTAAATATTAATAACATATCTTTTTCAGCGGGTTTTGTTTTACCAATTCGAATGATACCTTGATAATAATACTCAGATCGCACTCAAATGGTGATTCATGGAAGTGCTATTTGATATCGGCCAAAACCATAAAAAACATTTTTGTTTATCGTTTTTACGTTTATTATGATTTATTTAAGTATCAAAGTTAGTACTGCTTTGAGTTTTTTATAACCTCTATTATTGAAGAGATTTATACTTTAAGTGATTGAAAAACAGGCAGATAACAGAATAACGTGATATATTTTACATTTCCCCATCAAAAAGATAGGGATATCATGTGCATTATTACAGCATAAAAACGAGTCCTTACACGTCATATGACGTCAGGAAAATTACTTCTACGCTCAATCAAATCAACACATATTTTAATTATGATATGTTAGCATGTTAGAGTGGAAATATATATTAATTGTTCGTGCAAATGATTTGTAATTAATCACTATCATTTTACAAAAATACACTCAAAATTGATATCTGTTTCAAAAATAGACAAATGCGGTTGTGAAATGTCTTAGGTAAGTTGCTGTAAAGACAAATCTAGGATGATGAAATTTCGAAACCTCGGTGATGAAAAATCGAAAGTAAGATGGTAACAACTCGTAATTACCATAATGAAAGGTTTTGAGTACGATGATGAAAAGCCGTATCAAAGTAACCACAATGGGGAAAAGTCAAAATATGATAACGAAAAGTCGAAAGACGATGGTGAAAATACGAAACATCGTGACTTTTCATCATTGTATTTTTCACCATTGTGATTTCATTATTTCGACTTTTCACTATCGCAATTTCGTGATTTCGTTGTTTCGTGTTTGTCACGATAGCCCTAACGGGACACTGTAGATATAGGACCCAAAGTGTGTGTGTTAAAATTGTCGTAAAATTATAAAGGTTACTGTGAAATTGAACGAAAATGTATGTGTAGGTCTGTATGAGTGCGTGCACGCGAGAGTGTGTATTTGTATGTATGTGTCATGTACATCAATTATCTTAACGATCATTGTAATATAAAGCAACAGTATAAGTGATATGTTAAAGAGCACACAATTCACATACTCTAGAGCTCGTATGTTATGTAAACGAGCCGCGTTGATGGACCTCCCCACAACCGGACACACCACCAGACATACCCACTCACACATACAGAATCATCTTTAATGGAAAAATATATTGTTATATTTTATCCAAAATATAACATGATAATAAACAGGACAACTTAAAGTTTGGCTTCAGACAACTTTTACATAGTCATTTATCCTCTTTTAGTTGTTTCCTTAGAAATAAAATATTTTACAAATGTTTACTCTTTAAAGGCCAATGATGCCCCAGAAATGCTTTTATTTTTATTTCTCAAGCTTATTAATTTCGGTGTACTTTTATATTATCCAAAACGTCACTCCTAACCCAATTACCTGAACCATCTTTTTCATCTGTTGCATTTTGCCAGTAAGCACAGTTACAGCGAATGGAAGACAAAAACTTCTTCGTTTATAATTTGCTACTTTTATGACAAATTATTTCACAATAATCTCTACTTTCTTCAGATAACAAGCATCTAAAATTTTCTAAAATAAAAAAACATTAAATAATTTATGTTTGACCTTTCTAAAAAGTAAACATTTATTTGTTTCTGAGGCTTAATGTGCCTTTCACAAGGCAACATAAAATGTTAACTATAAATTTGGATTCATGTACTTCTATCTCTAGTTATTACAAATTGTATTAGTTTGTGAAAATTTTGGTTAACAAAATTTTGACTGTTTTTTATACTTAACATTTTTGGTCATAGTTGTTTGCATTAAGGTATTACCACCCTAACGGGCACTATAAGAAACTGAAAAATTTATATCATAGGTCAGATATTTACCTTAAAGTACACTTGTATGCAAAATTTAAACAAATTTTACCTAACGGAAATCGAGTTCTGGCCACTTTTATGAACTGAAGCTAGGGTGTATGTGGGCCCTTTTTCAGAAATGAGTAACCTTTAAATAATCTGCAATAGCATTCTAATAAAAAAAAAACGTTTTCCCATTAATTTTTGGTAAGAAACAAATAGTTCTATTCAGCTAACAATTAACATAAACAAAATTATGGTTTCTACTCAAAATTTATAAAATATGTATAAAAATGTTACCCTACCCCACCCATTTTTAACACGTGTTTGACCATTTTCCTACTTAGGGAGCCTAATTAAAAATTCCTTAAAATTTACCCGAATGAGTGCCTGTTTTCAAAGTTTCCCTAAATTTTTAAAAAGGTATATTGGTTGATCTTGTAAAATAGTAAATACTTTTACCGTCTAATTTTTATTTTATTACACAAATATCAGGTACCATATTTATTACTAGATTAAGCATTATTTAGCAAATAAATACCTATATAAATTAAATAATAAAATAACACTTTTTTCCACCAAAAATTGATGGAGAGATAGATAAATAATGTTAAAAGAAAAAAAGAAGTTGACCCGACTGAGGTTTGAACCCATGGCCCTCAGTTTCAATGTAGTTAACAGTAGTTCTAGTCTATTAGAATACTGTTTAACGCAGATGTAAGGCATTAGGATGGTAATACCTTAAACTAAACGTTTATAAGTAGTTTGCTTATTTTAAACTTTCAATTATCTTTTTACTTCTATTTAAAATATTTTGTATGCTAGTCTTTCAATAATACTGCCAACATATGCGTATGATTACAAAGAGAAATTTTTGATGAAATAGAATAACAAGCACAAATAATAATAATACTTCGTTATGAAGACCAATCTAACAGAAACATAAATTACTAACATAAGTGAATATCTGTTATATTTAGTATTCTCGGATACGAACGAATATCAAATGTTTCGTAAATAAAAACAGGTAAAACCTCCCAGTAGTGTACACACGTCATCACATACATGTATGTGTTGATACGGCTCCATAAGGCTGGCACTGCTTGAGGAGAATTTAATTTAATTCTATATATAATTCTTTCCACGCATGTTTGTAAATAGTTTTATAGTTTCAAGTTCAATGGTGGTTTCTAATTTTGTTCTTCTCAGAAAAAGCATGTCCTAATTGTGCATGTTTATAAATGGTTTTGTTTTATAGTTTTGTTTTGTTTGTTTGTTTTCATTCAGGAAAAGCATGGTTCCTACTAATTCACGTTGAATTATTTTTTTTCTTTATCCTTTTACAATCATTGTTGAGTTTAAACAAAAAAAACTAGCATGATAGTCCGATAAGAACTTACAGTATCCGGTACTTCTTATTTTGGTAACTTCATCAACATTTTACATTTTAGTTTGATGCATATAATAGTCTCATTTGGCCTCATTGTACATCAAATAGAAAAGAAAAATAACATATATTTAGACACATTCAGTGAATTACTGGAATCAAAATTAATAGGTCACCATTTGGCAATACTATTCAATACCATTTAAGGACATGATTGGTGACATGTCCGGGGTCCGTACTCTCAGGGCAGATGGAGCCTTATTAAACACACACACACACACACGCGCACGCACGCACGCAAGCACGATCGCACGCACACACACCATTATCACGCTTCTGCCCTTTGAATTTTTTACCCAACAGAGCGGCACACATTTATTGGTCAGTGAAATTTAATGTCTACATAAACAGAATGAATTGCAATGTATTATTCCGAAAAATGATAAAAAGTAAACAACATTGAGACGAAGTATAAAGTTGTAGAATAGAGGAAAGGGAATCCTTAAAAAAACGCCTGAACGGTAAAATTGAAAATACTGCAGATTCTGTTTGTCTGAGCCTGCTAATGAACGGTAATGGAAAGTGGCCCACTAGCACCGACGTAAGCACCATCCAACAATTAGATACATATAATTATTTCTCCTTTTAAATGTTATTCTTTAGTCTCGTAATAATCAAATAAAATATTTTGAAGGCGATGTCAAAACTAAGCTTAATTTGAAAGTGCAAGTCATCACCGGCTTAAAGTGTCCTTGTGTATATAATCAGTGAACATGTAAATATCAAAATAATTTTTGCAATTTATCAATGACAGAATTGTTGACCAGACATGTATATCAGTGCATTTGTATTAAGAATTTCTTTTGAAAACAGAGAGTGACAATGGCTTTTGAGCTTCAGACCTAGATTTTGGACATGACACATAACCCCAATGTGCAAACCAGTTGTACAAAGCTATTTCAAAATCAACCCATAAATGAGTTATGGACCAGACGGAGGCATTTCGAGAGCATAAAAATATTCTTTAATAAATTTAGATACTGAAATAAATGATATCAAAGGAATACAACTGTATCGAAAAAGGTTAAATAGACAAAAGCAAAAGGAGATAACAGTATTGGATTATACACTGATATAACTCACTATAAGGCGAATAAAAATAAGTCAGTTTTTATTTCAATGTCTCTTGGTGTCATAAATACATCATTTTTCTCCTCAAACGCTCATAAACTTTTCAAGAGAAAGAAAAACACAGCTCGGTAAATGAAATAAATATAGTAGTATTTCATATCATAGAAATGGGTACGTACACATGGAATAAAAACAAATGTATAACGAATGTAATGTTTATTGCAATCAATAGTGTTCACAAAAGAATGACTATGTCAAAGATCTGCAAAAATATCCACAAAGTAACATTTAACAAATTTGAAACACAGAAAGTTAAAATCATTGATACAGAGAGAGTAAACCATTACATAATGAGAAACCCATAACATATAAAATTGAGTCTGTTCATGAGGCGAATGTTCAGTTATTTTACTGTCTTTATCTATTTTTCTTGTTTATCCCGGTTATGAAATCAAAAATCAACAAACAAACATATGCAAACAAACAAACAAACAGAACAAAACATACACTTATATGTTGTATCTTCCTACACGTACAATGCTTAAAATAAAACAAAAGATTTAAGAAATGAAAAATGCAAATACTGTTTTTCTTAAACACATGACAATGAAAGTGTGCTAAAAATATAATTCCCTCAAATGGTTACGCAATCTACATATATATCAATTCTTCGGTCTGATTGATCTTAAATGATCGCGTTTCATACATGAAATAATATCACCACTTACAATACATATCATTAAATGTGATAGACAAAGCAAGCAATTTTTTATGCTAATACTAGATATTGATATATGCATAGTACATAGAATGTGTAGGAGGAACAATGTCAATGTACTAACACAACCCAAAATGTAATGTTAAAACGCAATGTAATGTTGAATACACCCACAATGTTGTCTTCACTTTCAAAGCTAACACTATTATGGTGTGTCAACTCAAAATGTAATGATCTATAAACTGTCAATGCTATGTTGTGAAATGCTGTACAATGCTATACTACAATGCCATGTTCACTTACATTTTGATGTTGTGTAATCTAACAGAGTAATGTTGTTTGAATTTACAATGTAATGATGTAAACACAACTGTCAATTCACATTTACTGAAAGAATACAATTTACTTGGTTTTTATGTGCATTTGTAATTTAAGATTTTTCATTTCCATCCAAATTATGATGGGTAAGACACTTGAACGTTTATTTACCTACATATCTAAATGTGTAACTTGGGTAAATATTAATGTGTGTTTTTTTCACATTTTCTCGGCCTTCGGAAAAGTTTCACCGGTGTGTGCATTTCGGGTCTTCTTCTAGTTACCTCTTTTCTAAAGTTTCCCTTAAGCATTTCTATCACTACGTGCATGTTTGGTCTATCGTCTTCTGATATCTGCACACATTGAGTTATCAATTTTATCGTACCTTCCGTTAGACATGCACTAATATGTGTGAGCAGGTGAAGCATTTTCTCAGGATTTACTCGTTCCGCAAAGTCTTTTAAAGTGGACTTTCGTTGTTCTTGAAAGGCTTCCCTTTCACATAACAATTCATACACAAGTAAGCCATATCCATATACGTCAGCTGATGTTATATAAAGCTCTTTTCTCAGAACTTCAGGTGCGAGGTAAACAAAGTCAGACACAGGGATTTCTTTCTCAAGCGGCAGTGTGGCATGCCTAGGAACACAAGCCCCAGTCAAGCGAACCTCACCGGATTCTGTCACCTGTGACATAACCATTGCCATGAAATTGTTGTTTTATGACACATATGTTCCGAAAAGAACATTTAGAATGTGACAAAACATTAATTCAAATCTTCCAAAATTTGAAGTAAATACACTCGTAGATTATATATGTTTTCAACTGAATCAATTCAGAAGATTTTATTATTTATCGTCAGTAGAAAGTAAATGATATATAGAAGTCAAAAAATCGTTTTCTCGGTCATTTTTATACAGTTATTGATAAACATTCGAAATTTTAAAAATGTTTGTTCACAGTAAATGAGTTTTAAACATACTTTAAAGGGAGCGTTAGAGACTCCTTACCTTTAATTATTTCCATGAACGGACTAAATAAACAGAGTCTGTAATATGCCTTGTTTTCCTTCTGATCCTGTTGCTCTTTTTCAGATTTGCAGTAAGCAATATGATTAATCAGTATCAATAACTTTACTTACCGTTACTGTGGATTTTTTCAACATCATATGAACCATTCCTTTCGAGTGTAGATAATGTACCCCATCTGCTATTTCTCTAAGCAATATTGGAAGGCAATTTCTGAAATTTGCAGCTTCAGTTGCATATTGGTGTAATGGCAGTAAATGTCCATCAAATATATATGCAGGAGTAACAGCTTCTATATGATAAATACCTAAAAATTCTGCTAAGTACACACGTTTGTTAAGAAGGCATCTGAAAAAAGTAACATTACTGCTATTTAGTTTTAAATATCACAATCGTTTTAATAAAGCAAATTACTTTTGTGTTAAGGGGTTGTTGTTCGGATGGTTCAGCACTGGAAATGATATTTCAAATAACTCAAAGAAATTTCTTTCATAGCCAGAAGGAAAATGTTCATTTGCCAATGTAGGGAAATGAACGAGGGGATATTCATTTCATTTGTCATTTAAAGAAGAAAGAAAAAATATGCCTACCTCATTTTGGCAACCTCTTGGAAAGTGTGGCTTATTCCGGACGAGGGCATGTACATTTTAATTGAAACTGGTGTCGCTTTTCCGTCTCTTTTGAGAGTGCCTTGACGAACAATTGTCCAAGTACCTAGTGGAAGATTTGTTACTTCTTGACCTTTATTTGAAGAACCTCCTGTTACAAGCTCACTGAAGAATCGGAATGTCTGTGCAAGACTCTGTCCAGCAGGAGAATCTTGTAATACTTTTAATTCGTTTGATTCAAAGTCGTGTACAAATATATAAATCAGTGATTCTTTAAGCCCCTCTATAAGGACCATCATCTCTTCGTACTTATTTGCGCCTCTTCTTTGTGTTACCACCAAATTCTGAATAGAATTGAGAAGTTCAATATTAGTGTCAATGATGCATTGAATGCGTTGCTTTAATCTCTCTACAATGTCTCTTGGACGTCGCATCAACTGGTCAACAAGCTTCGTCAACAAACCAACTTCTGAAATGTCTTTTGGTTTGTTTGCCAAAAGTTTCCACATCAATCTTTCCGCCCTCTTGCTTGTCCAAGCTTGGGTGTCTCTTTCAAAGCTACCTGCTTTTCTCCTATGTCTCATTTTCTCAAAAGGGTTGTTTGTAACCGGATGCTGCATATGCAAAGCGAACTTCAATGGTTCTTCAATCAGTTGCCCTCTAGGAAGAATAACAGGCAGTCTGAGAGCTCTTCGTAAATTTTTTAAACCGTTATATGACCGACGCGGGCATCTCAAGTCATGTTCAACATTTGCAATTTCATTTTGCAAAATTCCAAGTTTTGATTTACCATTTTCAACAATTTCAGTTATAATGTATGAAACTGTGCTCTCTTTGTCATTCCAGTCTTCAATAGCGTTACATAACCTGTCGAAGAAAGCATCATCTACACGCTGTTTTACCCATAGCCAACGATTAACGTCTGTTATTTTTTCTTCTAATTTTGGAATTTCGTCTGGTTTCCAAACCGAACATAGGAGAAGTTTTGCTTGAGGGGTGGAGAGATACTTTTGAATTTCTCGAAAAATATGCTCACTACGTTCTGATATATCTGCCAGAAGTTCACTTACAACATCATTTGACCGTTCTTTAAGGTTTTGAAGCCTCATCTGCTGATTTACTGCATAATCTTGATGGTCTCTTTGTGTCATGTCTAGTATTGTTACGGTCTTCAAGAAGTGGTTTAACCTCTGTAAAACCGTTCTGATCCATCTGAAATAAGATGTACAATGTTATTGACTTGCTTTTTGTTTCAACTCATGATAAATGGGAATCAGCTCGATAAGTAGCTAGCCAACCTTTACATGTGATGTACATGATATGTAAACAAAATAAATTAGGTGTTGTTAAAAAAAGCTGATAAAACTCAAAAAACAGATATTGTGTTGTTTAAGAAGATTTTTTTTAATTGCTTGTTGACTTTGTTCATCAAATGTTAAGATATTTTGTTTAAAAGAGGGGAGCAAAATACATATATTAAATTTGAGCCCTCACTTGTCAGAAGTCTTGATTCTCCTGTCCATGGCTAGTGAAAAGAGATTGCTTATGGACAAAAGCAATGTTTTGTAGTCATCATTTACGAAGCCCGGGTGCACGGCAACATCCCTTAACGCTGTCTTTGTCGAAAAGAATACAGTCATAGATTCATCAAACTCTGGCCAGTATTTTCCCAGCTGATCAAGGATATTCCGTTTGACCTTCTCTCGATCTTCTTCTTGTACCGCATCAAACTTGTTTGCCAGAATTAACGCATCATTTGGATTGAATTTCAAAGCTTTGCTGTCATTCTTTTGTTGCTCAATAATCATTTTCAGTAAAAGTAGAAGCTATAAACATACATGTATATGTAAATTAACTTACTTTAAAAATATTATTTTATAAACTGACGCACATTTTATAATTATCAACACATGACCAGGTCAAAATATATTTATTAAAAGAAAGGCATGATTGGTACCAATTAATATCATTTTAAAAGAATAAGATATTATTATCTACTGTCTAATATATTTTTGCTGCAGAGTTAAATGAACCAATCAATGACAGTCATTCATACGTTTAATATGGATATTATTCAATCTCTCACATGTGACGTAAAAACTACATAACTTATTGAACTTCAGACTTACTCCTCTGTATCCTTTTATTCCACCTTCAAAATCTGAACAGATGATGTAAATTAATCCAAGGATCTGATTGTTAGATATGAAGTCCATCACATATTGTTCAAGAATTTCATTTTCTCCTATAAATGGAGTTTCAGCAAGAACAATTCCACACTGCAATAAACGGTAGAATGCATAATTGAAAGAACATTTTACTCACAATATTCAAAAGTGATATATTTAAAAAGATATATAGAATAAAAGAATCCGTATAGAACGTCCACATCTGCAAAATTGAAAATGTTGCAGACTCGGTTTGATAGCCGGTTCATGGACGGTACTGTGAAGAATTCAATATTTAAAAATAAATTGTATAATTTTGAATTTAGAAACATCCACAGATGTGTTCAAAAGGCGGTTTTCATGAAACCCTCAAATACTATTTAATGCCCTTCATTGGATAGCGACAGTATGCTCTCTAAGTAAAAAAGAATACATGCGCCTAAAGCCAGTAAAACAAAAAAAATAAATAAAATGAAAATAATTTTTAAAGGGGGTCAGAAGATATTAAGCTTGCAATTCAGAAAAAGCTGTCAAGAGAGAAATTGAAAAGCTAACATATCGTAAGTATGATTAAACAATATTCAAGTGAGAAATACTGGGACAACCTAACTTGAAAAAAAAAACAAATAAACCTAAAAATACCACAAACAACAATAATGTGCTGAACAATCTTCAAGGATAGAAAAATATAACATCTTTGATTGAAAGTAGATGGTGGCATCTTACCGCCTCAATTCTGCATAACCATACTGATGAAATAGAAAGAATAAAGACTCCTAAAAGAACGTCTAAACGGCAAATTAAAAATGTTGCTGGCTCGGTTTGATTCAGCCTGTTCATGGATGGTACTGTCAAGTGTAAACTACCGTCCATTCCCCCTGGACCGGCTTTATAAGAACTAATTAATTGTTTATTGAAATATATATGTCTATATTTATTTAATTAGTTACATTTAGAAGGAATGTGTTCATAAAATATGCGTGGTTTTAAAAATACCTTGATCATTTTGAAAAAAATATTTATCTTTAAACAATATTTATAAGAAGGCAAACTTTTTTTACCTTTAGAAGTTCTTGTGGCAAATAGACTTGAACTTCCTTCACATTATGAGCTTCTCTCTCTTTTTCTTTCATGAATGTTATTTCATATAACCTTTCCATTCCTTCTTTGTCTAGATTTTTAATTACATCTACTTTTGATTTCGGGCCTCCGTAAATGATTCTAGCTTCCTTTTGCGGTCCATATCTTAGTGTTGTAATGAACGACGTACAGCTGCACGTGTATGTAGGTAGAAATTCACTTCCTAGAAGCAGGTTCAAAAAACTTGATTTCCCGGCTGAGGTTTCACCTGAAATAAATAGGTAAATACTGTAGCTATTGAATGGCTCTGTGATTACCGAAAACATAATGACTTTGTTAATTTTAATTAAGTTATGACTTTGTTAATTTTAAGTCTTATAAATAATCCTCTTTTAACAGGCACATACCTGCTACAAGTATCACGCATTCCTTTTCTCTCAGTCGATTAATGTTCGACTTGCAGTCTGCAAGAATGTCTCTTGAAGTTTGCTCTTTCTGTAATAAATTTGTGACGAACTCGACTTCTTTTGATATATCTTTTGAGCCAATGATTTGCACGAGTTGCTCGAACATTTGGATGAGACAGAGACACTTTTTGTTATTTACCATACTTGTCCTTATCATGGCATCTTGTATCTGTATAAATAAAGTATTAAAAACGTGAAAATCTTGAAACAACTGTTAACATTTTAGCTAACCTGAGCACAAAGTGCTCAAGGTGAGCTAAAGTAATCACAATTTATCCGGCGTCCATCGTTTGTCAGTACGTCCGTGCGACAGTTCGTCCGTGTTTCCGTCGTTAATTTTTTTATAAAAGTCTCCGGCAATGACCGTTCTGTCATGAGTATATGTAGAGAAGTCAATTATCAACTAGAAAAAACACGTTTTTGTAAACACCTGCATTTGTTTGTTTCATACGTCAATTATGATACTAAAAATATTATATTGAAATTTACAGTTATTGATGATGTGTTGTGATATTTATAATGAAATATCCCAATTACTACAAATATTCTAGCATTTAATGTAAATATTAAATAAATTATGATTTAAGCCAACTTATACATAAACAATTACCAATCAAATGTAATTTACATCATATGATGCTTAGATAGACAATTCAAATGTCAAAATCTACTTGCTTCAGTTCCAACATAAACAACTTATACATTATATGTATAGACATATATAGAAAAATATTATATTTCACTCGAAGTTGCCGACACTAATGAAATATTTATTTTTATACCACTCGATAAAAATAAATCCTTACGAATTGAAAAAATCGTAAATATTATCTATATGCTTATAAGTATATTATAGAATAATGATTAATTGTTTTCAGTGCAAGCTGTCGTTGAAGTGAAGCAACCTCATAACTGACATACCTTCTCATGAAAAAAAAACAACTTTATCATAAATAGATATTACATCTCTTTTGGTGACATTACAAATGTTACATTTACCTGAATGTTTACAAATAGCATTTTCAATAACGAAGAATCAACAGTATTATAACACTGATTTTTACACACTTTTGGAAGAAATAGATCTACAATATTTTCATTAATTCTCACATTTCTTTTTAGCTGATTATTTTCATCCTCAAGTCAATTTGTTGAATAGGGAACGAGCTTGAACACTCTGGGTGTTCTAACTTAACCTTATCTTTCACCCAACAAGATGTACAGATACGCTGTGATAATCTTGCAATATCCTTAATAACATAAATATAACGGGATTTATTTCTTTGAAATAGACTGTAGAACCAAACTCACTCTACATTATCTGATGTACTTTTTTCAGTCTTATGCCTAACATTCATTGTTTTTATAACATGAATAACATGACTAGATAAAATTGCAGTTTCCATATATTGATACGAATCTCCACATTTAAGATGACCTATTCAATCTCCCTTTATACAGCTGTATACAAACTCTTAACAACTACAAAATCGTATGGAGATCAATGATACATAAGTTGTCTTAATAGCTCAAGTCTAGCCTTATGTTCAGAAGAATGAATGGACGGAGATGAAACAATTTCTGATTCTGATTCCCCTGCAACAAATAAATTCCATTCTAATTTGTCAACTGTAACTGATCTAGTTACTAGTACATATTCAACTCTGAGGTTGGATTGAGTATTGTGTGGTCTACTGACAACTTCATCCCCACCTTAGCCAATATTTCAAACCTAATTTTATTCCTTGAACAATGATATCAAGGTCAAAATCTTCTAATGAACTTGAACAATCAGACGCCTCTTTCTAAAAATCATTTGATACTTTTATCAAACTTTCATTTCTACAAGAGTCTGAACGTGATTGAGAAAAAAAATCCAAATCAATTCTATTTATTTGCTTTTCGTCGTAGATTTTTTTTTCTCAAGTCATTAAAGTAATTTTCAATACTTTATGTCCTGGAATATATGGTCCTTAAACATCAGAAAATATAACACAATGTTAACCTATTATAACATATTTTAAACTGACACTGTATTATGTCAAAAACTTTATACATCAAAAGCAAATTATGAAAAAACCGAACAAATGTTACCTTATCTTTAGGATTTCCTTCATTTAAAAGTTGCAGATGACATTTAAGTCGTACTTTTATTTCATTTAACGACTCTAACTCATCAATGTTAATACCATGATCTTCTGCCAATTCTACAGCATCGAATGCATCATTCAATTTATCAATAGATTCAAGTGTCAATGACGGATTTTTTTCAGTCTCTGTGTGTTTATTTGCATCTTCCTTTAAGAAATTGGTATAAACAGCAAATCCTTTACCGTCTGTGTCTTCTTCTGTCATATTTTCCAAGGTCTTGAATTATGTGACCACCTCTTTTACCTAGATAATAATATGATTAGATAGATTATAACATTTAAAGACCTAAATTACCGGATGTATGGTACACTTTGTCAATCTGCAAGATGTAAGTTCCAGGTAAATAAGCATTTAAAGATATAAATGTTAGCAGGTGAAGTTTATTTTGAAAGAATGAATAACTATTGGTCCTTGTGATAGACGTGACATCGATCTTTTTCATTTAAAGGTCATAGAAAGAATCAACGCCTTAAATGCCATTTCTTTAATTTCTGTGCTTAACGGATCAATCTCTTGAACGGCGTTATTTATATAGCACGGACATGCTGAAATCATTTCAGACTATAACAGATCTATTTCTTGAACGGCGTACTAATCAACTGATTGTGACAAGGCTTTGCCATTGAAAAACACACCCTCATTTTTAAATTTCAACGTGACAACCTATAAATATCCGTCTTATCATATGACAGCCACACAACCATAAAAGAGCACAGTATCTTTCAAAAAATGAAACATCAAGCCGAATAGGACTCCGATTAGCATCAGTTAAAAACAAATTAAATACTTGTTAGCATTCTGAAAAATGTGCGAAGCAGTATGTTATATAACCTGCTGATGAATATTGAACACTTTAAATTCATAAAACCATCATTTAATAGATTTGAATAACTTTTATTTTATTTTGTAAAACATACCACATTATTATAGATACCTATAAATTAAATATTGATGAAATAATATACGTATTTTCATTTTCCGTAATTTCACTGAAAATATTAACACATATTTTCCGTATATTCATTGGTGCCTAACCGGACTTATTTCAAAATTCAGTCAGGACAAAACATTTGAATAAGGTCTTTCAAATTGTTATGTCAAAAAAATGTTTGTTATAAATACAGGATTTCTTTGCATCTTGCGGTATGACAATTATATTATTTTACTCGTAGCTGACGCCCCTCATAAAATAATTACATTTCATATCACTCGATAAACAAAATCCTGCATTTATTGAAAAAATCTTAAATTTCCACTATATGCATTTTTATAGAAAAATAAGATAATTGTTTAGAGTGAAAACTATTGTTGTAACACATTTCATAAGTTGTTTAAAAGAGAAATAATTCAACTTACCTTATTTTTTCTCTATGTTTAAATTATAATTCACGATACAATTGGCTACAGAGTTAACTCGAACATGTATGATATTATCAAAAATGCTTTCAAATAACTCTTTAGACCAAACACCTATTTTTCCTTTTAAAATTAAAAAGTCTTATTAAATTCAATGACGATATAAAACTTTGTCACAAAAGTGTTTTTATTTTGCCATTCACGTTAACAAAAGACTTGAAATATTCAACTATCATATTTCAAATTGATATGTCTACATATTGAAAATTTTCAAACTAATTAAGCTGGAAAGTTGCCATATGACCTTATATTGTTGGTGCAACGTAAAACCAAACCAAATTAGAATGTATATTGAAACAGTTATTGGCATGTCCCTCTCCTGCTTTCTTGTGCTCTTCTTCATCCTTTGGTTCAGTTCTCTTCTTGGCGCCCTGCCAATGTGGCTGTGTTTCGAATTCCTTGCCGAAAAAGCTCCTATCATATTTACTTCCCATTACTCAGATACCCAGAAGAAAATAGATAAAATTATACATTTAAACCTGCAGATAAGAGAGATGCGCTAATTATTAAAATAGTTGTATTCCAGATTGCAGATATTTCAAAAAATATAAAAAATCAAATCTAGTACAGCTCGCTCTGTTAATAGAAGCACATGAATAGCTGTGTTTATCAACATTTATCACTTTAATTTCGTCAAATAATAAGTACGTATAAGCATGATAACATAAACTAGGACTGTGTCCAAAGGACACGGATGACCCCACTGACAGCATATATATGGTATATAGTGAAAAAATCAACAAAGGGCCATAATTCTGTTATATTTGGTCGCAGCAAAAATTCCTTCCTTTATTACCATCTACACATTAAGGTTGTTCATCCCTGGAAGTTTAAGCAAAATCTGCCATCCAGTTTAAGAGGAGTTGCGTTCACAAAATTTCTATATGGTATATAGTGAAAAAATCATCAAAGGGCCATAATTCTGTTAAATTTTGTCGCAGCAAAATTCCTTCCTTTACTGTCATCTACACATTAAGATTGTTCATCCCTGGAAGTTTAAGCAAAATCTGCCATCCGGTTTAAGACGAGTTGCGTTCACGAGATTTCGGGACGTACGGACAGACGGACGAACAGACGTACGGACGGACAAGTGCAACGCTCTATGCTCCCACTTTGTGGGGGCATAAAAATGAATGATAAACAAGATCAACAATGAAAGGCGGCGTTCAATGAATGCAACCCACACGTCCCAGCAACAACAACCAGCGGCAAGGAGCTTAGGAGGACCAAAACAAAACAGAACAGGGCGCAAGGCAGAGCACTGACAGGCTAATCACTTAAATGAAATAATAGTAACCAACAAGACACATATACTATTTATTGACATTTACAGTTACAGTGCTTGTTGTCAACTTCATGTGGAACAATCCTTTGGAATAAAGATAATGTATTCCAGCATGAACTTCTTGTACAGTTAGTATCATATTCTTACATGTACAGAATATTGTATATCTTTCCCGCGAATAGTACAGGTCAAGCAGGGATGTGTTTTTGATGGAACACTCCTAGAAAAATTTCAATGCACACGTCGCTGTACATAAGACATCTTACAAGCTTCTGGATAAATTATCTACCACATTTTGAACTTCGAACATCAG